TTTTGAAGACCGTATATAACAACGATTTCAATTGCCATTCCTACTGCAATCGAGCAGATACAGAAATTTCCTATTGCTGTCAGAACCTGGATATCAATTTACAAAAATTATATTTAGTCACTGACTCCAAAACCTCTGTAAAATGTTAAATTTTAATCCAAAGTGTGAACAAACCTTCTGGAAGTGACCAACATGGGTAGTACTATCCACAAGATGAGCCGCCTTTCCAAAGAAAGTGTGGACGCCAGTCGCTATAACAACTGCTTCAATTTCACCTTGCTTGCAAGTTGAACCAGAGTACACTGAAGCACCGGGATTTTTGGTTACGGGAAGAGATTCACCTGTGAGTGCTGACTGTGAAAAAGATAAAAATAACCAAGATTAGTCAAGCGACAGAGAAGATGCAGAGCAATGATATCTCTATATCTAGAAGTAGAACTTGCCTGGTCAATCTTTAAAGGGTCTCCTTCAAGAAGACGAGCATCAGCGGGAATGATATCTCCAAGTTTGATAGTAACTATATCTCCTGGAACCAACTCAGCTGCATCTATCTCATTCCATTTCCCATCGCGGACAGCCTAAAGCAATTGATTTGTAAATAAGCTACTACCATCAAAGTTTAAATGTACACAACAAAAAGGAATAAATTTAAACCTTCGCTTTAGGGGCTAACTGAGCCATGAGAGCAGCAGCTGCATTTCCAGCATTGTTTTCTTCTACAAAACTGATTGTCGAGTTTATCAAAAGTAAGACCACAATACCCACGAAATCGTGATAATCCGGTGGCTTGCCCTGAAAAGTTGAGACAAATTAGTTTCATCAGAGTCTTAAAATTGTTTTAAGAATCTACATTAAGCGAGACCTTCCACAATTTCACGTATTTACGTAGTGTCGAAGAAGAAACGACTAATGAGAGGAAAGGGAAGAAAAGACATACTCCTCCATGTGCAAGACCAATGGCCATGAGGGCTGCAGCTTCCATGACCCATGAAAGTGGATTCCACATGAACCCCAAGAACTTGAGTATCTTACTCTCCTGCAGAACCAAATAAAAAGAGAGATCAACATACCATTAAAAGAGAGAAAATAAGAGATCAATACGAGATTAAAAAATCATTTTTTAAAACCTTTTTCTCCTCAAGTTTGTTGTAACCAAACAAGGTAAGTCGTTCCTGCACTTCATTGGAGGTCAATCCTTCTTTCGTACATTTGAGATGTTGAAAAACCTCTTCAACGGGAACATTTTCCTGCAACGATCCATGAGAAATTAGAAATTACATTTTCCTAATTGCTTAAATAGCTATCAGAAGCAATCATCTGCAAAAAAAAAATTGGTGAGGTATAAAAATACATACCAGATCAATGCTCTCGGTAGTGATAGCCTTGAGAGCTTCTATGTCTGTCATATCGAACTTCCTTTTTGCTTGAGCCGGAAGTTACTAGAACTCAGTTATGAAATCTGGATAGACAAATTAATTTATTCATCATTAAGCACTACATATTTTCCTTCTGCCTGAAGATATCACAATACCACTTTCTTTTACCATAAAGCATCCCCCCTAACACTTTTTTCTACATACTCAACTCAAACATAAAACTAATTATTTGAAGTTTATGCAGATATGAATCAAAGAGAAGCAATGCAAAATAAACACAAACCTGGACCAAAATAAACCCTTCACCAAAGCATCACCCGTTCTCCCTTCCTTCACAGCTTGACCTTCACAAAGGAAACAGGACAAGCTTTTAAAACCAGGGGCAAATCTGGAAGTTGAGACAAATGTGTAATGCAGGCAACATATAAAGAAGACAACAAGGTCTATATAATAACGGTTTCAAAGATTTTGCCGGCCAGATTAACTCAAAGCAGAAGAAAGCTGACTCATTCAAAATGCAACTAACTTTTCTTCTTTTGTTTAATTGTCACTATTGTTACCGTAAAACGTAATTAAAATAAAAATGAGAAAAAAAAAGATCTGATAAACAGATATTCCTTACCAATGTACATTTGAAGACGTAGAAGAATTTGCAAATTTGTAGCCTCTCTCAGTCAGCATCTACCGGGCATTATTAGGGTAGTAAGAATCTAAACTAAACTGCATTAGGTTTCTTCTTATTATTAACATTTTACCTCCGTAAGAATCCTAGATTAATTGTAACTCGTGCTCCTAGCAATCAGGAAAAGAAAATTCTCAAAAGTCAAAAAGAATCTGACTAAGATGTTAATGTCTAAGGTCGAACTAATCAAAGCATTGACCTCTGTTTTTGCCTATTGAAAAGGTTAGAGGGACAAAAAAAAAAACAATTGGCACACGCGTCAAACAATTTGATCAAAATTCACCCTTAATCGCATTATTTAGCACGGTCCTATTCTTAGAACGTGAAAGAAAACTCACAAAATGTAAAACTCTATAATAAACAATTCAAGATAGTGGTGATCCATATTGTTGGGATTTTTTATTTTCTACGCTGATCAGGATATTCCGAGATTCTTGAGAGCTAAACACCGTCCATTATATCAAAATCAATGATTAATAACAAGTTTTTGACCATATAAATCTTCAGAAGACAAAAGAACCATTTAGTGGACAGCAACAATCTAGCCGGGCGGACGTCTTTTCGACAAGTTTCTTGCCTTGTTTTTCTGTTTTCTTATTGTTTAATGAGAGCAAGATCCATGGCCGTACCAATTACGGAAGATAATAAAATAAGGGTGAAATTTGTTGTACCTTGTTGGAGGTGACATCATGCAATTGGTCAAGAAGTATCCATAGGCATCAATAATCTCAAACTGTATCTTTAGATTGAGAAAGCCTGTCAAGATAAAGCTCTCATGGTTCTGTAATTTTCTCCATTGAAATCTACAGCTTCTGGTTTTGGAGTTGTAGATTCCGGTGTGAACTGCATTAGAGTAGGATTGTTCTGTGCCACCCGTGAACTGGTCGGTTAACCGAGCAAACTTCATTTAGCCTTTGAAAGTCAGGATTTTTGCCTGATACATTCAATTATCCAAAAGAAGCTGAGAAAGCATCATCTTAACGAAAACATAGGCATTACACTTTACTTTCTGAGAATCCAAGAGTTTCTCGAACTCATAATAAAGAAAAAGAAACTCTAATTAGCAAGAGAATCATTTTAAAATGTAAACATGGAGTTCAACGAAACACAGGTGATTTGAGGAAGTTCATGTTGGCATTTTGACGAACAACTGGTGGGCAAGTCAAGTAAACATGTACTGCGAGATGTTCGACGAGTGAGACTTCACTTGAAAACAAATATGGTCATGACGAAATCGGATTTGTAACTTAAAGTAACAATCCAGAATGATCCTCACAAATTAAGTGTTTCACGTTCATAGCTTAGCTACTTCAACAAGTTCCATAAAAAGGAAGCTAGAGCCGATTATATACCTGTCGATGTTGGTCGTAACGGTCACTTGCCCAATTCCCTTATTTTTATTCCATTTTTTAATTTTGAGATTTTTAAAAAATCTATGTAAATGTAATTAAAATTGAATATATAGTTTCCAATTTATATTTATTGCAAACTGCATTTAAATTTTATTAGTTTTCTTTACAACAATTAGAACTCTTATATTGAGAGATTATCGTGTATTGTCAACTTAAAATCCAACTTTGTTTTTTTCTTTGTTATATTTATCTATAAAATAATATAGAATAAGGATTTATTTTTATTTTTATTATTTACACAATGATGCATTCTAACTTATATAGTCACATAGTATCATTTTTTCAATTATTTTGTGTCGTTTAAAAACATTAATAACGATGGCATTTCGGAATCCGAAATCGATGACAAAAGAAATGAGAGAAGAGGCACAAAAATTTGAAATTTTCTTAACACATGAAAGAGAAAGAGAAGTTGAAGATAGGGGAAGGTTGTTGTTTCTGTCGGTACTGTTTACCAACTTGTTATTACGTACATATGTGTCATGCATTACATTTTTCTCAACCAAAATATGACTACTTCAAAGGTTCACTCAAAGAATGAGTCACATTTTCTTTAGTGTTGAGGCATCCACTTCTTGGACTCAGTCTTTTTCATTTTCTCCCACAACTAATATCATTAGTGTGTTTTGCCTAGACCTAGTTGTATATATATTGCAACATTTCTATGCACTTTAAAAGGAAATAATTGCTATTCTGCTATTCATTTGTTCTCTATGATTCAACATACTCATAAAACAAAACAAAAAGCCACATGTAGTAATTTGTGTATACCAATGGAAGACAGTTTGGTAGTTTTGGCGACATTAACAATTTATAAAATAATTTGAGTCTGACTAAAAAAAAAGCATCTACAGTTTTGGGGTTGGTTTTGTGGGCGGTGATGATGAGTCTTTTGGAACAAAGTGTGATCGGTAAAGAAACTAGAAAGCTCAACTAAAAGGAAAAATGCATGTGGTTTCCTTTTGTTCTATTCACTAAAGACTTTTTCCTTTCTATCGGTGCTTTTTTTCATCTTCTACCTTAGCTCATAAGCCTCAGATCCACGAGGACCACGACCATTTTTTTTTTGCTTCGCATTAGTTATTTCACAATATTTCATTTAATTAATTAAAGAGCTACTAGTAATTAAAAATTGACTTTTTGTTAACGTTAATTACAAGTTGTCTTTTTGTGTTACTGTTGTAATATAATAGGGGTTCTTTTGATCAACAATTTAATATTATGGTTAACCGTAATATTGTAATGTTGGTTCTGGTAACCGTTAATAATTGTGTCAGAAAATGTCGCATTATTTTTTATTCTAATTTTTTTTTTACTAACAAACAAACTGAAAAGAAACCGAAAGGTAAAAAATTAATCGAGGTTAATGCCAGTCATTTGAAGATGATTATATTATTTTAACTTTATTTGTCGGTTATAATTTTGTTTTTCCGATAAATATGAGAAAATTGAGAGTACAGTGTAGGAGTATAGTGTAGTGGGAAACTCTGGAAACAGCTATATAACTTTTTCCTTTTTCTCTATGATTCTGTTGTGAATAATGCAGAGCCGCCGTGAGCTCAGGCACCACCGTAACGAAGAAGAAACCTGAAGGAGAAGAAGCCATGGGTTGTGCTGCGTCGAAGCTCGATAACGAAGATGCTGTACGGCGGTGTAAGGATCGCCGCCGTTTGATGAAAGAAGCTGTCTATGCTCGCCATCATCTCGCCGCCGCTCACGCCGATTACTGTCGATCTCTTCGTCTCACTGGATCTGCTCTTTCCTCATTCGCCTCCGGTGAGCCTCTCTCTGTATCGGATCAAACTCCGGCAGTTTTCCTCCATCCTCCTCCGCTTTCTGAACAATCTCCGGCTAAATTTGTTCCTCCACGTTTTTCGCCGTCGCCTGCTCCTTCTTCTGTTTATCCTCCTTCGACGTCCCCTTCCGTCGCTAGTTCTAAGCAGCCGTCAGTCATGTCCACCTCTTCCAATCGACGCCGGAAACAGCAACCAAAACCTAAACTGCCTCATATTCTTTCGGAGTCAAGTCCTTCGTCTTCTCCGAGGAGTGAGAGATCCAATTTCATGCCGAATTTGTATCCCGGTGCTTATCAGAACTCTACTTACTCCGCTACTCCTTCTCATGCTTCCTCCGTCTGGAACTGGGAAAATTTCTACCCTCCTTCTCCTCCCGATTCCGAATTCTTCAACAGGAAGGCTCAAGAGAAGAAACAAAACTCCGATAGACGCTACAACGATGAGGATACGGAAACAGAGAGGTCAGAGTATGATTTCTTCGACACGAGTAAGCAAAAGAAGAAGCAGTTCGAATCAATGAGCAATGCGGTGGAGGAGGAGACGGAGACGGAGAGAGAGGAAGTACAGTGTAGCGAATGGGAGGATCACGATCATTACAGCACGACGAGCTCCTCGGACGCTGCGGAGGAAGAGGAAGAAGATGATGATGATAGAGAGTCAATTTCCGAGATCGGGACACGCTCCGAGTTTGGATCTACGGTGAGAAGTAATTCGATGAGACGGCATCATCAACAACCTTCACCAATGCCGCAAGTATACGGCGGCGCTGAACAAGGTAAATATGACAAAGCAGATGATGCTACGATATCTTCTGGTAGCTATAGAGGCGGAGGAGAGATCGCTGACATGAAGATGGTGGTTAGGCATAGGGATTTGAAAGAAATCGTTGATGCGATTAAGGAGAATTTCGATAAGGCGGCCGCCTCCGGCGAGCAAGTCTCTCAGATGCTCGAGCTTGGCAGAGCTGAGCTCGATCGCAGTTTCAGCCAGTTGAAGAGTGAGTTCTATTCTCGCTTTCATAACTTGGAATTATCCATGCTTTAATGAGCTTGAGTTCGTGACATTGTGAGTTTTGGTTTGGACATTGTTATTAGAAACGGTGATACATTCGAGTAGCATATTGAGTAACCTGAGCTCTACATGGACCTCGAAGCCACCATTGGCAGTCAAGTACAGGCTCGACACGACTGCGCTGGATCAACCGAACAGTTCGAAGAGCCTTTGTTCCACTCTTGACCGTCTCTTGGCATGGGAGAAAAAGCTCTATGAAGAGATTAAGGTCTTTTACAGTTTTTCCAAATCAGAAGACTTTGCAGGTTTTTACTTTTATGAAATTTACCAATTGAATGTTGGTAGCTGATGAATTTTTTTCCAGGCTAGAGAAGGCTTGAAGATTGAGCACGAGAAGAAGTTATCACAGCTTCAAAGCCAAGAATATAAAGGGGAGGATGAAGCTAAGCTAGACAAGACAAAGGCCTCTATAACGAGATTACAGTCACTGATCATTGTAACTTCTCAAGCTGTTACAACCACATCTGCTGCCATAATCCGTCTTCGTGATACCGACCTTGTTCCACAACTCGTTGAGCTCTGTCATGGGTAAGTTTGCTCTATCTACATAACTGAATCACCTGTTGCTTGATGTTATCTTGTGATCCAACATTTTTCTTGAATTTGACATATTTGGCAAGCAATCATTATTCTTTACCCGTTTTGTTTCTTAAATTCAGTATAGTATTATTCATTGCCACCTACTTTTCATATCTTTGAAAGAATCTTGTGGACTCAATAAGTAGGTGAACAATAATGAGCCCATGCGTTTTAGAATTCTGTGGTCCTGGATATGCTTAGAGTGAGACAAAAAGGTCTCTTACCTCTCTTGTCTATTGTTACAGATTATTTCTTACCTTTTTAAGTTTTATGGCTTTTCCTGTGAAGTTACTGAAATTAGTTAAGCGTATTGACTAATATCTAGTTTTGCCAGAGATGAATGTCTCCTGGTTTCTGGTATTCATCATGTGAAGTCTTTAATCAATTGGAGACATTTTGTTAAACAAATTCACAAGACATTAGATTTGACTTTAAGAGACATTAATCTTTGTGTTTGTTTTCACCTGATGCAGCTTTATGTACATGTGGAAATCTATGCATCAATACCATGAGACTCAGAACAGCATCGTGGAGCAAGTCCGGGGGCTCATTAACAGATCGGGCAAAGGCGAATCAACCTCTGAGCTACACCGACAAGCAACACGTGACTTGGAATCAGCTGTCTCTTCTTGGCATTCGAGTTTCAGTCGTCTGATTAAATTCCAACGTGACTTCATACACTCAGTTCACGCATGGTTCAAGCTAACCCTTCTTCCGGTTTGCCAAGAAGACGCCGCCAATCATCATAAAGAGCCGCTCGATGCTTACACCTTCTGCGATGAGTGGAAACTCGCGCTAGACCGTGTTCCCGATACTGTCGCATCCGAAGCAATCAAGAGCTTCATCAACGTTGTACACGTGATATCCGCAAAACAAGCGGATGAACACAAGATAAAGAAAAGAACAGAATCAGCATCAAAAGAGCTTGAGAAGAAGGCTTCGTCGCTTAGAAACCTAGAGAGAAAATACTACCAGTCATACTCAGTGGTTGGTTTAGGTTTACCAGAGTCAGGACCTGATAACCAACACATGTTAGATGCTCGAGACCCGTTAAGCGATAAAAAGTCAGAGCTTGCGGTTTGCCAAAGGAGAGTAGAGGAAGAGATGGTGAAATACTCAAAGGCAATAGAAGTGACAAGAGCCATGACTTTGAATAATCTGCAGACAGGGTTGCCTGGTGTGTTCCAATCTTTAACAAGTTTCTCTGCTTTGTTCATGGAGTCTCTTCAAACGGTATGCACTCGCTCATACTCTATCAAATAGGACATTATATTATATACACATATAAATTGATATTCTTACAGAGTTACAGTAACAGCGTCAACTCTTAAAGGTTTAAAGTATGGCTCTTGTCTTTCTTTCCTTAATTATGTCTTATAGCATTTTGAGGTCAGTTATTGTATTGTTGGTTTTTTACCAAGAAAGTGTTAAATACATTTCTATTTATTATAAGGAGAATGTAAATAAACAAAGTTTGAAACTGAGGGCGTCGCTTTGATTCTGGATATGAATAGAGGGAATTCGTACGTGGAATGAAGATCTTGATACGTGTAAATGTGATATAACCTCTAACATGTTCTTAATCAGTCAGGATGTGATTTATCTCGGCTATGGTTTAGGTAACTCGAAAAAAGAGGTAAACCTTGTAGTTGTTTTCTAGAGTTTGTGGTTTATTTACTGTGTTTGGCGAGAAAATGAAGAAAACTGGGAAGAAAACATGGGTAACTGTAGGGGTAATAGTCTCTGTAGTGATAATCTACTAAAAGCTTTGATATGATCTTCAATTCCAAGTGGGTGGGGGTGGGGGGACTGTCTCCATCGGATTCTCTCTCGAGTTCGAATCTGACAACTCTTCACTTCTTGTCTGAAAGTGAAACCACATGGTTTTGTAAAATCAGGATTTACTCCATGATCTTCTCTGTGTCTTCTTCTTGCCTTGTGTCCCTCCCAGAACCTAATAGACAAAATCTCTCCTATGTCCCCTCTTGTCTTTATCCTTTTACTGTTTGAGGATAAAAGATCCATACAACGGAAACAAACAAAAATAGTTGCAAAAGAAATATCTTTAATTAGCTCTTTCCATATGAAAGCCTAGACCTGGCTGGCTTCCATTTCCATAGTCCATACAACTGGTCTGATGTCAATGTAATAACTATTTTAAGCATACAAGGTCTGAAATCAACTGATTCAATAAAAATATATTTAACAACATGATCATACCCAAGTACATGTACTCACTTCTCTGGATCATACTCCTTTTGCAACTCTCAGGGCCTCAGGGGCTTGGGATGACGAAACTCACATGACCTGGCTAAATGTGTTTTTGCGCATATCTAGCCAAGAGATCCAAGAACCAAATGACTATTTGAACCTAGAGAATATCATGACCATGAATCTACATTACCCGTTTCAGCAGGAAATCCAGCGTATTGTTTTGTAGTTGTCAAGTGGAATTAAGAGAGCATGGCAAAAGCATCAAGTGATTCCAAGGCTCACCATTGAATTGTCCACAATTCTCTGGTCCAGTCCAGGCAGATCAAATAATTTCAGTTGTGGAGCTGAAATATAAAGGATAAAGGTAAATATGTTATTTGATCATATAAAATTTAACAGTCAGAAAAAAATGCAGGTCATATGTCTCATCACCTATGTACAAAAGAGTAAAATATTAAACTTAAAGCTCCTTTGATAATAACATGTGATACCCACCAACTTAAAACTTTAGGCTCTAAACAAACTAGTGCACTAGATCGTATTTAGTGGTGGCAACATACTATAGATAACTATATCACTGATACCAAAGACATTCAGACACCCAACTTAATTGTAACTTATGATTGTGTTACTATCTTAGAAATTAGACCAAAGAAGGCAATCAATTCCAGTTACCTGTACACCATTTATATCTTCATACCAGTGGTTTGTGCGCTTTAAAAAGTCCACATTTGATCACCATTTTCCCAAAAATTATGTGTACCACCAAATATGATAAAAGTCAAGCTATATGGTGACAGTTACACGGGCGAGAATTTGCAGTCCAACGTAGCAGCGATATTATCAAGAACTTTGTTGAAATGTGGATCTTCTAGTCCTTTTATTGTCCATTGTAGCAGTCTGATATTAATGTCACTTAGTATTGGATCTCCATCTTCTGTACAGTGAAGTTGTATCAGGCGATCTATACACTTGACCAAGTATTTGCTGGATCTTAGCTTAAAATGGTTAATAAACTTCTCGGCGTCCTCTCCAGCTTCAAAACTTGATACACACATACTCTCCAAAGTGTCAGTTAAGTTGAAAACAAGAAGTGTGCCCTCAATAGCCTCCTCCTTGGTAATTTCATTCGGCAGTAAAGCAGATATTCCAGAGAATCCCTTTCCTTGTTTGAATCCGGTACTCCTTGATTTATTAAAGGCAAGAATTTTCCCAGTTGCAGCATAGTGCAGTACCAGTTCATACTCATCATCTGTTACTGAATATGGAGAACCAAAAAGTATGCCAACCACGACTCTTCTTACCAAAAAATTGTTTTGGAGGCCACAGCAGAAAGATGGATGTGTTTTCCGAGAATCCAATTCATAAGAAACTGAATTGGTGATTTTGTTTTCAAATTCTCTCAATAGGTCTTCCACAATACTAGAAGACTTTATTTTGCCAGAAACAAGCCTATCTGGTTTCTTTCTCTTGCCAGTTATAGTCTCAGTACGATGTGCTTCTGAACCGCAACTGTTGCTGATACATATCTCTGAGACTCTAATGAGAGACTTACTTACTGATACTTGAATGGTTCCACTTCCAGGGTTTAGAATCCAAGAAATGTATGTAGCCGCAGCAATGGAGAGATCTATATCACATGCTTGTCTACAATCAGCCACTTTTGAAGTGCATCTATGGTGGATATTTTCAAACGAATTTCCTTCTGAGAAGAGCATAGCAGAAGCAAAATAGAACCAATCTGGGAAGTTAATAGCCAAAGCCCTGCCATAAGATACAACATCATTCAAAACCCACTCACACACACGTATATATAAATTGATCAAACATCAGGTAATCATTTTGCAGTTTCATGTAAAGTTACCATTCGGTTTTGTCATCTAATGCTTGAACTTTTATTGGAGTAGGCTTACAATTAGTATCCCGTTGTTGTTGCCTAGGGACAGCAGATGCTTTACTGACAGTATGAGCTAACATTAGGAGGGACTTGAAACTGAGAGGACCAGCCAAGATTCTCAGAAATTGACACTGGAAAGGAAAGTATGTATCAGAAAATGGTAACATGGAAGCTAGTTCCATTGGTATACCCCACAACGATGGTCTTGAAATTGTATCCATTATTGCAGAGACCAAGCCAGCAAGTACTTCAAAAACAGCAGCAAGTCCCCTGGCGTTAAGAATGAAATTGCATCAGAAAGCAAGAAAGATGGAAAGCTAGAGATGACAAAGCATAAGATTACATGTATCTATTATTGTAGATTTACACGACACGAATTGGATAGGAACTCACGTAAGCAAAAGCCATTTATGTAAGAGGGCTCTAGTGTTGATAAACATAGTAGGAGACAGCGCTAAGCAGATGACAATATCGCGCCACTCTGCCCTCTCGAAAAGCTCCTTTTTTAGACAAAGGAAAGGCCTTTCCACCACATCTTTCAAGATTCTGGAAACATCTTCCTTCAAAGACAATGGATCTTGATACCAGAACAGAATCCTGATCATTAAAAAGTGTCAGACCGGTCTACCTTTTTCTGAAACAAGAGAGCAAACATCTCAGAAGCTGTGGCTTCAGTTTCACAAGTTCTATCAACTAATATGGAAAATGCAGACTAACATAGCTTGGTATAGAAACAGTACAAGAGGTCAAACCTCAGAGGTATCTCGTGGTTCTCTATAGATGATTGTCTCGGTAAGTAAGCAAGAAGCTTCGATACAGCCCTATTTCGTCCATCCATAAGATTTCTATGCGCGTTGAAGCTGCTGATCTTACATGTTGAAGCTGCTGATCTCACAACAGCCTGGAATAACAATGTAGCCAATCTTCCTATGAACAGTTCCAAGTCAGAAAAATATGAAAGAACAAAAAGTTTAAACTCCTAGGACAAGCTAAATAAAACCCACCATTTGCCCCCAGTTTATCAATAATATCCTTAGAGATTTCGATCAATTCTTCAGAGCACTGAGGTAAATTGGAGCTCCCAAACTGTAATGTTTCCTCGTTTCGATACTTAAGTACCTTACAATTGCTTGAAGATGATAAGGCGCAAACAATTGTTCGCACCATATACTCAATCGCTGAATCGAAAACCTGAATTCAATAAGTAAGAACCCAGCATACGTAGAAACAATGCAAATCCAGAAGAAATGAAACTAACCTGAGGTGCCTTGAAGCACATTAGAGACAACGATGCGTCCAGAACCCTGACCCCAGAATCCTCGGCGCCGATGTCCAGAGTCAGAGATCGGTTAAGCCCCGAGATAGCTAGTCCCATAGAGGAAGTAGACTCTTCCACTTCTTCTTCGAATAATTGATCTCCATTCTGAAGCCTGTAAGCAAGCGCGGCCAAGAGATCGGCGACTGCAGACGGAGAGGACATCGAACAGCTGAGCAGAATCAATCGCCGGCGATGTTAGAATTACGAAATTACTAAAGACTTGGATCATATAAACCGGTTAAGCTAAATGTTTGTAATTCCCACTCAGAACACAAACCGGTTAAGCTATGACTTATATGGTATGAAGTAAGCTATTAAGCCTAAGCCCAATTGACATTGAGGCCCAATTTGGTGACGACACCGTAGCCTCTCACATTACGATTTGTTTCCTTTTTTAATTTGTATTGACACGTGTCTTTGGGTGGTCTTTACTTGATCCAATCTGCTTCTGTAAGCGGTGCGTTGTTGGGCGGGTTGTGTTTGTTTCGTAATCTGTTATGTATATGTTGGGCTTTACTTAGCCTTGTAAAATTTACTTTGGAAAAGAAAAAAGAAGCTAATTATAATTTATATTTGTCATATGCTCACAGAAATGTAGTTGGTAAAGAGAGTATGTAAGCCGAATATGCTCACAATATATATCTTGTGTTTGAGTTTGATGTATCACAAGATTCGAAGCATAAATTATTTGTCACCTTCTCTGGCTTTCTGCACCCATTGCCTCGTCGGTTTTCTTGGATCTTGCGAATTCTGCTTCCTGTGATTGACATTATGTCCCCGGCCTCGGCCTCTGCCTCTCCCTCGACCTCTCCTGTTGCTGGAGCTGCTAGAGTTTGTCTCCGATTCAGCTTCTTTGGGTTCTTCTTCTCCTTGTTCTTGGCTTTGACCAGCTTCTTCTTCTTCGTTTGGTGACGATGATGCAGGAGCTGGTGGAGGAAGATACATACCTGGCACAACCGATATGGTTTTCTTTGGTTGAACCAAACCGCCTTTTTCTTCCTGCGTCTTTAGAATAGCCTCAAACCGCTCTCTTCTTATGTTCTCTGAATCTGACTGGAGCAGCGGGTCTTGGTCCTCACCTTGTATTAAACAAGAGTCCTGCATATCAGCAAATGCAGTCAATAAAAGAGAATTAAAAGTTGAATCTTGGATTGTGAATTGAGGGCTCAATGAAAGGCACTGGATCGAATCTGAAATTGATGGCTCACTCACCTGTAGAGATGATTGACCACCAACTAAGTCAAGAACATGTTCAATGTCACTCGCATGAAAAACTTTGCGGCACACTGGACAGTTTCCCAAGCTTCCAGAATTACCTGCAATACTTATTTATTTAGATTAAGTTTTCCAGTTTCCATCAAAAAGGATCTTGCGATACAAACCTTCTCGAGTACTTGATCCTCTACGCATATGTAAAGTGTCGCCAGATTTCAAATCAGCATCTTTCTGTGCATGAAGCCAATTCCACCACCTAATGATGCACTCACTGATCACTTGAAATCAACAAAGAACAATTAGACACCTTAGGCATTGGAAAATAATCCCAAAATAACAAAGAAAAGAGAATTGTAACTGAGGCTAACTATTCTTTACCAGTGGAAACAATGAAAACAAGACATCAGCTTCATAAATGGCATTTGTTTACTCCCGCCTTCCTCAGGGAATAATGGATACAAACACAGTGGACAATCTCCATCCGGGTGATTCATAATTGTGAGCCTCTCAACTGCTTCCTAGAAACATATATGTTTAGTACACTACATGACATTCTAATCTTAATCAAGATTGCATATGTATATCTTCGCACATACAGACAGTGTCTGCTCGTGATTCAGCAAACTGGACTTTTTTCTTAATCTGCATACGACTTATTTCCTTCTAATTACACAAGATCTACCAGTCGGTTATTTTTCATCAACGAAATGAAGTAAAATTCATTTGCAGTAGCATGGTGCAATGGAGGATGAGAATTGCTCCACATAGTGTACAGTAGAATAGAAAAAAATATATGGAGATCTTACCTCACAAAGTTCTACAAGCATTAAAGAAGATGATAGTTGAGAAGCTTTCTCTTGCACAATGCCAATCAAATGCTTTTGCCTTTGGTCATCAAGACCCTTGGATTCAATCAGACTAATTCGAGGTGGTTCATCTGGATACTGTAATAACAGAAGAAGATAGTTTAGCTAAATGGCTCAATAAGAAAAGCTCAAAGATAATGGCATTGATACTAAATCTACCTTAGAACCTGCTTGGATTCTCACAACAGCTTCCACAAACTGCAGAGCAGAAACAATGTTACCAAATAGCAGGAAATACATCAAACATCAAATCATATACAAAATAAATTTCAGAGGATCACTGAGTTCTTGCTACTGAACTTGAAAGCAAATTTTGGGCAAATCGAAGTCACATCAAATCATACTACAAAAGCAATTAAAGTTTTCTACTTGTTAAGGTCGAATTACAGATTTGGACGATCGCCAAATCTGAAAATATCAATGCGTAAATTGTGGGGTTTTCAGAAAGTTGTCGATTCCGAAGAACAAATCAGAAGAAAATTGGGGAAAAAAGAACCTGCTGAGAAGAGATCTCGGCGGTACGGGGCTTGATATGGAGGTGAAGATGAGGAGGATATGAATCCAGTATAACGCAGTCTTCGCCGTAAACTGCTTCTAGAGCTTCCACTTCCATGGCTACCTCTTCCTCCGTCATCTTTAGAAGAGGAAGAGGCACACACACAGACGGCGAAGAAGCAGACCTCTTTTGTTCTCTTTTATTTTCGCCAAGTTTTCATTATATTAATATGTTATCAATAAGTATATATTTTGTTGAAGTTTCCTCTAATATCTAAAACGGCCCAATATTATATCAACAGCTCTGATTTCGTCCATATTTAATAGTTCTCAAATTCACCCTTCTAATATCCGAAGTAACTTACGTCGAAAAGGGGTGTTTTTGTTAATTCAGTTTTTACATCCACGATAAGTAAATTTTAAAAAATTGCTATCAAAGAAGTAAATAAGAAAAAGATTTCGCAATAAAACAAATTATTAAAAAAAAAAAGACGTAGCGATGACGGAGTTGAATTTAACCGGGAATCTGCCGACGGGACTAAGAGGCTATCTATGGCCGTACATGTACTTAGAGAGCTTGACGGTAAGTATTTATTTGATTCAGTGCTGCGAATTTTCCATAAAGTTTTATTTTTTTGAACGAAATCGAGCTTCTTTGCTGTTACTTTTTAACAGATTTTGTGTCGTTGAATCGAGCATGTTACTCCCTTGTTTCGGTACGTGGCTTGTTTGGGAACATGTTTGCTTCCCTGTTTTGTAAAGACCGATAATTTAAGCTGTTAATGATGGTAATTGTTCAAATCTCATACATTCTCTTACTTATCTAGTTGATGCAAAATACAATACTGGTTTTGCTTGGAGAATTGTCTTATAGAGTTTGAAGAATTGTCTTTTTAAAACTCTACTTCTCTTGAGAATTCAGAGTTTAGTTTGTAGAATCTATGTATTCTCAGATTCTTATCTGCAAGTCTGACCAAATGACTAGATTTCTTTCTTCCCCAAATCTACTTACTTGTCACTTAACTGTTAACGCCTATATATTACAAACATAGATAATTGGGAAGATATGAAAATTTTGTCAATCAATTAAGATTGGTTATTTGAGATACTGTTGGCGAGGTTACTAGAAATTGTTAGACCAAGGACCTATAACTGGTAAAAGTAGTGGAGTTAGTGCATGATGAAACAAACTAACTTTGCTAAGACTCTACCTCTGTTCTCTTTGGTGCTTTTGCTGTTGGACATGGTGCTGCTATTACTCAGCCTTTACTAGAATTTCTATGCCTAGTCTTTTTGTTGACCTGAAATAAGTTCTCAAAATATTAATATCTTACATTTTCTTCCACTGCCTGCTATCTTTTTTTATTTTTTTGGGTAAGTCTTAACCCTTGCTGTGTTGATTCATTTATCAAACTTTGCTCTTAGATGAGAAACTAATATGAATCTAACCCGGATAGAAGAGAGTTCCAGGGATTTAGCTGGAGGGTACAGTTACTTTAGCATTATTCTCAAAGCATAAGGATACACTTATATGACAACAAGTTATGCTTTTATGAGATATAAACAAGTGCAGTTTACTTGCAGTTATGTGATAATCTAGTGATATTAAGCCATATACTAAAAAACAAGATGCATGCAACTTAGGTCCGCATAATCCAACATGGGAACAGCCTTGTCGAACTGTATGATTTGGGTGACAGTCATTAACACCATCTTCATAAATTGTTCTTCTTGAGTGTATCAATGAATCTTTGTTGTGTAATATCATTGCTAGAGATATAGTCAAGAAAATCGTTGAAGCTGAATTCTCCATAGGCAGCTGGTTTATTTTCATTGACGAGCTCAAGTGCTGGACTTATTTTCTTGTGCAGAGGCAGACTGTGAAGACTTGCAAAAGAGAGCCGCTTGTAATCTTTGTTCACTGTTACACGATGAACCACACTCTTGTATATGCCATTGCTCATGACTTCTATTTGATCTCCCAACTGGACTATCAGAGCTCCTTCAATATACGGCACACAAACCCAGTTCTTATTGCAGTCCATTATCTGCAGGCCCTGGCTACTCTGGAGTAAGATGGTCAGTGAGCCAAAGTCCGAGTGTGGTGGCATTCCCAAGGCAATTTCGGGTTCGGGACAAGCTGGATAGCAGTTCACCGCCATGACTTGCGAGTCTTCTTCAATTTCTTCTTGTAAGTAATTTTTCTCCAGTCCTAGACTTTCTGAGATAGCTTCAATTAGTTGCTTATGTAGCACATGCGTTGCTTCTGCGTATTTCCCCACTTTTTCCCTGAAAAAAAAGGTCATTGGCAGGAGACTATATCAGTTCTGAGTCCCAATGTTTTGATACATAATTCCCCAAATCGGATTATTATACCCGTCAAAGGAGAACAAGTTATGTATAATATTCAGATAGTGAAGATGGCCTAGATAGGTTCGCTTACTTGTAGCATGGAGGGTTGGATGGCCACAAATCGATCCACTTTGAGAGAGGATGGGAGTAATGTTTGATGAAATCTCTCCAGTAATGAACTTTGTCTGTTGAATGGTTTAAGCTGGTGCCATACCTGACTGGTGTATGGACGTTATCAGAACCCAGAAGCATCTTCTCATCGACTGGTAAGTCAAAGAACCTTGTAGCTGCATCTAGTGCATCTTTCACCACTGATGATGATATTCCATGATTTATAATCTGTAGAGAATTAAGATTGGATCTGAGTTGTGTTATAAAGTATGAAGATAAGCATCTTCACATGGCTACTTTTTTAAGTCTCAATAAAGACAGTAACTAAGGACTTTGTTTTTTTTCAGTTTGTTTTGATTAGGGACTTTGTTGAGTATGAGATAAATGCAAAAAGACAATAATTGCCTTTCTCATAAAGTCATATATCAGATGTGATTGGTAGATGCTATAAAACATTACACTAGTCCTAGTGACCAGAGAAATGAAACACATGGCTGAATTTAATGAACTATAGACAGATGAATAAGAAGACACTCAAACATGAAACTTGTTATTCATTTGGATAGTAATAATGCATGAAAATAAGTTGCATAACTTGTAATGCGTAATAAGTAGACAAAGAGAGTATAAACATTACCTGAAAGAAACCAAATCCCTTGCAGGCCATTTCAATCTCATGGATGACACAGGGTCTAAGCAAAGGATCGTGTAAGAGGGAGAGATCAATGACAGGAAGCGTGATGGTGTCACTGCCAATGCTTGAACCGAGCATTGGTCGTTGTGAAGGTGGAAGAATGTAACGAGTAGGCACATGCTGAAGGAAACCTGAGTCGGTAAGTGCCATAGCACTGGTGAAGCAATCATCAACCACACTCTTATTTGTTTCTTCCATTGATTTTTTTTTTGCAGGAATCTGTTTTGGTACTTGAGATTCTGTTTGTTTATCCAACTCTGTCCTAAGTTATAGTAAAGAAACATGCAAAGCCCGTTTATATATACCCATGAAGATAACCTGTTTCTAGAAAAAGACAACATTTCTGCTTTTCTCTTTGAATACGGTTTTGGAAACTACCAGGTTTGTGTTCATATACATAAACATTAAACGAATGGTTAGATCATCGTTTCAAAATAAAGAATTCCCATTTGGTTTTTAAGATTTGCCACGTAGGATTGAAAGGTATCTGTGAAGGGTCTATGACTAGTTGCATGTTTTGCTTTTTTGAATATTTTATGAAAAAAGAAAAGGTCATCCATCAAATGGTTTTTATTCTTAACGGTTTCTCTCTTTTTCCTTTATAGGTTATAAAAATACATTATCTTTGATATTTTTTGGTTCTGAAATGAAACTAGTATTGGTATAGGTACATTGGTGTGTGTATTACTAAACTATAGATGAGCTATTAATAAGGTTTTGGAGTTATATGAAGTTGAATGATATTATCTGAACTTGGCTCGCTTGAATCAATGAGATGATGTAAACATTGTGGACGAAGGGGAAAAAAGTGATGATTTGTTTTCTTGTGCCTCAGAGGATTCATTTGAAACGAGAAAAAAATAAAAATAAGTGGCTGACAAGTTGAGAGACAAGATTTTTTCAACTTGGTGGTAGTTCCAAAATTCAATCTGCCACATATTTTTCCAAAGTTTTAAAACAAAACAATGCGTTGACTTTGACTCATGTCGGTACTTGGGCCGAATAATAGTTGGTCCAACCTTATGGTAATAAGGTTTGGGTCTTGGGCTTTTAGCACTTGGAGTTTCAACAAATATTTGATAATAACGTTTGGTAGTTCCATCATATGATAAATAACTTTGTATTGTTTTTTTATCAAATACTTTTGTTTAAATTTGTAAACTCAAACAACAAAAGAAATTTTTAACAAATAAGTGTTGGAATATGTCACCAATTTAGATCCTCTGGCAGATTTAGGTTTCACTTCACACGTTTTTATTGGTGAGAGAGAAATGATTGGTCTTTCTTCATAAGAATTTAGTTTATGAGATCTTATTGCTGTCATTGACAAAATTTCAAAAATTGCTAAATATTTTATCAAGAAACACCGTATCGAATTCTGTATATCGATTATTAGAAAACAGATTATAGATCGTGGTGGCCATTTCCTACGATTATAATAGATCATTTTTTCCCTATAATTGTTGTTTAGGTCTCATTCCGATTATTTACTATCCTATTTCTTTCTTTTACTCCTTGGGAAAGTGCAAGACATTTTTACCAAAAAAATAAAGAACTCACAAAATATTCAAATTCAGGTTTGATCAGAACTGTTTTTCTAAATAAAAAAATTCGTTTACATGAATGGTAAACTTTCGAGTCTTTCAATACAAGAAGTAAATCATTTGTCTCTAAATGTCATGATAAAAAATTGAGAAAAAATGAATTTAAAACAAAAAAAAAAAACAGCTTATGAAATTGAGTTGGCAATGGAAGCCATGACTTCTTCAAACATTCTTCTTTATTAACTCTCCCATAGTAGTAGTCGTCATCGTCCTCCTCACCTCATAGCCTCTCTATATAACTAACCTAATCTCTTCCTTAACTCTCTCTGTCTTTTCATCTATCTTCTGACATTATATATCTCAATGGGATCAACCGTGGCCGCCGCTCTCCTCCTCTTCCTAGCGGCATTCCCTGCCGCCTTCGCCGTAACTTTCAAAGTCGGCGATATTTCTGGCTGGACTAGTAATATTGATTACACGGATTGGGTCAGTGGAAAGACTTTCAGAGTCGGTGACACTCTAGGTAAATAAAATGCTTGTTTTTACACTACACATAGATTACTTGTGTCACAATAAACATCTTTTTCACCTAACAAGATGATGATTTTTATTCTTTCAGAGTTCATATATGGTCTTTCACACTCGGTGTCCGTGGTGGATAAAGCCGGCTACGATGGCTGCGACAGTAGCGGAGCGACACAGAATTTCTTCGATGGAGACACTAAGATCGATCTTACAACAGTTGGAACAATGTACTTCCTTTGCCCTACTTTTGGTCACTGCCTTAATGGCATGAAACTCGCCGTTCCCGTCCTTGCCGCCGCTCCATCTCCGTCTACCCCTTCTTCGCCTCCCTCCCCACCTTCGCCTCCCTCTCCGCCTCCCTCCCCACCTTCGCCTCCCTCTCCGCCTCCATCTGCATCTCCGCCAACCAATGGCACGCCGGATTCAGACACATTGACGCCTCCACCGACTCCATTGACACCTTCGTCTCCAAACGCAGCGTCTAAGGGAGTCATGAGCTATGGAATAATTGGAGTCACGATGATATTGATGTACGGTGTTATGACATAAATTACAGGGTGGAAACAGAGCATTTTTTTGGTCGATGTCTTTTTTGGTCGGCGGTCTTTGGAACTACTCACCACTACGTGCTCTTTGTGTGTTAGTAGTGTGTAACGAAACTCTTTTTTTATCCATTGACCATTTTTCTTCTTCTTTTATTGATTACTTGTGGGGTTGATAAACGTGATAGCCATCTCCCCGCTATGTAACCTCTACAAAGTCCAAACATTCAAAATCGGGTTTGATAACAAAGGAAAACGGTTTATCTTCAACTGGTTTAACTAATTATGTTACATATGACTTTAGATACAAGTTGAGGATAATTGGGTCAAAACAATTCAATTGTCAAATCTTCTACAAAACAATTCAATTGCCAAATCTTCTAACTGCATCTAAACAAAACCCAAGACGTTGATGTAAGCTAACGAAAACCAACGTTGATTGAATAAAAATGAAAATCTGTAGAGCATATAACATTGCTAATATACCGGATTTATTGATAAAATATTGTTCATCACGAAACAGAGCATACTTTATGAGTTTATAACGCATGTTATATGGGAAACTTTCGAGTACATCATATTTCAGATTCGAAATCATATATATACATGTCATGATTTTTATTAAAAAAATATTGAAGGAAAAAAGTTTGCATATGGATAGTTAGTCATTTTACAAAGAGAAATAATTTTGTAAAGAATAGAGAATTCGTAAACATAATAACAATAAGTTTTATACAACTACTGTATATAAAAAAAACAGCTGACGAACTAGATATATTGAATTGGCAATTGATCAAGCCATGATATTTTCAAACATCTCACGTCACGGCCTTTTTCTATATAACTCACCTCACATTTTAGCCCCTTCCTCATGATTTTATAGATATCTCAATGGGATCAACAGCCGCCGCTCTCCTCCTCCTAGCGGCAGTCCCTGCCGTTTTTGCCGTGACTTTCAAGGTTGGTGATAGTGCTGGTTGGGCCGGTGGTGTCGATTACACGATTTGGGTTAGTGGAAAGACTTTTAGGGTCGGTGACACTCTAGGTAAATAAATTGTTTGTTCACTTGTTTTCCCCCTAACAAACTAATAACCATTTAGGTTAAATTTGTTTATACTGATTACTTGCTTCACAAGAAAGTCATTCGTTTACCTTCTAACAATCTAATGATTTGTTGGTTTTTTTGTGTTGACGAATCAGAGTTCAAATATGGTCCTTCACATTCGGTGTCCGTGGTGGATAAAGCCGATTACGATGGCTGCGAAACTAGCAGACCGACGCAGAGTTTTTCAGGCGGAGACACTAAGATAAATCTTACAAGAGTAGGTGCTATACACTTCCTTTGCCCTAGTCCTGGTCACTGTCTCGGTGGCATGAAACTCGCCGTTCCCGTACTTGCCGCCGTTTCATCAGCGCCTTCACCGTCTCCATCAGGGCCATCGCCTTCTCCATCGCCGGGAAACGCAGAAAACGTGAAAAACGCCGAGTCTAAGAGAACCATGAGCTATGGAATGATTGGGGTGACGATGGTTTTGATGTACGGTGTGATTAGATAATTTCCGCAACAATTGGCTCGATATTGTTTGGTCTTGGTCTTTCCAACTACTCCATCATCAATTGCTCTTCTTGTGTGTTGTACCCTAATAATTTTTTTACCCTTGGTCAATACTTTTTGCTTATCATGTTCTACATGATTATTGAATACACTAAAAATCATAGATTCCGCTTCCTTCCTATGGGTTTTAGCTCATGGAACAATATTTGCCGTTTGGGACATAAGGAAATACAAGTAGTCATATATCTACGCCAAATTAGTGCGTCAAAGGACGGCTCCGAGTGATTAGAAAACCAAATCTTATAAAGAAAAAGACGTAGTATTAAATTAATCCGTTTGTAAACTGTAATATAGTCATCGCAACTTGTATTTTTTGGATTAACAAATTTGTTCCAACAGCAACATTACATTTGACTACTGTGAATGTGAAATACACATCTTCGTGGACCCGGTTATATTTGTATTATATGGACTGGTAACACTTAAATTATGTGGCTATATAGACCAGTCCATTGTTTGACTGTTCAAGTACGGTTTATGATGGGTAATTTAAAACAGACATGGTTTAGGAGAACACACCATCATTAGCTTCAGCTTTGTGAAGGAGAACCGATCATATTCATCAAAGGGTTGTAAAAAATTGGACAGAGAGAAAAAAAAAAAAGAAGCAAATCAAATTGATTAAGGTCAATAAAATTTGGTCGAGAGACATAATTATAATTTTGTATAGTTAAAGCTCATCACGAGTTTGTTCATTTGTAAATTTGAAATGCGCTACATAAAAGATAGCTATTGAATGTTGAGAGTCATTGTTTGAGTCTTCTGAGTACTGGAAATGTAACCAAATGATTATTAGCCCAAACACCAACTAGCCAACAACGTTTTACAAGCACCACAAGTTAGAAAAACTGACCCCATAGGAAACAAAATCTGAACCTGGTCTCATAGAAATAACACCCCAATGTCCCAAATTTCATGAACCAACACTAATATTGAGGAAGATGGAGTGAAGAGCGAGAGAGAGAGAAACCTTGTCTTCTTCTTTGCTTGCTTGCTCTGTTGTTGTTTTAGCTTTGATATAAGGGTTTTTGAGGTGTTAGATCTTTCTACTTACAAAGTAGTCTTTGGTAAGCTATTTGCTATTGACTGAGAAGACTGTATGAGGGCAAATCTTCGAGACTTGTAATGTCTTCAACCATAATCTCTCTCTCCAGTTGCCGCCTTGTCGATTTCATTACAGTCTGTTATTCACAGATTCACACAATTATCACTTAAGCCACAATTCATTTGGTGAACTTATATGTATAGGGCAAGATAAAACACCAAGAGTCAAATCTATTAATACCCAAAGTTTCTTCGAATCTAAAGCTTTTTGCGACATTAGTATAGGTTACAGAATATACTTACGTTAAACTCCATGTATGAAGCACGCATGGAGAGCCATTGCTGATCCATTAGCTTGAAGGCAATGCAATAAAGAAGGTCAAACGCAGATTCATTCACTGCTAATAACACAAGTCGTAGGACACAGGCTTAGCATTCTAATTCGTGACAAGAGAAGAAGTCATGAAATATAATAAGAATTGTCTGAGAATTACCCGAAAGGAATCTCAGAAATGTTTCCCCAACGATACTTCGTGGTTTCACTGTAAAATGGAAGGGTGTCTATTGTTAATTACACAACTAGGATACTATTACTGAACCTGAGTATCTCAAATAGGGTACTCAAAATAAGGCAAATGCCCAAATAGAAGATAAAAAACTAGAGGTAGTTATGCTATTGAAGCTAGTTGTAGCAAGATTGCTGCCACATGTAACAACAGTTCACAAAGGAATATTTATGTAATCATGGAAATAATAAATGTGGTTGTACCTGCTTCGAGGTCAAGCATCTGGATGAGCATGAATGTTATATTGATGCCAGCAACAGCAAAGGGGTATTCCCACACTGAACGATCCCCAACCTGTTTCCGCAGAAGGTCTTGGAAGGATTTCTGTAGGAACAACAAACAAGCGGCATCAGACACTGAGTGACCGGATTAAAATGGTGTACAGATATGGTGTCACTGGAATTGAACATTGTAACGAAAAGACAATTTGAGAAGCATTTGCAACTGGTTATTTATAAAAGCGTACCGGGAATTTCCTAGCAAAGTACAACAAGTTTTCAAGTGAAATAAAACCACCACCCCTGCCAGATGCTCTACTGTAAGTCAATTGAAGTGGAAAAAAGTCTAAGGATGACTGAAAGAAGATAAGAAGTGACATTACCTAAAATCTGTTGAAGGATCTTTTCCTTGCCAACCCATTTCCTTCCACTGCTCAGATACAACTCCGTGTAGCTCTTCTTCAGGAAAGGCAAGTTTCCAAAGATCCTTCAGAGCTTCCTACACGCATATGAGATATAGCAAGCAAATGTAACGCAGGTAGAGTTTGACTAATGAAGCTAGCATGCAGTAAAACTGAAGAGCTGGTAAACTTGAGAGGGTGACCATCTATTTTATGGCACATAAGTTTGTTGTGAGCAGTACTTACAAACACAACCCTGAAAGGAAAGCATACCTGATGCTGAGATATTGAGCTGTCATAGGCAACATCAATGCGGCTTTGCAACCTCTGCAGGCATTCCTCCTGCAAGCATTGACAATAAGGATCATAGAAGTTATAATATATTGTATTTGAAAATGACTAACGAGAAGTCAGCTTATATTAGAGGAGAAACACGCAATCTATTATACAGTAAAGCAATTAAAACAGAGGAAAATGGTACCTGAGCAGGCGTTAGATCAAATGAAGGACGGGGGTCACCGTCTCTTCCCTGAACACAAACACAGGAAAGGCCACGGCCTAACCACGCTGCCGATCCAGCTACAACCTCAGCTGCAATAAAAATAAAATCGTAATTGTGAGCTTATGATGTTTATTTAATAAAAAAAGAAATGATTTCTTCATGCAAGAGGGTGACTAGTCAAACATCTTTAGGCATACTTTTATATATAAGAAATACGATAATTAAAGTCTCTATAATACGTGAGAAGCATACAATTTCCGTTTAACCAGAGACTTGTCAAAATACAGAACGATGAAACAAAATTTCAAAGATTCCAAGCAAAAAAATCCATTAGCTTTCCCCCTTATTCACAATCAAAAAAATTGAAACAAGTAACAAAGCAACATGCTTCCATGGAAAACAAACTAGCAATTGAGTCAAAAGAGAAATGGAATCTGCGGGGAAGACTAAAATCTCAACTAGAGAAATCAACAACGCAAACAATTTCGTATGGGATGATACTAAAAATAGGACTCACAAAGAAGATCAACACACATAATAAAAAAAAACTCCACGAATTTATGAGAAAGAGCAACGAAAAAGCAAATGGCGAAACATTAGATCTGCAACACCAAATCTCAAATTAAAAAAAAAGGCAATCGCCAGCGAATCGCCAGATAGAGAGAAAAAAAGAGAAAACGTGGAAAAAGTGAGAGAGAGATAGAGAGATAGAGATAGAGATGTATAATTTGGTTTGAGAGATAAGAAAACGCGTTTGTTCCATAAGAGGCAAAAAAAAAAAAAAAAGCATCGTATCGTATCGTACAAAGAGGTATCTCACGAGTGAAGATGAAAATTACCAGAAGAAGAATGATAAACACTTCCTCGTTCTAGACCTTGTGAAATCCTTCTCACTGCTACGAACGATCCTCCTCTATCATCCATCTCTCTCTCTCTCTCACTCTCTTTTCACCTCAATCACCAAATTTCTTCAATCAAATGCAGAAACAAACAGCAAGTACAGTTATCGAATCAATCGGAACTTTTCGGAATCTGAATCAAACACAGACGCAATGCGAATCACAAAACTTAATCCATATCATGAAAAAGTGATCAAAAACACCTAAACAGAGAAAATGATACTATAATTACCGCCGGAAAACGAACAAATCAGCGTCGCTGCTTTCATTCACAAACCACAGAGAGAGATAGAGAGATTGACGAAAACAGTTAGGGTATCGAGATCTACCGAGGGAGTCGCCGGAGTTTGTGCGGCGATTGAGCTTATCAGGTGGCGGAATCGGCCGTTTCTCTTCTTCTTTTTTTATCTCTCTTTGGGTTTAAGAAAACAAAAATGGGGGATTAACTAAAGGATCTGGCGCGTGTTGTTCAATCGCTATCAAAAGCTTCGTAACGGCAAATTAAATGACTCGTGCGGTCATCGGTATTCAAGTCGGGTGTCAACGACAATCTTCGACTAATTGATTTTTCTTTTATTTATCTTTCAATCTCTCTATTTTTAAGCATTTCTTTAAGATTCTGTTTTCTACTGTTGTCGACATCGTTAATATAGTTGTAACATAATCATAATTCCAAATGAATTACAATTAACTTATGGTTATTTGTTTTCACTTTTTTCTATATACTAACAAACAACCATTAGAAAGTTTTATTTAAAACCAAAGATCTTCTTCAGAACAACGGCAAATTTTTGAATTACCTAATCAAAATATTGAAATGTAATCTTACAAAACTATATGATTAGCCAAGTCTTAGTGCCACCCTTGCGTTTGCAAGTTGTGACGCTGCAAGTTTAGAAATGCATTGTCGAAATTAAAATTGTTTAATTAAATAAGACAAATTTTTATTTAATCAAAGCTATCAAAACTTAGCTTTCAATCTAGTTTTTGTTTAATTTCTTAATAAGCCAAAACATCGAATCCGAGTAAGATAATATAGCACGTAGAGGTAATAATATTGTCTTACAAAGCTACTCACATAAGTGAGATCACGGTCTCATGGGTGCGACAATTTTTATTAAGGCGTGGGCCAATAGTATGACCGGCATGGCTTAACTATAGCCGACCCGCGTGTAAAATTGCCTTTTCCTTTTGTTCGTGTGATTAGACATTCACTTATTTATTAACATGTCAATTATTTAGATCCTTACATTAATGCAAACAAAGAGTACTAGTAAAATTCGAATATGATTAAGTTAACGATTGTGTAAAACTTTTGGGAGTTGTCAAAAGTCGGTGTAACGAGGCATGACTACCTGTCTCCGACAAAGGCTCCGTTCTGCAAAAAATGTTTCTAGATCCCAAAAATTATGTTTGGGTCATTACTCATTATATATTTGTATATATACAAAAAAAAATAGCGATATACCAGTCCTTTTATCAATCAATTTTGAATATTATACTACTCAAACACGAATTACAAACTTATTTAAACACAAACGAAGATATATGAAATATATTTATATATATATTTTTTTTTGGGGAAAAAAAGATATATGAAATATATATCAAACTAATTTTCCAAAAGCATAAGAAAAAGGTAACACAAACATGTGCATAAGTTTTGAACAAAAAAAAAAAGCATGTGCATAAGTAATCGATTATCCTAGACCTCAAACTTGATGCTCCAACCATAAATCCAAAAAAATTGTATTAATTGACAAAAAAAGCTCGAGATCTTTTTTAAATAAAGCTTGTGTTATCAAGAGTCTGCAACAAATGCTTATAAATTATTGATAGTATAATAAGTTTTATGCAGAGTCGTGCACCACGCCACCACAAGCTCGAATATCTTCAGATTCTGAAACACGATTTAACTCTAGATTTTGTAAAAAGTTGAGTTCGTGCTCTTCATGTCCGATTTTTCTTTATTTAATTTCCTTAACTACTTTCCTTAATGTTCACGATATAATTATTATCCGATGACCTTTGTCAGGTCTAGTTCCGTTGACCAATGCATCTTCCAAGTTCCAACATACTCTAATTCCAAAAATCGTAATTCTTTATTTTGTTGTTAGTTGTCAAGTTTATTAATTTTGTCACGATTTATGGATTTCATATCGTGGCCCATCAATTTCGGTCGGCTCTGATTTTATAGCTCACCAATATAGAAGTTTCCAAAATCAAAAGGGTTTTTAGCTTAGGCCCATATGCAGCCCATTTTAAACAATACTGTATTTGCTTTCACAATGAATCATCATCACAAACACTAGGCCCAATCTGAGAAGCCCATTGTAAAAAGAAAAAAAAACAGTGGAGAAGAAAGAGAGACCATCTTTACATCTTCTATGTCCTGTCTTCCACTCTGTAACCAAAATTATATATAAATTTTTAAAATTAAAATTAAAAAAAGAAAACCCTAGATTTCTCCGTCTCTTTCCTTTCTCTCAAGCTTCTCAGAAAGTCTGACACTTTGAGAATCTAATCTCCAAATTTATTGTCTTTTGGAGGAAGAATCGAATTATGTACAAGGAACGTAGTGGAGGAGGAGGTGGGTCATCGAGATCGGAGATCCTCGGTGGAGCTATTGATCGGAAACGAATCAACGATGCACTCAATAAGAAACTAGAGAAATCTTCAACTCCCACCACCACATCTAGAGTTTTCTCTTCTAAAGACAAAGATCCATTTTCATTCACATCTACTTCCACTGCTAAATCTCAGCTTCCCGATGGTTTGTTCCTTTTTTCACATCTGTGAGTTTTTTTGTTGTTAGTTAATTGCATTTTTTTTTCTGATGATATTTTGGTTTTGCAGTGGAATCGGAAACTGATAGTGAAGGGTCAGATGTGAGTGGATCGGAAGGTGATGATACATCGTGGATCTCTTGGTTTTGTAATTTGAGAGGGAATGATTTCTTCTGTGAAGTCGATGAAGATTATATCCAAGATGATTTCAATCTTTGTGGATTAAGTGGTCAAGTTCCTTACTATGATTATGCTCTTGATCTCATTTTAGATGTTGAATCATCCAACAGTAAGTCATCTCTCTCTCTCTCTTCTTTCTTGTTGATAAGGAGCAAGTAAAGTTAGAAAATCTGAAATCTTGTGTCTATGTTTGTGTGGGGGATTTAGGTGAGATGTTTACTGAAGAACAGAATGAAATGGTTGAATCAGCTGCTGAAATGCTATATGGTCTTATTCATGTTCGTTACATTTTGACTACTAAAGGAATGGCTGCAATGGTTAGAGAATCTCTCTTCTCTATTGTTTATGTTTTGGTGCTTTTAATTTCGTTGTTTGCTTAGCGACTTCTTTTGTTATTGATCTCTGTAGACTGAGAAGTACAAGAACTGTGATTTCGGGAGATGCCCGAGAGTTTTCTGTTGCGGTCAGTCTTGTCTTCCAGTTGGACAATCCGACATCCCGAGATCGAGTACTGTGAAGATATACTGCCCAAAATGCGAGGACATATCTTACCCTCGATCTAAATTCCAAGGCAGTATCCTTTTTCTCTGTTCATAAACCATTATTTTGGCTTTATCATTTCAATATTTTCAGTTAAAGTACTCCCTGCTTTTGCTCCAATTGAGACACTCTAATCTTGAGCATTTGCATATTAATGAAGCAGCGAGTGTTATTGTATCTTAGCGTTTTCCTTAAATGACTTGTGCAGATATTGATGGAGCATACTTTGGAACCACATTCCCTCACTTGTTCTTGATGACTTACGGGAACTTAAAGCCGCAGAAACCGACTCAAAACTACGTCCCAAAAATCTTTGGCTTCAAGGTACACAAACCATGATACTAGTGCTCTACTTTCTCAATGGGTGATACATCTAGTGGCTCGGTAATTGCATCCGGTTGAGCAACAACTGAAACGATAGCTGCGGTTTGAATGGATCATACATCAATCATTGGGTAGAGGATGAGCGCTAAAATGAAGTTGAAAGATGGAATCCTGAAAGGATCTCATGAAGTTCCAAGAAAACTTATAAGTGCAACAGCCTGGCTCATTGGGGGTAAAGAAAGACACTTGAGTCTGTCTCCCAAAAGATTTTCCCCAGTTAGTTGGATTTTGTTTTAACTGTTGAATTATTATTTGTTTTCCTAATTTCATGTAAAACTCATAAATTGTTCAATTGAAGGTTAATCTAATCAAGTAGAGAGCCTCTGGTAATATGTCAAAAGCCAAAACTTAGATCAATAAATTCAATCAAAGTTCCCAACGAGACTTGTATATAGGCCATTAAAATACAGTCAAGAGACCAAGATCTAAGCTAAACCTATCAAAGCATCAAATCGTGATGATTACAACACAAAAGCTCAAACATAGACCAATCGATGTAGGATTTCAGTATAAGAGATCACTGCTACAAAAAATTTAACTAAATTTAGTTGGTTAAATCAAAGTAAAGCCAGTTCGAACATTCTACAACAATTCAAAAGTTAATAACGTTTGTGTTTGTTATTCTCAGACTTCGATTAAGATCTGTTATCACAACTTGATAAGGCCAGTTAAAGGTTGTCACTTCGACAAGTAGTGTACCAAAATTCGAACCTATAGTAGGTCTGAAAAATTACAGATCAAAGAACATTTAAACCTAAGGTAGGATTAGTTGTCAATAACTTCAGATTGGAAGATGTATAGGATCAATAACTTCAGATTGGAAGATGTATAGGATCAAACATTCAAAAACTCAAACCTAAGTTTAGGTTATATTGCAAGAATTCTTGATACTGAAACTTTGAAAATCAACTCAACATAAAATAAAAACCTGCTTAAACTGCTTAATGTAATAAAGTCTTGATTCAAAACCACAAGCATAGAGATTGCAATACTCAATTGTCAAAACAAGGAAACCAAATATAAAAGCCAACAGACTTAACCCTCGATCTGCTCCCTCAACCTCCTGATTGTGCTTCTAACGGTGACGGCACTGGCGGTGCTGCAGTTCACAAACGAAAACAATTTTCTCAGAAAACAGATCATTGATTAATAATAAAAACAAAGCAAAACAATAAATCAGGGATCACTTACTTCATTGTGTAAGCACCACCTGCCTTGACCTTGCCACAATCCTTGCATCCCCAAATACCAACAGCCTTTCGCTTCACGCCGTACTGCAACCATTAATCAACCCACAGTTACAACTTTTTTCAAACCAAAAGATATTCACAAAGGAAAAGAGAAAGTGAATGATGGTGTCTTTCTTACCTTGCCACAGAACTCACAGAAGTACTTGCTGTGTTGGCTGACCTCCATCTTCTTAATCTGCTTCCTGATACTGGCACCATAACGTGTTCCTGAAATCACATAAACCATTCATACGTTAGGAAGAGAAACCACAACACATATAATAACCAACTTAGACCAAATATGAAAAAAAAAAAAAAAGAATTGCTACATAAAACCAGAGACGACAGATCTCTTACATATTAACATCATATAATGAAAAGAGTCTAGTAAAGAAAATGTTCACAAAATCCATTCCAAATGAGCTACAAGACTGAGCAAAATGCAGATCCTATCCTTACTTCTATAGCTTTTAACATCCTATGCGATCCGATAAGAGATGCATAGAAGAAAATAAACTCAGGAATATTTACCGTATTTGCCGACGATTCCAACCTTCTTCGTTCTCTTCGCCTGTGGAACATCAAAAAGGAGTAATGGAGTCAGAAGAGAGTGGTGAATCACAAAACTAGACTTATATCAAATCCACAGAACAGCTAAGAAACTAGCAAATCTCAAAACGAAAGCTCGAACGAGATAGAAGGAAGTATATTCGAAAGCATGTTATAGAATTATACAAGAACAATAACGAAGAAAAAGGATTTAGGTTTTTCACCATTTTTCAGAGCAAGCAGGAGGAACACCACGCCGTCGAAGATAAGAAACCCTAGTGAGCAAATTCATTTGGCACACTCTACGCCCTTTTATATACGAATCATGTTAGGGCATTTTTAATATGGGCCTAAGAACCATCATTTATGGGCCATCAAATTAACCCAACTTTAAAAAGACGTAAATGCCTTATTGCTTCTCTTTTATATATCGATGCAGAATTTTAAGATGGGCCTTTGGACCTTATGCACTAATAATAACTCATATCTGATCGAATTTTATCAAAATTTATTATAACGATATTGGAAGAACAATGAGCTCTCTGTGCACTAAAACTTTTATACGAAAAGGTTAAATAAAGAAATGAAATTTTTTGGAAGGTTTTTGCTATATAATAAAATAGAGAAACTCCCTTTTTAACAAATTAGTTTTGTCGAAGCACTTAAAAAGAGAAAGACTTTAAAGAAAGAAAAAAGAAAGAAGAAAGGAACCCAAAAGATGGTTCCATTTTTTTTTCCTAAGTAAATTTCTCTAATATCTTAGACCGGTTAGGTGCATGAGGTTTGAAATCTTCAATCCTCAGACCTGAGCTCCGGCGAATCTCAACCAACGCTTCTTCTCCTGCTTCTGTCTTTATCATCTCCAAAACACTCCCAAGAACATCACCGCCTAATCCAAACTCTATCAGACTTCCTGGTTCTTCTCCTCCTTCCCGTATTAACCGACCAATCTCTGTCAATGTCACTACTTTCTCTGTCACACTTTTACCAACAATTCTACCAAGAAACTCTGCTGCTTTTGGAGCATCATTTACAGCATCCTCCAGGGTTGTCAAAACAGATTCAAACCTGTGAAAAAGCGGTAACAGATTTAAGCAACAGACGTTTGATTAGACTGTGTGACTTAAAAAGATTTATGGGCTTTGTTTACTTACCCTTTCACTAGCTGGACTTCTGTTAAGGCGTTGTCAGCAGATTTCACGAGGTTCACAAGGAGCTTTGCTAAGAGATCCCTTTCTTTGTCTTTTCTCTCAAACGAATCAGTTACCCAGAGAGAAATCATTGTTGGGTGATAAGCTGGCGAATTCATATCTTTCATGCACATACCAATCTCATTCTCATCTCGGGCACTGCACAAGAACAATCATTGGAACGCACAAGAGTGCTTATCAAATATAAACAGGTGGCCGCAATAGGGCAAACGAATAGAAAATAACATCATACAGAAAACGCACAGTCTGTTAAAAAGAGACAGATTCTAAACTGTCACATGTGGTAGAAAACAATATAAAACGCACATACCAGTAAGAGTTTCACCCTTTATTAGAGATTCTATTTAAATCAAAGAACAATGTCTCTCATATGTATTTTTAATCCGTTTTGTTGGAAAAAATTCTAATTTACCTACTTCAAGAAATATACACTTTATCAGATGATCTGTCGTTGCAAACAAACGCTTTGACTGTCAACGAATAAACTGTAATTTGATCCAATTGTACCTACCCAGGTTTCCACAGAATAATTTCCTAAATGTGGCAGTATCTGATGACTATGCGAAGAACGAAACAAATGACCAGCAAGGAAGGAGAGATATAGTACCTGTAATATTCCTTAATTGCAGACAGTGACATATTATGTAACCGTTCCTCAGACAAAGCATTTTCTCGAGGACTGTTTACTGTAGATGATGGCCCTTGTAGTACTTGCCTAGCAGATGAAACTTCTGGTGACGGATCAGAAGTACGCGACAGACTTGCAAAGTCCCTGTGAACATAAGCTGTTCCCCGCTCTTGAGGACTTGACCGTCCATGAGTAACAGGACTTGCAGGTCTATGTGAGCCAAATCCATTCAAACCACCGGCCGGTCGCCTAGAATCTCCACCACCGGCCTGAGTAGCATCAGACTGAAAAGTGTTTGATACTACTGCAGGCCTTCTAATAGACATTCCCTGACCAAGACCACCTTGCGGACCCAAGGTAATAGGCTCCTCACCTACTGACCTTTGAGGCATTGGAACCACCCTAGGCTCATAAGATGGCCTTTCATCAAATCTAATGTCCTGATTACTAAAGCCACGACCTTGAGGTGGTCCATGGTAGCCACCCATTTGGGCACTTGGAGGTGATAGCATTCCTCCTCCTCCCCTAGGACTAAACTCCATATGCCCTCTTCTTGCTGACGAATTCATCGAGGGTCCACGTGAAAGCCTATTAGCTTGAGTTTGGCGTTCTTGTGCAGCATCCCTGTGCACTTCCTCAATTTTTTTCGGCCCTTCAACCTTCATTCTCTCCTGCCATTTGTTCTTTCTCAGATCGATGGCATTAATCAACATGAACCTCACCCTAGAAGACAATTCTTGTTTGCATGATAGCATTTTCATTTTCTCAAAATATCCATCCATCTGGAACTTGGCTTTGCTATGATCGATCATAACTCCTATCGTACTCATTAGTTTACACAGAGCTTCAATATTCTCTTCATGTGGATCTTGATTATACCCGAGCAACTTCTGGATGCATGCGTGCATGATTTTCTCAGTCAACATCCTTTTCTTGTATAACTCACCAATAAGTCTGATATTACCGAGCATTCTCCTCCGCACCTTGAGTCTTTTCTCTTCCCTTTCCTCCTCGGTTTGTTCTACTTGTCCTTCTTCGGCAACTCTACTGGCTTCCTCCTCTTCTTTCTCCCCTCTCTCGAATTCTTCCTGACATTTATTGAGAAGCAATCTTTTGAAGGTAATCTTTTCACCATTCTCATTAAAATCAGGTAACGCCCCAGACAGATGAAAACAGAAATCTGCATACATCTCACAGAATGTTGGCTCCATCAAGGCTTTGTCAAATATCTGTGAAATGACACCAGAAAGTGTAACAGCATTGTCAATGTTGACACTTTTAACTTGCTCAAACAGTTTCTCAAAGTTTTGTGGGGTCAACTTGTTCAGAATGCCCTTTAATTGCCTTTGTTTTGCTTGTTCTTCATCTGCAACTGTACCCACTTCGTATTTACTCTCGGCTTTGTGCATCACCTGCATAGGAGTATGCGGAGAAGGAAAAAGTCCTTTTTGTTGGAAATTTGAACCACGTTGCCACCTTTCTAAGTCGGGGGTATTTCTGCCCATTCCTCCCATAGGACCCACAGGTTGCATCGGTCTAGATATAATTGGTCCCTGCATACGAGGGTTTCTTAAAACTCCCAAGTTTCCTCCTTGACCAGGTCGGAAACCTAGGTTACCGCCATATCCTGCTGGAAGAGAACCCTGATTCTTCGTCCATCTATCATCAACAGCCATATTGCTGGGACGACGATCTAAACGAGCACCACTTGCTTGGCGATCCATAACCTTTCCAGGAGTAGGATATGAATCATGTTCATGATGTGATGCACCCATATATGCAAAAATCAAGGCATTAGCAATATCAGGGGAAACGTCAAATCCCTCAGGGAGAGCAGTACACAGGTCTGCAAACTTTAGCAGGAAATCCCGGGAGTACTTCTTTTCTGTATTGCTGCAGCTGTCTCTGACCTCATCTGAGGAACCTCTCTTTGCATTCACAGAATTATCTGCAGTTTCCAACTTTGGTGTAGAAACATCGGCTGCATCTTCCCAGTCTTCTGGTTCATTTTTCACTGGTTCAGCATCCACAGTGGCTTCAACAGCCTGAGGTATGGCAGGTGCCAGCTTCTGGTTCGAAACATCATTAACAACATTTGAGCTCTCTTTCTTTTCCTCAGGCCCTTTGTAAGCCATATAGAGATCAGAAGTTGTCCCTGCAGCATCTGCTTTTTGAAGAATTTCTTTTATCTTCTTCTTTCCTTTTGTAGAAGTATTTCTTCTCGTGTTTATTTCAAATGCAGATTTATCTTTGGAAAGAGTAGCTGAGGCAGAGGTCAAACTATCACCAGAATTTTCTACACCATGATGTCTTGACAATGTTTCTGAATGTCCAAGAGGAACAGTAGAAGACAGAATATGAGTAGAATGTGGAAGGTCAGAGCTTGTATCATCTGTAACTTCAGCTAATTTTTCAGAGACAGGACAGACTTCTGTGGCACCATCTACCTCATTCTGTGCCTTCTCAAGCACACCTGACATTGTTTCGTGTTTTTCATCAGAAATTACAGACCTTTCAACGAGCTTGTCAGAAACAGTCCGTTCATCACATTTTAGGTCTTTCTCTTGCGGTGAAGAACCAGAAATCTCAGATGAGGCATGGCTTGACCCTTCCATAGATTTGTCAATATTCGTATCTACTGATTCAAAAGTTGGAGCATCAGCTGTAGGAGACACTTCCATGAGTTGCTTCCTAAACCCGTTGGTAGCTGGGAGTGATAAATTCTCCTTGGCAGCAACGGTTTTTGTTTCAGGATCAGAGACCAGAGAGTCTGGCATAGTCTGTCCAAAAAATAAAGTAATTTAATCAAGTTATAAAAACAATTACTAATAATACCCAAAAACAAAACACGTATCAATATCATACCTCAGTCGGATTATGAGGGGGTTCCTCCTTACATGTCTGATCTTCAACTGAGATCGACTCACTCACCATTTCTGCTCTTCTGATTTCAGTCGTTGCAACTGGAGCAGTCTCCACAGATGACTTCTCTGGCGGAGCAGACGAATTTGGTACTCCAGAGACAAAGCCAGGTTTCGGCTGCTGTGAAGAGCTCAATGAACCTGCCTCCACGTCTTTTTGTGACAGAGAAATGTTAACTTCTCCATGTGACTTGGCTTTTGGTGATCCAAGCTTTTCAGAAGCCCCAGCTGGCTTCACTGATACCTTCGCATTTACAGGTAGAGCAGATGACATTACATTTTGGGTATTGCGTGCTTTCACAGAGGAAGCTGAATCAGATGAAACATAAGTAGGAGCTGCGGGTCTGATAAGCTGTGGAGCAGTATGAGCAGGTTGGTTGATAAGTTGTACTCTCTGAGACCCATCAATAACTGGGTAATGGTATCTCGGTGCCTGAGCGGATGATATTGGACCACTATTTAAGGGTACAGAAACCGGAGGATATATCATGGTATTGGAGTTATATGAGGGTTGCACCAAATTGACTTGTCGTGGAGCAAGTGATGAGACTGGCTGTGATCTGGGAGGTGGGTTAGAATGTGGTTTTAAAGCCGCTGATTCGCCTTCTGAATACGGGTCACCGCGTCGATCAAGCCTCAGCTCTTCGTGTGTGTCAGGATGTGTAATCTTTACAGGCGTGGTCTTGCGTGTCCCACCATATTTTCCTCCTTGCTGCTGGGGATACTGCGGGCCTAAACCCACACCCACATGGCCTAACTGATGATGAATTTGAGCACCCATTGGAGTTGCAAAACCATGTCCCTGAGCCTGATGCATCATACCCTGATGATGCATTGGATGTGATGGATGTGATGGGAGACCCTGAAAAAACACCTGCGGCGAGATTTGAGGGGTATTTCCCATAGATAATGCCATTGGCATTGGCATCTGATATGAGGTTGCAGTCACGGGAGGCTGCATATGCATATTCGGCCCACCAAAATGTACAGGGTGAGGGATCTGAGCATGCTGATATGGTGTCTGCACAGAAGGCATGCGGATATTTGTAATTGGAGACTTCTGCGTTTGACTTGGAGGGGATATATGTGGGACTTGGATATCAGCTTTTTCACTCGATGGATTGTGCCCCTCTTTCCTCATCAATTGATTATCAGCACCCTTATTTGATGAATCTTTTTTGGGTACAGAAGCTGGCACATTTGGTGCCGTTCTTAAAGAAGCTTGCTGCATCTGCAAAACAATGTTTGGCCGTGTCATAAACGAAAGGTAAAGTTCAGAACAAAGTGGAATAAAAGTCATCAAATTAACTTTTCAGTAGATATTCTTTAAACCAATTTGAGTTAAAGATCAAGGCATCAGGCTAGTAAATCCCCATCCCAATACAAGACAGAGCATTTGAAGTCAGAAGCAAAGTTCGAGACACAGACTATTCATCATCCTATAAGCAAAAATTATTCATGTAGGTAACAATCACGTTAACGGCAGATGCATAATACTTAAAAAGGTGTTCCACCTGGGCACGTTTCTGCTCATCCATATTCGGAGGTGCTGAGCTAGTTCGAGCAGGAATCTAGAAAACCAACAGGGCAGATGATTCAGGTGTTGATGGAAAAATCAAACAAACAACAGAAGGAACAACAGCATACCTTCATCAAATCAGGACCAAGTGACCCAAATTGCAAAGCAAATGCTTGAGAAGCGTCTCCAGAGGCTGCCACAAAATAAAACAAAAACATTATAAAACTTATACCTTTATGTATGTACAGAGGAATTTAATTCAAGCTTCAAAGCTCAGGACACGTATACAAAAAATAGACGATGCAACAAAACCTACCTTTAGCTGTGTTGGGCGTCTCATTGTTTTTGGAACTCATGGCGGTAGACTGAGAAGTTGGAGCCTTTGGAATAGGTCCAGTGTTTCTGTTGAATGATTCAGTTGGATTGGCTGGTCCACCAACAACCGGTTCACCAGACACTCCTGTAACTAACAGTGTAAGAGAGATTGAACTAAACCAAACGATCACTAACACAGTGACCAAATTCATCTGAAATCATCCAATTTAAAAACTTTGAGCAAAAAAAAAGACCCTCCGTGATTAAAGATGATACCTTGAGGGCGAGAGTGTGCATTGGGACCATTGTTGTGATTGTTAGGATGATTCACAGGTGGCAGATTCACCCGAGGCTGCCCACCTCCTTGAGCATTGCCGGGCTTCTTAAAACTGTCATAAATTACAATAAAGGATCAAAATTTGCAGAATTACCATGTCCAATAATGACTAAGAGAATCCTCCAAATTAAACCAAAAAATGAAAAAAATCGAATTTGATTGAAAACCTGCGATTAGAAGAAGGCAAGGAAGAATTATCAGCGTAAGTGGAAGGGGCAGGCGCAGTAGCAGGAGCGCCGGCTCCCTTACCGTAACCGGCGGCGGAAGAAGATCGGTGTTGTTGTTGTTGCTGTTGGTGATGGTTACCGGTGGATCGACCAGTTCTACGATATTGAGTCTCGCTTCTGTCGGGCCTTGATTGATTGTAGGACATCTAGAACAAACCCTAATCTTCACCCTTTTTCAAGCTAAATTCTACAGCTCTGTAATGGAGAGTGAAACGACGCAAGGAAAGATAAAATTAGGGTTTTATTGGACGGACATGATTATAGGACCAAGAAAAGACGGGGAGAGAGGAGATGAATGAAGCGAGCAAATACTATGCAATCAAAAAAAAAGGAAATTAAAGAAAGGAAAAAAAATATGAATAAGTGAAAGAGTCTGGTTAAAGTACCTGAATAGTAAATTACGCTACCTTTTAGGGGTATAATAGACATTTCGTAAAGCTATCTCAGTTGCTCAAAAAACCTTTGTTCCGGTCAATGCAAAGAAAATATCAATAGAGGTTTCAGGCGATCGCCAGAAAAAACTGAACGAACTCTTTTTAAGCCTTACCAAATTATCAATTTTATTTAAAATATATTTTCTTAAAAACAATCATCATACGATCTTTTTGTACTCTCGTTTGAATAGATAAAGATGCATCATGCGTTGACAAAACAAAAAGCTGAGTTTTCCTCGCTAAACACCAAATAAATGTAAATTTAAAATTATTTTCATTCATATATATGTGAAAAAGATATGTCGCAAATTATTATTTATCAAATAGTAAACACGTGTGAATTTGGCTATAATTTATGGAGACATACGTGTAGATTGGAAAATGGAAACTGCAGAAGAACATACATACATTATGAAATGAAAAAAATGTTTTGACTCATTTATAGACATCCAAAAAAAAAAAAACTGTAAATATGTTGGTATAAGGTAAAAAGAAATACAATGTGTTATTTGATGAACAGGTTTCAATATTAAGTTGATACGTCAAATTATACATTGTGAACTGAATATATACGCATTGTCCAAAGTTAGGTGATTTTGGCATTTAGTTATGACAGAATTACTAGATTCATTGTGTATATAAAGCTTGCTTTTAGAGCATAGGCAGTGGTATAAGTTAGAAGATGCAAATTAAATTAGTAAAATAATGTTAGAAATTTAATGAAGAGAGAGAAAAAGACTCGAGAAATTTTTTTTTTTCTTGCTTTCTCACAACTGGCCAATCACAGCCTGCCATGTAATCTCACATCCAAGCCAAACAAGTTGTTAGCTCACATCCGGATGCTGTCTCTAAGCCAACTATTTGAATATTTTTATTTTTTTTAATCCTCACATCCGCATAGAAAATACTCCATTGCTGATGGTCTTAGTAGTATAAAGTTAGGTGATCTCTTTTTGTGATCAATTAGGTGGTTTACTTTATTTTGTGCCTTAGAATTTTTTTTTTTTTTTTTTTGGGTATGTTAACTGAATTACTTAATTATCGTACCTATTAAAAAGGAAAGTAGAACAACAAATTCCCATATGTCTCGTAAATACTACTCTTTGATGTCTTTGTATACCATGGACGTAGTCCGGTATTAGGAGGAGCGCTTCGACAAACGGGTCAATTTTGGAATCTGCTAAATGGGCCACAAAGGGCAATATTGGGCTAAGTGTTTCATAAGAAGCCCATTTGAATTGTAAAAACATAAATTTAGAACACTTTTCAAGAAACACAAACAGAGATATTTTTTTTTTTTTTTTTTTTTTTTTGGTAAAAAAACACAAACAGAGATCATTCCCTTTTCTCGTGGTAAAAACCAGAATCAAAAATATAGGCAGAGATAACAAAAACTTCACAACCAGTAATTTTACTTTGGCTTCTCCGTTTTCTACCTTCCTCTCTTTGTTTATTAACCTCCACATCCAATTTACAAAGGTCAGATGAAGATGTAAATAACTAAGCCATGACAAGAGTCTTTGTCCGTACGGTTTTGCCGGCGGCGGAATCTTTCGAATCGGACGATTTCCGGAGAGATGATGATCTGGAGGATGACGTTTTTCTCCACCTCTTGGATTTTGTTTCATCAGACTCTATCTGTTCTTGCCTACACTCTTGGCTACAGAATGCCATGTCCCCTCTGCATAATTTTGATCAAGAAATCGATCAGAACAAAAAATCTAAAGCTTTATTCGAAGAAATAAGTATCCAATGGTAAGTTCTTTGTTCTGATATTGATCTGGATGCACGGATTTTCATGAATCGGATCTGAAAATTGATTTTGAAGACTGATTCATTTAGTTGTTTGGATCACAAGCAACGAAGAAGTACCTGTACATGAAAATGTCGGAGTTGAGAGAAAGGGTTTTACGGCAAAGAGAGCAAGATTCTAGAAAGTGTGGCTCGTCACTGTCCAAAACTCCGACGAAATACGAATCCATTGTTATAGTTACGAGATTCTTAAGAATTCTCGATAGCAAGTGGAATCAGGAGGACACAGGATTCGATTTAGACAGAGAAGCTCGAAGAGGAAGAAGAAGCTCATGCTACATGGTGAAGTGATGATGGGTCTTATATAGAAAGCCTAGAGTCTGGATCACCTGTGTCACGAACCATTATAGCTTCTGTGGTCTACAATTCATTGACACTTAAAAATCAATATACTAAGATCTTGAATTTGTTTAATTTATCCGTGATTAGGTTATAAAGTTTGATATAATGACATTATTATGGGAGTTCTGTATATTTATTACAGTTTTATTAGATCGGTTGCTTTTAAAACTCAATTCAACATAATTATTACATTCAAGAACATAAATCATAGTATCATACTATCACGTAAAACACGAAGAAGTACATTTTTTAGTTTTCGATTTTGCGTGTCTAAACTACAACACGAGAGTCTGGTACTCTGGTATGATACTATGGAGTTAAGAAATTAAACTAACATAATATATATTCGACTTTTAGAAGAAGAACAAATATCAAAAAAATAAAATTAAAATTATATATATATATATGAATAGTTGGGTGGTCCTCGTTCGTCGAGGGAATAAAATGAGTCTGCCCTAATTGCTTTCCAAGTTCCATTATATTATAGCCCTTGGCCAACAACATCATGCATTATGCATGATCTATGGACTTTTCGAATATAATTTCAACAGATGTTTTTTAAATCAACATTGTTAAAAAAAGCTATGGTTTTTAATTACGTTCTACATTTCATCTAATAATATATTTGTCAACACCCAATAATTTTATGTCTTATAATTATAAAATGTTTGAACTCCAATCATTTTTCATTAGTCTTGTATTTTCTGATTTCCAAATAAAAATAAAACTCATATTCGGAACAACATGATTTATTTAGTCTGTGGCCCCCAAAAAGCCGTCAAGTCGAGTTTTCGTGACCAACATTGTCCGGAACCGAACTGGGATCTGACTAGGCAGCCCTCGCAAGACGACAAAAGGAATCCGCTAAAAGAGGACCCACATAGAACCAAGGCCCAATTCTCCAATTCATAGGGCCCATAACAGCTACCCTATGCTCCCCGCACGCACAATCAAACTCTACGTGTGGCGCGACCACAACCGTTTATACTGCCTCGTGCGCCAGCTAAGGTCAGACCCTCAGCGACTATGATACGTGGCAACCTGGCAGCAACGGAAAGCCGCAAGACGGCAAGAGTCGAAAGTCGCGTCTTGCATTTGCATGCAATACAAATTTTTTGTCCGATCAACGGCCATGATTTTATGATTCGAGGAACATCATAGCCTTTTCTTTTTACATATTATAATCTTTGAACATATGAGTCTTAAAATTTAAATTTTTGAAAATGTTGTTTACGTTTCTTTACAAAAAATATGTCATGATTCATGAGAAATGATTGTTTTTAATATCAAAATACAAATGCAACAGTTCGAGTTTCAGATTTTTATCAATTATTTTAGAAATAACAAACACATCTTAAAATATATATTTGTGTATATATATTGTTTTTTGTATTATCAAATGTGCATATGTATTTATATTACAGAATTTCCTAATTATTTTATTTGACAGAAGAGTAGAGAGATGTTTTTTCTAATACGTATTTATATTTCTTTTAGGAGCCCAAATATAGATGGGCGTCAGTCTTCAAGCCCATTACATAAAGTACAAATTCACAATTTGCAAAGACCTTGAAATTTGATAAGACACCTTTAGGGGGGATTAAGGTACAGTTTGCTCTCTAATAAGCTCTTAATTCGTCTACTACATTTGTCTGAATTTGTGATGTTATTAGGCTCAGAAAAAACAAAAAAAGCAGAAGCAGAATTCGGAGAATCACGTTTAAGGACTCATCTAAGCTTATTATGAAAATCTATGGAAAAAAGAGTAAATGTGGGTGCCTGGGTGGGTTTGGAAACTAACGGTTCACACTTCACACTGTGAGTATCCACAAATGTACATTCTGGCCACCACAAAGCCTTGTTTTCTAATCCAAAGCATTGGATCTGATGAAACTGCCAGCTTTCCATTGTTTGATGCATATGTGTGCCTTTCTTAAATTTCAGTTCCGATATATACTCCAATGTCTGAACTTTGACTTGCGATTTGTTTAGGCTATAGAATAGCTTAATGAAGAGCATCCGGTCTTATTTGGTTGTGTTAGTGATTTGTCTACCTAAGCTAATTTGAGCCTCTTTGATGATGAAGATAAATGGTGAGTGGGTTAATTTGGATTCTAAATCACGTAACTTTCAATCCTGGTTCTGAATCTGTGCTTCCTATTCCAAGTTTCCTTTTCTTATCTTCATGTGTACATTGTGATCACCAATAGCCTTGTTTTTCCAATCTAAGACAAGTGAATATTAATGGAATGGAATATCAAATTGCCTAATTTTAAGATTTTTGTGATTGTTTGGTGTATTTCATCTCGCGTTTGTCTATTTTATTTACATATTTCAGGAGGATACAGAGGCAAGAAGTCATACCGTTACGTGCATTGTTTCTATCAGGGGTCGTATCTTGGCAGGGACTTTGTGACAGTGCCAAACTGCAAAGGACAATTTGTCGATTTGTCGTTATATAGTGAAGAAGCATCGAAGGTGAAGGAAAAAATAAAAGTTTACTAATTTTGCAGAGACAATGCTCTGTTTTGGCTATGGTTGTCTTTTGATTAACGTCACTTGTTTAATCCTCAATAGCTACAAGATTAGTATCTTTAAACCTCACTTTCCTATGTTATAAATACCTTAATATGGAAGTTCCTTTATGCTGATTGATCCTTTGTCTTTGATAGCGATTGTGAATTGTATATACAAGTTCATAATAATCTCAAGTTCTTCTTACAGTGAATCTATTAACGTTCTTTTGAGCATACCCTTTAATCATCTTGGCTCAATTTGTTCGATCTGTCTTTACACTTTAAGCTGCTTTTTTTTTTAGGGACCCTTTGACTTTGAGCCAGCACTACACGAGATAGACTAATTTGAGTGGAAAATCAGGTTTTTTTTTAGTTGTAGATTAGAAAAAGGAGAACATGCTTAGAGTGCAATACAAGTAAAGTAGGACAAAATCAAGTGAACAAAATCGATTTGGAAAGGAAATAAATAGGTGACGTGGAAAATATTCATGGTTTGATGAATAAAGTAGGTTGTCTGTTTTTATGACTTTGCTGTCCTTTCAGGGGTACAGACACAAGAGCACACCATGTTTCTTTCATTTCCTCGTTACATAAATTTTATTTATTTCTCTAACCGAACTTTTTTTTGAATTGATATCTGAATTTAGAGCACTAAAACAAAATGTATATATCCAAGCTACTCAATTAGATAATTAGTAGTAATAAAAATCATAAATTCGTGTTAAGTGACAGAACCACAAAAAATGGGAAAATGTTTGGCTAGGATTTTATATGATTAGTTGAACATCGATAGATGATTGTTTTAGACTTAGTATAGGGATTTAAGTTATTTTAATCACTAATGATCAGATATATATAATTATACTTACAGGTTGTATCTACATGCAGTTTACGTATTTGGTGGCATAGTTTCTGGATAGCTTGATATCTTCGTATTGTATAATCCATAATGCTTTTGGATATGAAATATAATAAAACAGAGACAGTGAAAAACTCCAAGCTATGAACTTTTTTATATGACCTAAATGGAGTAAGGGCTTGATTGGTTCTCCCGCTAGCACCCTCCTAGCGGTTGCTAGCGGTCGGTTGCGGTTGTTAGCGGTTGGTACCAATCATAGAAACCGCTCCGTACCGCTTCGAACCGCTCGAAATCGCTGAATTTCAAAAGCTCCTTCCCGCAAGCGTTTGCGGTTGCGGGCGGTAGCGGTTGGAAAAAAAAAATACAAAAAAATCAAATGTTTACTTATAATTATTATAATATATATTAATCTTATATATATCTTTCATCTTTTTATCACGTTCTCATCAGAAACCCTAATAATATTCTGAAACTCTATTCTCTCAATGTGTTCCACCCAAACTGATGAAAATCAAGAACCAAACGTAAGTGTCATATATCCTTTTATTCATTCATCACCTCATGTGTAACTTTTTGAATATTTTTCATGGCATCGTTTTTTTTCTTTTCATTACGTATTGCTTTGCTTTTTGATTGAATATATGTTTCGATTTGTTTTCTCGAATAGAAACTCACTTGTTTTTTAATTGAATTCAACGTTATTTACAGTTTGTCCCATTACTTGATGCAATTTTTGATGTTAAACCAGATGCATAAAGTACTATCTTGTTACAAAATTTCTTTATTTTTGAATAATTATTTAGTACTTTATTTATAGTTTTAATTATTAAGCATGTTCAATTTTTCTAATATTATCATAATAATATATTGGTGTTTTTATTTCCTTTTTTGTAATATTTTTTATTTATTTTGGTCATTTTTTATTTAACTGCTACCGCACCTGCTGGTTTACCAGTCATAAAACTCCCGCAAACGCACCCATTTTCAAACGCTAAACCAGTCGTTCAAAACGCTTGGTAACGCTTGAAGCCGCAACCGCCCGCTTCCGCAAACTCCCGCAACCGCAACCGCAACCGCTGCGTTTAAACCAGTCAGGCCCTAAGAGGGCATGGTACGAACGTGCAACCGCAACCTTATTTTACGCAAAAATACAGATAATATCCAAAATAAAAACAATAATATCCAATAATGAGTAGTCACGTGTCTCTCTACGTCTATTATGCATTACGTGATGGACTTAATATTACAAGTGTCATTCTGATTTTGCATATATCCCTAATTAATAAGAGCTGTGTTCACATGTCCCCTGCGGAGTCGTATTAATTCTAAGCCAACTAACTTGTGGAATTCTTATAATACTATATAGTTTTCGTTTCTTTTGACCATATATGCATTATTTTAAGGTTCTGGATAATATAGAATGTTTATAACATTCTATTCAAACAAAAGCAAACAAGATCTGTTTATTGCAGTGTCATATCGTCGTCTTCTAGCCTTTCCTAACAAAATTATGAAAAAATTACGAGTAAACATTTCCTTGACAGTTGTAGGTTAGTTTGGATTTTAACTTATAAATGTATTAATTGCTTGATTATCTTCGGCTAAAGATTTTCACATAATTTATTACATTAATGGAATATTTTTTTTTCCCAATGTCATTGCATTTTCGAAAGTTTCTCATGACTAGTCCATAGAGCAACTTACTCGTCCTCTGTCTCCTCTTGACCATTGCACATTATTTCCATTCGATCTCTGATCTACTTACATGCTCTTTATCAGGTTGATTATCATTCTAACAGCTTACAATTATCTTGTTAAAATGTTCGTACTTTTTTCCATTTAAACCGGTTTGCTTTCTTGACGCCTGATTTCGTTCACGCAAGGAGACAAACTTTTCCGGATTCTATTGCATAAATAAAAAAACCTCGGATTTTGTAACACTTGGCAGCAAAAAAAAAAAAAAAAACTACTAATGGATATCAGAAAAAGACAGTGTGAAAATAATGATAGCATCATTCATATATCAAAAAAGCAACATAAAGTTAAAAACAATTATCATAAGAATTGGGGAAAATGTCAAAAATGGTATCGATCTGTTTTTAGGCTCAACAAGGTAAGCATAAAGAGGAAGGACTCAAAAAATGATTCCAAATAAAACGATTTTATTTTATTTTTGCTGCAATGTTGTTTTGTTATTACTATTACTGTTTACATCAATACATCTACGTATTAGGGAACTATAACATATAAACAGAACTATAAGACTATAAGAGAGCCAATTCTACCATGACATATTAGTGTGTTTACTAAAAAAAATGTTTGTGTGTTTACTTATTTTAAATGAAACTATGTTTTTGGTGTGAAAATGTTTGCACAAATACATGTCACTCTCCTAAATTTATTACCTTAAAAATGTTAAAATACCATAGCTATTAAATAAAAAAAATTGAAAGCAAAGTGAAAAGCTAATTGATTTGATTTAACTTTATGGAATTAAATATAGACAGTTTGAGTTGGTTCAATGACATTTATTTCTCTGCCTCTTTCCCAACGTCCCCTTCTTTATAAGGGAGAGTAAGACCGGTCTATGACCCTCACACGTGACCTCTCTCTCTCTCACGTGCCTTTCTTCTCCTCCGTCATTAATATAAACAGTTGGGGAATTTATAACTTTCTTCTCCTCTCTCTCTCTGTTTCTTCTGTGGAGCTCTCCTCTCATCAATGGATTCTCTCATCAATCCCAGCCATGGCGGAGGAAACTACGATTCTCACTCTTCTTCTCTTGATAGTCTTAAACCAAGCGTACTAGTCATCATTCTCATCCTTCTAATGACTCTTCTCATCTCCGTCTCCATTTGTTTCCTCCTCCGTTGTCTCAATCGCTGTAGCCACCGCTCCGTTCTCCCTCCGTCGTCATCTTCCTCTTCCGCCGCAACCGTAACTTCCGATTCCCGAAGATTCTCTGGACATCGTGTCTCTCCCGAAACAGAACAATCCTCGGTGCTTGATTCGCTTCCGATTTTCAAATTCTCCTCCGTCACTCGCCGATCTAGTTCAACAAACTCCGGCGATTGCGCCGTCTGTTTGTCGAAATTCGAACCGGAGGATCAGCTCCGTCTTCTTCCTCTCTGTTGTCACGCTTTTCACGCCGATTGTATCGATATTTGGCTAGTCTCGAACCAGACTTGTCCTCTCTGTCGTTCTCCTCTCTTCGCCTCAGAGTCCGATCTAATGAAGTCTCTCGTCGGCGGAAACAACAACAGTAACGGTGGAGAAAACAGCTTCCGTCTCGAAATCGGATCCATTAGCCGTCGTCAACTACCGATTCCAGAATCCGTTGAGCAGCACCGATCTTACTCAATCGGTTCGTTCGATTACATAGTAGACGACGTAGATTCAGAAATCTCAGAGTCAAATTTCAACCGTGGAAAACAGGAAGACGCGACTACAACAACAACAACCGTGGTTACGTCTAATCCGGCGTCGTTTGAAGCTAGTTTAGCGGCGGATATAGGTAACGATGGTTCTAGAAGCTGGCTCAAGGATTACGTGGACAGACTCTCACGAGGTATATCGTCGCGTGCAATGTCGTTTAGAAGCTCTGGTAGATTTTTTACCGGGAGTAGTCGTCGGACTGAGGAATTGACGGTGATGGATTTAGAAGCCAATCATGCCGGAGAAGAGATAAGTGAGCTTTTCCGGTGGCTCTCAGGGGTGTGATGAATGGTGAGTCGGTGAAATTCGTTCATTCACTTGGTTTTAGCACAAAAAAAAAAAACAGAGCATTACTTTTGGTTTGTACATATAAACACTATCTGAAGTTCTTTGCTTCAATTACGGGATTGTTTTTTTCTGACGATATAACAGATGAATTATCTAGTTATATATTACTTCTAATGGTCTATTTTTACTTCCATTATGTCCAATGTGTTTCAATATTGATTCCAAATAATAGCAAATTTTAGTTTGGATAACTCTTCTTATTGAATATCTGGAAGAAAAGAAAACTATTACCGGTAATACTAAAATCACAAAAGCTAGACTTTGTTATAAAATTTAAAAGATGGAAAGCAAGTTTAAATAGTTTCAGAGTTTTTTTTTCCACAATTCTGCAGACTTTATATATTTCCTTATTCCACAATATATAATAGGAAGAATTATACATATATATGTTGACACTTGACACATATAGACATATAAAAATTAATATTTTTTAATCATGGTAAAAAATCATTTAAATGATCATAAATATTAGATTGTACTGTAGTATGAGTAATCCATTGAACCAATATCTAAAGGTTGGATAAAACAAAAACCAAACCGTATTAAGAGAACTGGCTTTCAAAGATGAGTCAAAAGTATTTGGGCCAACATAGTTAAGCCCAAACTAAATCGAACAAAGCACAGAATATTTTTAAGGAGGTCAAGCAACCAGAGAAGTCTGTAGAAGAATTTTGTACCAAAAAAAAAAAAAAGTCTGTAGAAGAAGTGTTTGGTCCAACAACAAAACACACAAACACAGCAAGATTCGTGACTCACAGAGAAGGAAGCTAAAGTTATCCAATGCCTCGAATTTCATTACAGTACCTAAACCCTTCTTGTCTGCAACACTAATAGCAACTGTGAGTCTGTGACCTTCGCTGCAGGTTTGACATTCCCGGTTGTTATATCTTATATGAGTTCTGCTCCAGATTTAGGCATGACTGCCTACATTGGTCAATGAGTTAAATGTTAAGGTATTTCTTTTGTTCAACAACATTGCAATGTGCAGTTCTGTGGTAACTATAATGGCTCATATTTGAGGACAACTGGGTGATGCTCTTCTGACAAAGAAAACTTTTCAACTAGCTTTACCACTTCTGTTAACGGTTCTTGTATCTATGAAAATGGCATCTGTGGCTGGAATTAGTCTTGTGGTGAGCGATCTCCCATGGCATTCGCATCTTGTATTAGCCATAGATTCAGCCTGCTTGGTAGTCTTGATGCTACCTATCATTCCTTACGCTTTCCCGTCTACAAGACAACTAGACAAGGCTTTCTCCGATACATCTTCTATTTTCCTTACTTCTTGACGCTTTTGGTTGTTAACGAAGACAACAATAACATGGACGGTTAAAGAGTGCTCTGTTCTGTTCAGTTTTGTATCATGTTTAATTGTTAGTGTTCTTTTTATGAGTGACAGTTTTTTTAACAGTTTTGTATCTCACGACTTTGTAGTAGACTAGTAGTATGTGAGGGCATGTGCAGTGGGAGAACCTTTTATTAGTCTCTCAAATATATTAGTTTAATAACTTTTATATAATTAATTTTTTGATTTAAAAGTTAAACTATAAATAAAATTTATAACCAGTTATATTTAGACATGTGTCATATGAGTCTCTCTATGGGTTCTCAAAATCTCTCAAATGAGAGATTCACTTTATTCTCTTTCTTACTTTTTCAATATTTTATAATTTTATTTGGGTGAGAGACTCAATGAGAGACTTCCACTAAACATGCTCTGATTGTCTTTTTACAACGTAACCAAGATAAACAACTACAAAAATCGATACAGACGTTAGTTGTAGGATCTTGTCGGTTGCAAAGAGCTCACATGATCCCGACTTTGGTTCTCTCGATCTCAACGGCCCATTCTCTGTTTAAATAAAGCTCTGTTTCAACAAATAAAACCTCAAATAATTAATCTTGATAATTATGACTGTTGTAACTTTTTTATGACCGTTGTGATCAAATTTTTGCAAAAAAGGAAACAACCTTAACCTAATCAGAAAAAGGAAACAATTGAAGATTTCCTTTTTCTTTGAACAACCCTTTGCTTATAAATACTCTCAGTCATATCTTCTTCCTTGAAAAATTTAAACCCTCTATTCATCTTATTCAAAACGCAGAAAAAAAAGATCAAGAAGAAAATATATCTTTCATCTTTTTCTTTCTCGGTGAATTTCTTACGGAGAGGATCGCCGATGATGATCCATTCCGACATTCTCTCTACAACAACTTCATTCTTCATCTCATAACCTATCAGTAAGATTTGATCGGTAGAAAGCTCCTAATTTTTCACGGTTTTTGTTGATTCGTTACCATGGGAATCTTACGGGAACCTCAACAGTATCACCGGCGGGATCTGTTGACGGCGGCGACTGAAAACGACGACTATGTAGCAGGTTCGAATTTCGATGGAGTCGCTTAAGGATGAATGAAGAAGAAGATAAAAACTGAGTTTCGTCTCGATTCGATATCAAGTTTCAGAAGCCTGAGGATATCACAACCAGGATCCAGGTATACCTACTTTCTGACCTTTTTTATATATAAATTATAATGATTTTGATTCAAAGAAAAAAAAGATTTTATGTTTTTCACTTCTGATTTAAAACTAAGTACCAAAGGTTTTTCAAATAGTTTTTAACTAAAATTTTATTACTATATAAAGATAATTTTTAATAAAAGTATTTTCAAACATAAGTGTTAGATTTAAGTACGTGAAAATAAACCGGATTTAACATCCCGTCATTTGGTCCGTAAATCTTGTGGTGTCATAAATTCAATACGTTTTCACGTATTTAAATTCAACACTTATGGTTTTCAACAAATAATATTTTAAGTAAACTATTTTGATTTTAACTAAAAGTTTATTACTATATATAAATAATTTTTAATAAAAATATTTTCAAACTTAAGTGTTAGATTTAAATACGTGAAAACAAACCGGATCTAGCATCCAGTCCTTTTGGTCCGTAAGTCTTGTAGTGTCATTAAATTCAACACAGTTTTACGTATTTAAATTCAACACTTATGGTTTTCAACAAATAATATTTTAAGTAAACTATTTTGATTTTTAACTAAAAATTTATTACTATACAAAATAATTTTAATAAATGTAACGTTTAATAAAAACTTTATACACTTATAGTTTTCTTAAACTGTAACGTTTTGGTATTCACATTGGTTGGTTTCAAAAAATGCCAATCATGCCGGAGAAGAGATAAGTGAGCTTTCCGGTGGGTTTCAGGAGTGTGAGTGAGTGGTGAGAATAATGGTGACATTTTGTTGTATGAGTAATCCATTGAACCAATAAGAACTATAACTAAGGTTGGATAAAACAAAAACCAAACCGTATTAAGAGAACTGGTTATCAAAGATGAGAAGCGAAAGTATTTGGGCCAATATAGTTAGGCCCAAACTATATCGAACAGAGCACAGAAAGAAGCAACAAGAAGTGTGTAGAAGAAAGGTTTGTTCAACAACAAAACACAACACAGCAAGAACGAGCGAATCTCCTCAACTCCCCAACCTAATAATAGCTCGCCTTGTCGTGACTCGTGTGACTCACCGAGTAGGAACCTAACATTATCCAATGGCTTCGACTTTCACTACAGTGCCTAAACCCTTCTTGTCTCTTCCCATCAGAACCAATGCTCCTACTCTACCTCACCAGGCCCTTCTCGGTACAAATCTTAATCCATGTTTCTTTATTTTCTGGATTAGCTTCTCTTGTGTCTTCTCCATTAATTACTCTTTCTTGTTTATGGATTGCTATAGGATTTCGAAGAAATTCCCTTAGAATTAACGCCGTTTCCACCAAATGGGAACCGGCAAAGGTACGACCTTTTAGTTTCTCCCGTCGTCTCCTTTGATATCTGGTGGTGATTTTGTTTTAATCTGGAGATCATTTTCTGTTTGTTGTAATGGGTTTTGCAGGTTGTTCCACAAGCAGACAGGGTCCTTGTCCGTCTTGAAGTCCTTCCTGAGGTTCTGTCTCTTAGCTTTCTTCTTTCTACATTCTTAATCCATCCCCTTAATGACGACTAGAGTAAATTTGCCATTTTTCCGTTGGATTGTTACACATTTTCCAGTGACTGTGATTCCCTAGCTTTCTTCTCCAACAATGTTGCTGTTCAATTGTAGTTAGTTCCCTTTATGATCTGAAGTCTTAGGATCGTTTCTCTTTTGTTAAAAGAGAAGAGAACCACACAAAAAGGGAAACACTTTAGGACACTGAGAAGATTACAAAAAGAACAAAAATTTAGTTGCTCAGCTCGTGTTATTGCGGTTTCAGTTGACGTATCATGAGTCTTGGTGAATGTATCCAGAAGAGAACTTTAGACAATGGTTACGGTACTAGCTGTGAGTTATCATGTTGATGTGACAATGCTTGTGCTTCTTCTGCAGAAATCCTCAGGAGGAGTATTGTTGCCTAAATCAGCTGTGAAATTCGAGAGGTACCTAACAGGCGAGGTAATTCTCTCGTCATTTGCTCTTTACTTGGATGTTATTAAGACTTAAAGAAGAAACAATTGATGATGGAGTTGATGATTTCAGGTTGTCTCTGTTGGGTCTGATGTTGGGGAAGTGGAACCTGGCAAGAAGGTAAGTTTCATCTTTTAGCAAAATAAATGATGAAGTCATTGTATGATCTCCTTCTTCATTCATTCATGCTCTTGTCTCTTTTGCAGGTTGTGTTCTCTGATATGAGCGCCTATGAGGTTTGTATTTGATGATTATGATGGAACATTGTGAAAACACTAGAATGTAATGACAATTGATCATACTTGTGAAGCTGAGACATCTCTTTTTGACTTCTTCAGGTTGATTTTGGAACCGATGCTAAGCATTGCTTTTGCAAAGAAAGCGACTTGTTAGCAATCGTCCAGTGAAAAGTAGCATTGAAGTTGTGCATTCAATAATATCATCTACCAAAAAGAGTTCCAGGTTTTGTTTTTCTTGTAATCTCAGTGACATCATATGTTCTGTTTTTCGAATCTCATGTAAGAGCTCAAAGTGTTGAATTTAACATGAAGATTGATCGGAAACCGAAATTGTTGAGTAAACAATGTTCCCTGAAACAGAATTTGTTTTATTTGCAAATTTCTCATATGAGAGATAAGCCTTTTGTTCATAGCTCTTAGCTTGTGAACAAGAATCGATATTATTAGCTCAAAACATCATCATTCAAAATTCATGGATTTTTTTTTATATAACTCGATCTTAATTGTTCTTTTTAGATAATTTGATATTTACTTGATTTCTTGAAAATTAATTATTTTGCCCTCCTTAACCAACTTTATTTCTTCCATGGACCCGTCTTCATTAAACCTCTTGAGTTATTAGACTACTTTTATAAAGTTGAATTGAAAGCACTCTAATGTCGTCTCGTACTTCCGATTTTATTAAAAGTTGATAAAAGATATTTTGATACTTGCGTCATAAGCGATTCCAATATAGCTTTGTAGGTCTATGTGTTGAAGTGGACTAGAGAAGAAGGATTGTGAAACCCAAGATTAACTTTTCCAAGGTGAAGACAAAAAATAGGTCAAAACTGTCGCACTCTTAATATTTATAGCCAGAAATTCATGGGTCAAATTTCAAAATTTAAGCTCCCGCATTTCTACTACTCAAAACCGTAATGATTAGTGTGATATAATGACATTTGAGTCTTTGACCATATGACATACATTTGAATTAAAACTTCAGCACATATAGATTGACTAAACTTGATATAGGATCTCAATTTTGCCCAAACTTCTTGGAAATTAGATTCGGTTTGATCTGGCTCCACGGTTCTACCAATTAATCGATCCGGTTAGATCTTGATTCATTTGTCTTAATTTTCGATAAGTAATTCCCAGAAGTAAAAAACAAGAACACTACATTACTTCTCTTAATCTCCTAAGAACAATATATTTGGCCCATCAAACTCTACAATTACAATCAGGAAAAAAACATTACAAAGTTTTAAACAAAAGAAAGTATTTCCCATAGAGATTATTCACCACAAGCCAAATAAAAAGCTTGATTTTGGAAAAAAATCCATCTTTAGAAAGCCACGAGGGGTACTTACCGTAATTTACTAACCATCCATAGTCAAACACGTTGACTAAAGACTAATCCACCTAAAAAAACTCAACGGCGGCGATCAACTCTACCTAAATCCACAAGCTTCTTCGATCTGTTTGCACAAAACGACGCCGCTGCTGATATATGAGGCTTTTCCGGCACCGCCGTTACCTCCCCGGAAGTACCAAATTCCGATGGAAATCTCATTTTCCGTTTAAACGGACAATTAGGACTAGCTCTCACCAACGGACTCAAGCAAAAAGCCATCCCCGACATAGTCTTCCCTATCCCATTCGCAATCTTCCTCCTTCCCGGAGTTTTCGTCGCCGGAGTTCTTCTCAATTCCTCAATTGATTCCGACGACGGCTCCGGTTCCGTATCTCTCGCAGGTGACATTCCTCTACAGTATATACGTTGAGGTCTACGACCAGCGATTACGTCTTCAATATAACAGGCGGTGGTTGGTTGCTTTTTACGGCGACCAGTGGAGAGAATCGACGAGATCCATGAACGTGAAGAAGAAGAAGAAGACGAAATCTCAGACGCGTCGCATGAGAATCTAGGATTGTTGGATTTGCGATTGTAATCAAAATCTTCAGATCTAGCTCTGAATAGATTCGAGAATCTAGATAACTTTTTGCCTTGTTTTGATTTATAAGATCGATTGGATTCGAAATCTTTGCACGAATAGCCGACGAGATCTATCTGAGGCGTGGTGATGAATCTCCGATTAGAAGTAAGAGGATCTCCTCCGACTCCGGCGTCGGATTTTCTACGGGTTACATAAGGAGAAACAGAGCGAGGGAAAATCAAAAGCGGAGGATGATTATTAGATTTGCGTGATTGATTATCTTCTACGGCGGCTGTGATGGCGGCGGAAGCGGCGAGGGAGAGGAGACGTTCACGGAGGCAAGAAGCGCATACGCCGTTGCTGCTGCTGAAATCGACGGTGTGTCTCTTACACCTCATCGGAGGAGAATTAAAGATAAAAAGCTTTGATTTTTTTTTTATCGAAAGAAAGTTTTTTTTTTTTTTGTGGGGGTTGGGCCGAGAGTTTCGGTGTTATAGTGATGTGACAACCTGTAAAGATGAAGGAAGAAGAAAGATCTGGTGGTAAAGATTTTGTCTTCTTCTCCTAAGATCTCTGTTTTGAGATAGAGTTAGAGAGAGAGAAAAAGCATTCTCTGTCGGAACGAAGAAAAGATAGAAGAGAGAGAAACTATTTTATTTATCTAATGGAGATTTATTTGTAAGCACAACATTTTGACAGATCATTTTATCACTAACCATTTCTTTAATGCAACATTTCATTATGTGATTTCAAATAAAGATTAGTATTAAATTGCAATTTTTTGGTTGGTAATTTTGCCAACTTACAAAAGATTAACGCGCCATTATAGTTTTCATCTTCTCCTTGTCGTAGAAGTAGAAAATCTACTTATAGTTGACCTTTCTATATTTCAGTAGTCGGACCAATACCATTGATTTGAATGGGATGTGTACTGATTACCTCAGGCAATGACTTTTTTTAAAAAAAGAACAAGACTTGAAATAATGATGTATCTGTATAAATAAATAAAAACCTAAAAGAGAAGCATGTGACGGTGGATGGTAAAAGCCGACAAGTATTAGGTGAAGACGAGCCATCGTCGTTTTCCATATCTCACACGAATGTTCGTCCGTTTCTTCAACATTTTGCCACGTGGTTTTCAAATTTCATCATGGGCCTATTTCATTATTGGGCTTTAAAAGCCATCATAAAGTCCTTATCTATTGGGCCTGCCATATGATAAATAATGAAAACCTATAGTTGGTTAGAGATCCATGACTTGTTTGTTTTTTTCTTAAATTTTTCTTCTTTTCTTAAAAAGTTTCTAAACATTTTTTCTTTTGATAAGTATGTAATTATCATTTCAAGAAATGAAAGGTTTAGGAATTACATCAGAAAATCCTTAAAAACATTTTCTTCATTTATCTAGTCTTAGCAAGACATGTATTGCTAAAGCTCATCACTTATATAGCCTCCCACCCTCTCCTGGACCTAACTTTATTATTGGGTCCTTTTTAAAGTCTTCTCTAATTATTGGGCTTTCCAAACAATGTTGATATGTATTTGTGTTGGGGTCCATGTGGAATTTCAAAATTCGAAAATTCAAACAGGTTACAAAAAGTTCAAATTAAAAACACAAATCTTATCTTCATTATCCCTTTTTAGATTTGACCGTTTAGAAAAACAAGAACCAGACCGTACCGAACCAAATCCAGACGATTCCGTAGCCTGCGTTAAGCTATCTGTAAACCGACCGAGCCACACAGGCACAAAAATCAAACCTTCTAGAAACCAAAGAGAGAGACATTTATTCTCTAATTTATTTTCCTATTTTGCCCCTACCGATATTTTTCTTCTTCGTCTCTCTCAGCTCTTGAAGTCTTGGTCTGTTGGCGAATTTTCAAGCAGCTTTCTAATTTTAAACTGAAATTTCATCTTTGGAACTTTGAATTCTCTCATCTGAAACTGAAGGAGAAGGAAGATGACTACTATGGAGAGTTTGATTGGGTTAGTTAACAGAATACAGAGAGCATGTACCGTACTCGGTGACTATGGTGGTGGAACTGGAAGTAACGCTTTCAATTCTCTCTGGGAAGCTCTTCCAACCGTCGCCGTCGTCGGTGGTCAGGTAAATTCTCCGGTTGAAATATCTTTGACTTCTTCCTAGGTTTTCCTCTGTTGACTCTTCAACTTTCTTTTTTTTGGGTTTATGCAGAGTTCTGGGAAATCTTCAGTTCTTGAGAGCATAGTTGGGAGAGATTTTCTTCCTAGAGGATCTGGTTTGTGAATTTTCCATTTTCTCTTATGTGTTTGTGTATAAAGCAAGGAGCTTTGATTTTGAGGAAGAAGTATTGTTTGTGCAGGTATCGTTACGAGACGGCCTTTAGTGTTGCAGCTTCATAAGACGGATGATGGAACAGAGGAGTATGCAGAGTTCCTTCACCTTCCCAAGAGGCAATTCACAGATTTTGGTATGTACCTTAACATTTATGTCTATATATGTTTTGTATGAATGTACGTTTGTTCTGCTTCTTTCCTTTTTTCTGGTTACTTATGGTTCTGGCTAGAGGCTGTAGTTGAAAGTGTTTATTGAAATTTTGCTTGATGTTGCAGCTTTGGTTCGCAAGGAGATTCAGGATGAGACTGATAGAATCACAGGGAAGAACAAACAGATATCTCCAGTTCCTATTCACCTCAGTATCTACTCTCCAAATGGTATCATTTAATCTTAGTCTGCTACCTTTAACATTATGTTTGTGGATTTAACATTGACGTTTGCTCCTTTTTATGGAAACAGTTGTGAATTTGACCCTCATTGATTTGCCCGGTTTAACAAAAGTGGCTGTTGGTATGTTTTGTTTTTTTGACCTCTTCTTTGGGTTTCCATTTCTTTATTATTTTATGACTCTCTGTAACTTATTGATGATACTGCCTCTGATTTCCAGAGGGACAGCCGGAAACCATTGCTGAGGATATTGAATCCATGGTTCGCACATATGTTGATAAGGTGAGAATTGCTAGATCTTTATTTTTTATACTGATGTTGAGCTTGTCTATTTTTTTTTGTTTTAACTTTGAAAACATTTCACAAATGTAAAAACCTTATACGACTTTTAAACTATATGCTCAAGTTCTAGTTGCAGATGGTTAAATTTTCTTTCTAGTTCCAATCGGTTAATTCTGTCTGTTTGCAGCCCAATTGTATCATATTGGCTATATCTCCTGCCAACCAAGACATTGCAACATCGGATGCAATTAAGCTCGCAAAAGATGTTGATCCAACAGGTTTGTTTACTATGCTGTTGTCTATGATCGATATATATGGCAGGGAGTACTGTCTTTTGATGATGATATAAGTTTTTGATCGTCTCAGGTGAGAGGACATTTGGTGTTCTTACCAAGTTAGACTTGATGGACAAAGGAACTAATGCATTAGAAGTAAGCACCTCTTCTTCTCTTTTGGTTCATGTGTCATGCTCCACTTTAATGATTATACATGACTGGTACTGTGTTCCAGTTCTTACTTTTTTCTTTTTTAGAAATTTTGATCTAACATTCAGAACTTCTTGCCTTAATAAGGTTCTTGAAGGAAGATCTTACAGGCTGCAACATCCTTGGGTTGGGATAGTGAACCGTTCACAAGCAGATATTAATAAGAATGTCGATATGATGCTTGCAAGACGCAAGGAACGAGAATATTTTGACACCAGTCCTGACTATGGTCACTTAGCCAGCAAAATGGGTTCGGAATACCTGGCAAAGCTTCTCTCTAAGGTGTTCAATCATAGGCTGAAATGCTTGAGACTTTATCGTATTGTTTATTTCATTGTTGTTCAATTGCTTTATGGTCTTTGTTTTTTAATGCAGCACTTGGAGTCTGTTATCAGGACCCGTATTCCAAGTATACTATCCTTAATAAACAAAAGCATTGAAGAACTTGAAAGAGAGTTAGACCGAATGGGTAGGCCTGTCGCAGTTGATGCTGGGGTAAGAGAGTACATCTGTGTGAAACTATCTCTTCGATAAAGTTTTACGTTTTTTGATATGTGCTAAATCTGTTGGTCTCATTCTCAGGCTCAACTATACACTATATTGGAGATGTGCCGTGCATTCGATAAGATATTTAAGGAACATCTGGATGGCGGGTAAACATCGTTACTAATCTTCCTGTGGAAATCTTTTGGCTTAGGTTGATTATTTTTGTTAACCTCTTATTACATTGTAGGCGTCCCGGTGGTGACCGTATCTATGGAGTCTTTGACAACCAACTTCCAGCTGCACTTAAAAAGCTTCCTTTTGATCGCCATCTTTCTCTACAAAGCGTGAAGAAAATCGTGTCCGAGGCAGATGGCTATCAACCTCACTTGATTGCACCAGAACAGGGTTATCGCCGTCTAATCGAAGGGGCGCTGGGTTACTTTAGAGGTCCAGCGGAAGCTTCTGTGGATGCCGTAAGTTATTCTAAAGTGTTTCCCTACTTCACTTTTGTATATACAAGACCGTAATGAGTTTGGCGCAAATGCAACAGGTTCACTATGTCTTGAAAGAGCTTGTGAGGAAGTCAATATCCGAAACTGAGGTGAGATGTTTTTCAACCTATTAATTTCCTCAAGACTGGTAAAATGAAATATAAGGGTTTGAATGTATCTCCCTTCCTTGGTGGCACAAATGCAGGAGCTAAAGCGTTTCCCTTCACTGCAAGTCGAGCTCGCTGCAGCAGCCAACAGCTCCTTGGAGAAATTCAGGGAAGAAAGCAAGAAGTCGGTTATTCGACTTGTTGACATGGAATCTGCGTATCTAACAGCTGAGTTCTTCCGGAAACTTCCTCAAGAAATGGAAAGACCAGTAACCAACAACAAAAACCAAACTGCTTCGCCTTCCCCTGCAACGTTAGACCAGTATGGAGACGGACATTTCAGAAGGATAGCATCAAATGTATCTGCGTATATCAACATGGTTGCAGACACACTTCGTAACACCATTCCAAAAGCTTGTGTTTATTGTCAGGTTAGACAAGCCAAGCTCGCCTTGCTCAATTACTTCTACTCACAGATCAGCAAGAGAGAGGTAAACTAAACTGTTTAAAATCTTTTTAATTCTGTGCTCTGCACTTCAAATCTTATATTTGGTCTGAAATTTCACAGGGGAAACAGTTGGGACAGTTACTAGATGAAGATCCGGCATTGATGGACCGGAGACTAGAGTGCGCGAAGAGGCTAGAGTTATATAAGAAAGCGAGAGATGAGATTGATGCTGTTGCTTGGGTACGATGATAAACCCAAAAGTGTGTGTTTCTGGTGATGGTTTTAGTGAGTGGAGAGAACTAAAATTCGTGTGTTGTTTAAGTTCGTTGGCTATTGTCTTTTGTATGTATGTATATGATCATCAGACCATGTTGAGACATTGAGACGTTTTGTAAGAGCAACAGCAACGGTGCAATCAACGTATAGGTTTTAGTATTAAAATAATCGATTTTATTGCAAAAGTTGTGTCAGAGTCGAAACCCGTGTGTATGTTCACAACCGGGTGTAGCATTTAATTGTGAGACAAAAAATTTTACATTATTTTATTACATTATTTTATTACTTCAACTCTCATTATTTTATTAATAAAACAACACTAACACATACACCCCCACTTTTACCACTGCCCATGGTCTAATAAACTTATCATTACTATTTAAAAACGGCATAGCGTTTAACTTCATGAATAGTAGACTGCGCGCCGTTTCATAGTTCCCGTCTGGGCTACTGGAAGGAATACTCGCAAAAACTCCGTGTCGTCTCACTTTAGAGGACTGCGCGCCGTTTAAATATACACGTTGCCACCGTTAGCAGGCTACACGCCGTTCTTCTTCCTTAAGTTCTCTATCTTCTCCACCTGAATCTTCTTCGCCTGGAGTTGTCAAATCGTCACATAGCCTTGATCATGGAAACTCCTGTTGATGCTCTGATTAAGGTATCGTTTTCACCTGTGTACCCAATTTCATCGTCACTGCAACTAACAAAAATCTGGTAATTTTTTTCCTAAATTCAAGGATATTATTATTTGGTTATAGGGCGAACATGAAAGCCCTCCAAGGTGGAAGAAGTCAACGGTGGTTTTTGTGTTGGGTAATAGTACTAATTCCACTCTGTAATCATATCGTGCTTTGCTCTTGAAAGTTGGATTTTGTGGTGTTGAATGAATGGTTGATTGATTCTAGGAGGTCCTGGAAGTGGAAAAGGTACTCAGTGTGCTAATCTTGTGAAGCACTTTAGCTATACCCATTTTAGTGCTGGTGATCTTCTCAGAGCAGAAATTAAGTCTGGTTCTCAATTTGGGTATGTTCTGCCTCACTCCAATCTCATGTCTCTCTAACTAATTGCTGTGTATGTGTGAAGTGAATACTTTTGTATAATGAAAACCCACCAGTTGGTGAATTCCAGTTTCTTTTTCTGTGGAGATTTTCAGAGCCATGATCCAAAGTATGATTGCTGAGGGGAGAATTGTGCCTTCTGAGATCACAGTGAAACTTTTGTGTAAAGCTATGGAGGAAAGTGGTAATGATAAGTTCCTCATTGATGGTTTTCCTCGCAATGAAGAAAATCGGATTGTATTCGAAAATGTTGTAAGGGTCATGTTCATTCTCTTGATTTCATTGTCAATTGTCTTCTCGTTGATTCCTATTAGAGTCTAATCAAGTCCTACTTGTCTTGTTAAGCCTTGGTTTAATACTGTCTGGATCTTGACAGGCTAAAATCGAGCCTGCTTTTGTTTTATTCTTTGATTGTCCAGAAGACGAACTAGAAAGACGCATTATGAGCAGGAACCAGGTTGGTATTTTAACTTGAGAAAAATGATGTCTAGTACCTCTTTTACTAGTGTTGTTTCTTGTTTATGAAGGGAAGAGAAGACGATAATATAGAGACGATTAAGAAGCGATTTAAAGTATTTGTTGAATCTACCCTCCCTATTATTAGCTACTACGAATCTAAAGGGAAACTTCGAAAGGTTAGGATTTGGTTCTCCAGTTCTCTTCCATGATCATTACTATCATATACTGTTCATGATTCTTGTTTCTGATTTCTCCAGATCAATGCTGCAAAACCCAGCGAAGAGGTTTTCGAGGCAGTCAAAGTTCTATTTGCATCTTAAACTTGACAAGCTGGGTGTAGCTCGTGATCATCCAAACATATGTAATGCATTATTGTTTGGTCTTTGTCTTTGTAGCATGACTTGGAATCACCAAACAGAGACTCCAAAGTCCATGTGCCTTGTCGTATACGAAACTAAGTTTACAGATTTATGCTTGTTTCAGTGTTTGTATATGTAAATATCTCTACATTTTACATGTTCTCGTTATACGATAAGCCAAACTTTCGTCGTAATAACCATATTTTAGCTAAGAACTTGTTAAGCTTGACTTATTAATCAAGTCCACGAAGTTATCTCATCAATTTATTCACAAAGACTTGTCGTTATATGAGCACGCGTCTACTTCAGAACCAGTTTAGAGTTCAACGTATAACAACAAACTTGCTATCACCATATTAAATCATGACCGTCCATCTCTTCCAGCTTACAAAACATATATACATAGGTTCATTACAATTTACACACACCACACACAAGAAGAGTCTCTCGTTCGTTCTTCAATCACTTGTTAATACTTTTTTGTTGGAGGATGTTCACTCAATCTGTGTTTAGATTTTGCGAATATATCACCGTTTCTGTTTTGGTTACCTCCGTCGCGGTCTTCTCCGTCCGACTCTTATTAAGATTCGCCACTTTTATCGTCACACGTCCATGGCGTCGCCACCGCACATTCACGTTTCGCCGGTGGAGAACGGCGGCGAATGATCATTCGTCTCCGCCTTTCTGCGCCGTGTGTTTACAAGAGGCAGAGGAAGGAGAGAAGATGAAGCGATTGACGATTTGCCGTCACTGTTTCCACGCGGATTGCATAGATACATGGCTCAGTGAAATGTCCAAGTGTCCACTGTGTAGAGCTCAGATTCCTCCGTTGCCGCCGGCGAGTCCTTTGCTCTTGCTGTTTTTTCCGGCCGGTGTGATTGATTTATTCAGCAAGCAAGAATCTCGACGCGTGGCTCTCTAATTTCGAATTCTCTCTGTTTCTTAATTCTCTGACGTGTAAAAATTTATTACTAGGTTTACTTTAATATTTAGCTTAACTCTTCCTATACGACAAATAGTTTAACATAAAAAGGTTAAAAACTTGAAATAAATCAAGAAGTTTTTTATTACGTGTCTATATATCCAAGTCCCTTTACGTAAAGCTTTTCATTATTTGATAATGTCTTTTATTGGTAGTTTCTTTTCTATTACGTAAACTTTAATTTTAAACTGTAAATCTGTACATTTTTTTTTCTTTACCTTATAGAATGACCATTATCTATTCACTCAAAACTGTATCTCAAAGTTAATGGGCCTTCATGTGATATCTGTTTTCCAAGTTTCACGTATACAAGTCAGGCCCAAGCATATACGTACGTAACAATCAGTGTGATATGTTTTTTTTTTTTTTTTTTTTTTTTTTTTTTGGTATCAATGTGATATGTTTATTTGCTATCCAATAGTATCTACTACCACATTCATTGCAGAGAGTCAGAGACTACTAATTATATGCATTTAAGATTACAGTGTATTGAGATGTACATGTACTATAATCTTAAATTCATATGTTTGGTAATCTGTGAAATGAATGTGGACAATGTATTTAAAGTATCATGGAATTGTTCTTACGGATTGCTATATATCACGGTCCACGGACTTTAGCATTTGAATTGAGGTGGGTCTTTTTCTGATGTGTTTTTTTTTTTTGTATTTTTCCAAAGTTAAGAAAAAGGCAAGTTGATGACGCAGCTAAACATATGAAGAAAAAGGACCGAAACAGCCAAGAAACTCACGTGGAGATCACTAACATATGCGTCCATACCTACATTTTGACAAGACATAATTCATACAAATTTCTATAATATTTTGTTTCTCAATTTAACACATATATATTAGATATATATGTTTGACAAATAAAAAAGAGAGACTAATACATTTTAAGATGACCAAATTTTGTGAACCAGCCTGGTTTTAGTCCTCTTTTTGAGTTATTTATAGTCTAGTTTTTTCGAACTTGACTTATAAAGCTCTGTGGAAACATGTATCTAGCTATTTGAGCATGACATATGTTAAAGTGGTTTATAATATATAGTTTGCCATTGTGTCATTATTTAGATTCAAATTTGGTAAAAAAAAGACATTATCTGGATAATAATTCTGATTAAGATTAAAGACGCTTTCTTTGTTGGTAATGGGGGATTATTAAGGTCAGCACTCAGCAGCATCTCGACTCTATTATGGGCCAAAAAACATCGACTTATATAATCCCATACCCTTTTGTACTCTGTTTCTCGCTATTATATCTAAGAGGACAAAAACAAAAACAAAAAAAAAGGACATCGACTTAAATAATCACATACCCTTTTGTTTTTTATCGACCTTAATTGTCAACGTGCTTCTTCAGTCTGATGTTGTGGCACACATATATGCGTATATTCTTCTACAGTATAAGTTATACTGTTAACAACTAGTAGACTCCACGCTTTCCACGCACATGCAACAACTAGTGGGAGTGACGGTGGGACTCGACTCGAGTATTGGAATACCACTTTGATCAAACCTAAAAATAATACAGTTTTTTCTTTTTCTTTTTGCCGGCATTGGAAATAGCAATTTTAAAACAAAAAAAAAACAATTTAAGGAAAAATTATGGCAAGTAGAACTATACTAACAAAAAAAACACTGAAAAAGGAGAACTAATTATCACGTAATAAGTAGAAGAAGAAAACAAATTACTATAGGTTTTTTGTCTTTCTGTCATCTAGTTTGGTGGTTGTGTACGAACCCTAATTGGGGTTTCTGTTTACTTTGATGATGATCTGAGACCATACGGCCAGATCAAGTCTGTCATATACTATTTATTGGTTTCTACAGTACTCAAAAGATACGCTGTAATATCGCAGTCGAGTATATATGGTCCCAACCACCTACAATTCAGTGGAAAAAGACAGGATGCATTAGAATCAAATCGGATTGGAATCTCTCTCACTCACTCTTTTCCAAATGTGTCGAGCCTAACTTTCATATAAGGAAGTCGTTTTCTACGAACCTCACACGTACATCCTTACGCTAAACAACAAAACTCTCAATACCACCAAGTCTAATCTAAATTCTACGAAGAAACATATGTATATAGTTCAACGATCTTGCTATATATTCATGAATATTGATTATTTCGTTTATACTCCTCGTCAATACGATAAATTACACGTCAGTTTATTATAGTTTGTAGTTACTGTGTGTGTTTTTTTTACTTTAAACAAAAATATCCAAGTCAGCGATTAGTCGATTACGGTAGTCACATATCCATCAAAATCAAGTTAATCTCGACATAAACTATTTAGCGATTAATGAAAAGCCGGATCGGATCATCTTATAAGGTTTTAATCACGATCGAAGTGAAAGAACATTGATGTAACACGACTTGCATGGCCTGCCCTTGCATAAGGTAGCTATTTAGGCCTCCCAATGTTAATGTTTTTCAAGGGCCTCATCGTTTAATAGTTAATTACTGTGATATTGACATATTGTCCACTTTCATTATTATCAATAATAAGAGTACTGACCAGTGTAAAAAAAAAGAAAAAAGGAGGAGTGACCAGTGACCAGTGAAAATCACATGATGATGAGCTTCATTTTTCAACTCATTTGGACTTGAGCTCATCATCATGTGATTTTCTCCATTTTTTAACTAGATTCCAAATATATTTTTCTCAAAACAATTTTACAGGTTTAATCTAATATTCTTATGCTCGTTTTGTCATAAGTTATGGTGATAGTAATTATTAAAAAAAAAAGTGGTGTTAGTGCGAATACCGTCACTCTCTCACTATATATATCATGCATGTTGTTGATAAATTTTTTTACTTTAATTTCAGATTATATAAAAGAAAGACATTCTAAGAAATAATACTTTAAACAAGAAAGTAATTCTAAGAAAGACATTCGTTTTGGATATACGTATTTTTAAACTTAATTTTTGGTCGGCCACGGATTTTTTAAGTTCGTCGAGTAATAATAAGAGAATTCAATTTGTTTTTCTCCAATGCCCCTAAACATATCAATCATTCGATAGGGTTTTTGTTGCTGGCATCACTTTTCTCTATAAACTCAAAACTTGTCTCACACACACTCTCTCTCTCTCCGGCTTCTGCAACTCCATCTGAAAACAAAACACTAAACAAAACATGAACTTGATCGTCTCCAATCATCTCTAGTGCTTCTCACTTAGACTCTCGGTACGAAGATACGTGTCTTCTCAAACCAAGAAGAAGTTATGTTCAAGCCCTTTGGTTCTGCAGGTAAAGTTGATAATCTTGCACTTGAAAAGTTTCTATGTTTCTGAAGACTTACTGTATATGATCATGTTATTAAATCAATGTTTTCTTCGTTTTACCTGATTGTGTTTGCTTTGATATGAGCAGCAGAAACGATTTTTCATCTCTTGAGCACGCAATGGTTGCAACTAGAAAACTCGCTTTGCTTGAAGGAACGTATAAGCATCGCTACGCAAGTGGCTTTCCTCGCTTTCTTTGTTATTCATTTGGCACTTAAATGGTTTGGTGTAGTGAGAAACAGAGGATCTAACGATATAGAAGAAGACTTGAAGAAGCAGAGCATAACCGTGAAGCAGAGCTTCTCTTACAACATATCTCTTCTCTGCTCTGTTTCTATCTTAGGGACTCATTGCTTTATCTTGCTTTTGCTGTTTCGAGACAGCGTGGTCTCACGGTGTGATTCCTCTGTTTTTGTCTTCTCCGCTGAGATTTCGCAGGCTTTCTCGTGGTTTATTGTTTCTGTTGTTGTGGTGAAGATCAGAGAAAGAAGGCTTGTTAAGTTTCCTTGGATGTTAAGGTCATGGTGGCTCTGTAGTTTCATCTTATCCTTTGCCTTTGAGGCTCATTTTGTAACCACGAAACACGAGCCTCTCCGGTTTCAGGATTATGCTGACTTGATTGGTCTTCTTGCATCATTGTTCTTGCTGGCTGTTTCAATCAGAGGGAACACCGGTTTTCGTCTTCTTGAATCCGGCGGAATCACAGAGCCACTACTACTTGATGGCCAAACAGAGCGGAACAAGAAAGATGCTTCTTCTACTTCTCCATATGGGAACGCTACTCTCTTCCAACGCATCACTTTCTCATGGATCAACCCTTTGTTCTCCCTCGGATACAAGAGACCTCTTGAAAAAGACGATGTACCAGATATCGATGTGAAAGATTCTGCTCGATTTTGCTCTTATGCCTTTGACCAGAAACTGAAAATCACCAAAGAAAAAGAAGGACCTGGAAATGCTTTCTTCTATAACTCAGTTCTTCGCTATGTCTGGAGGAAAGCCGCGATCAACGCGGTATTCGCAGTTGTAAACGCGAGCACAGCTTACATCGGACCATACCTCATCAATGACTTTGTAGAGTTTCTAGGTGAGAAACAATCGCAGAGCTTAAACCATGGTTACCTGCTTGCACTCGGGTTTCTAAGCGCGAAAATCATCGAGACAGTTACTCAAAGACAATGGATCTTTGGAGCTCGTCAGCTAGGACTACGCCTTCGAGCAGCTTTGATATCGCATATATACCAAAAAGGTTTAGTTTTATCAAGTCAATCACGGCAAAGCCACACGAGCGGAGAGATCATCAACTACATGAGTGTAGATGTTCAGAGAATCACTGACTTCATTTGGTATGTAAACAACATATGGATGTTACCTATACAGATTTTCTCGGCGATTTATATTTTGCAAAAACATCTGGGACTTGGAGCTTTAGCTGCATTGGTCACAACTTTGATGGTGATGGCTTGCAATTACCCCCTGACAAGGCTTCAGAGAAACTACCAATCAGATATCATGAATGCCAAAGATGATAGAATGAAAGCAACTTCAGAGATTCTTAAAAACATGAAGATTCTGAAGCTTCAAGCATGGGATAACCAATTTCTCAACAAGGTTAAAACATTAAGAAAGAAAGAGTATGATTGTTTATGGAAGTCTTTGAGGTTACAAGCTTTCACAACTTTCATCCTTTGGGGAGCTCCTTCATTGATCTCTGTGGTGACTTTTGTTACGTGTATGTTGATGGGAGTGAAGCTAACAGCTGGAGCAGTCTTATCTGCTCTTGCAACGTTTCAAATGCTACAAAGTCCGATTTTCGGTTTACCTGATCTCCTCTCAGCGCTTGTCCAGAGCAAGGTTTCTGCAGATAGAATAGCTTCTTACCTTCAACAAAGCGAGACTCAGAAAGATGCAGTTGAGTATTGCTCAAAGGATCATACAGAATTCAGTGTTGAAATAGAAAATGGAGCATTCAGTTGGGAACCTGAGCCAAGCAGACCGACTCTTGATGAGATAGAACTGAAAGTAAAAAGCGGAATGAAAGTGGCGATTTGCGGAGCTGTAGGATCCGGAAAATCAAGCTTACTCTCATCAATCTTAGGGGAGATTCAGAAGCTGAAGGGAACAGTCAGGGTCAGTGGTAAACAAGCTTATGTTCCTCAATCTCCATGGATACTAAGCGGGACTATAAGAGAGAACATTTTGTTTGGAAGCACCTACGAAAGTGAGAAGTATGATAGAACTGTTAAAGCATGTGCTTTGATAAAGGACTTTGAGCTTTTCTCTAATGGAGACCTGACAGAGATTGGAGAGAGAGGGATAAACATGAGTGGAGGTCAGAAGCAAAGGATACAGATTGCTCGAGCGGTTTATCAGAATGCTGATATATATCTACTCGATGATCCTTTTAGCGCCGTTGATGCTCATACAGGAAGAGAACTCTTTGAAGTATAATAAAGTTCATGAAAATTTGTAATCTTTGATCCTTGCTCTCCTAAAACTCCACAATTGACAATGTTCTATTTTTACTGGTTTGCAGGAATGCTTAATGGGGATACTGAAAGACAAAACTGTACTTTACGTTACTCATCAAGTCGAGTTTCTTCCAGCAGCAGATCTAATCCTGGTAAGAGAAACAGCCGTTGATCATAAGTAAATGCAAAAGAGGCTGTTAGTTTTCCATTAACATTAGTGTGTGTACTTTACTAGGTGATGCAAAACGGAAGAGTGATGCAAGCAGGCAAATTCGAAGAGCTTCTAAAGCAAAACATTGGTTTTGAAGTTCTCGTAGGAGCTCATAATGAAGCTCTAGACTCAATTCTATCAATTGAAAAGTCAAGCAGAAACTTCAAAGAGGAATCAAAAGATGACACAGCATCAATTGCAGAGAGTCTCCAGACACAGTGTGACTCAGAGCATAACATTTCAACAGAGAATAAAAAGAAAGAAGCAAAGCTAGTGCAAGATGAAGAAACAGAGAAAGGAGTAATTGGCAAAGAAGTTTACTTGGCGTATTTAACAACGGTGAAAGGCGGATTGCTTGTGCCACTCATAATATTGGCTCAGTCTTGCTTCCAAATGCTACAGATTGCTAGCAATTACTGGATGGCATGGACTGCTCCTCCAACTGCTGAATCCATACCAAAGTTAGGAATGGATCGGATTTTACTTGTTTACGCACTTCTTGCTGCAGGAAGTTCACTTTGTGTTTTAGCACGGACTATTCTAGTCGCGATAGGTGGACTTTTAACAGCAGAGACGTTCTTCTCAAGGATGCTCTGCAGCATTTTCAGAGCTCCCATGTCATTTTTCGATTCAACTCCAACTGGAAGAATCTTGAACAGGGTGAAGTATCAAAATCAATCCAACAGCTCCCATGGTTTTCTTTTTTTTTTATAATTAAGACTGAAAATACCTTGGTTTTTTCTTGTTTAATGATAGGCATCCACAGATCAAAGTGTCCTGGATTTGGAAATGGCAGTCAAACTAGGTTGGTGTGCGTTTTCGATCATTCAGATTGTTGGAACCATCTTCGTCATGTCGCAAGTTGCTTGGCAAGTTTGTATCATCTTCATTCCAGTAGCAGTAGCCTGTGTGTTTTACCAGGTAAGAGAGAAAACAAATCTAATTTCTTGACAATGATACAAGAAATCTTGCTTACCTTTTTTTTTTTCTTGTATTTTCTTCAGAGATATTACACACCAACAGCAAGAGAACTGTCGCGCATGTCAGGAGTAGAAAGAGCTCCAATCCTCCACCATTTCGCTGAATCGCTTGCTGGTGCAACAACAATACGTGCTTTTGATCAACGAGATCGCTTCATTAGCTCAAACCTTATTCTAATTGATAACCATTCAAGGCCTTGGTTCCATGTTGCATCAGCAATGGAGTGGCTTTCCTTCAGATTGAATTTGCTGTCTCATTTTGTCTTTGCTTTTTCCTTGGTGTTACTTGTGACTCTCCCTGAAGGTGTCATCAATCCAAGTAAGTCTCATACATCATAAACCAGAAAGTACATTGTCTAATGGGATCAGAAGTCAAACTTCATGTTCACCTTTTCCTTACAGGTATTGCTGGTCTTGGGGTCACATATGGCTTAAGTCTGAATGTTCTACAAGCCACAGTGATTTGGAACATATGCAATGCAGAAAACAAGATGATTTCTGTAGAAAGAATTCTTCAGTACTCTAAAATCCCCAGTGAAGCACCTCTAGTAATTGATGATCACAGACCTCTTGATAACTGGCCAAATGCAGGATCAATCGTCTTCAAAGACCTACAGGTAAACAACAAACTAGATGTCAGAACATTATTCTTGAGCATATGATTGTGAACCTCAGAGTCAAGTTCACAGAAACAGATGTAATCAAAGATTCTTAATCCTGAGATGTCTTTGTTCCAGGTCCGTTATGCAGAACATTTCCCAGCTGTCTTGAAGAACATCAGCTGTGAGTTTCCAGGAGGAAAAAAGATTGGAGTTGTAGGAAGAACAGGAAGCGGCAAATCAACTTTAATACAGGCATTGTTTAGGATTGTAGAGCCAAGTCAAGGAACCATAGTTATTGATAATGTGGATATAACCAAGATAGGTCTAAATGACCTGAGATCAAGGCTTGGGATTATTCCTCAAGATCCAGCACTTTTTGATGGAACAATCAGATTGAATCTAGACCCTCTATCTCAGTACACTGATCGCGAAATATGGGAAGTAAGAAACCTGCAAAATTTTCTCTGTAGTTCTTGTTTGATTTACTTTGACATATATTCTAATACAATGTGATACTTAGGCTCTTGATAAATGCCAATTGGGAGATGTTATTCGTGCAAAGGATGAGAAGCTGGATGCTACAGGTGAGTTTTCTGAAACCATTATGAGGATTTTTTTTTTTTTTTTTTTTTTAATGTCTTTTGGACATTAAAAACTAAGATTCTTGAATGTATGTAACAGTGGTTGAAAATGGAGAAAATTGGAGCGTAGGGCAAAGACAGTTAGTCTGTCTTGGGAGGGTGTTGTTGAAGAAAAGCAATATTCTGGTGCTCGATGAGGCTACTGCTTCAGTTGATTCTGCAACTGATGGTGTGATACAAAAGATCATCAATCAAGAGTTTAAAGATCGAACAGTGGTGACTATAGCACACAGAATCCACACAGTGATCGAGAGTGATCTTGTTCTGGTTCTGAGTGATGGTAAGAACAATATACATGTGTTTTCACACACATTCACACAGAAAATCATGAGGTCTAAATCACTTTTCTATGAGCAGGACGAATCGCGGAGTTTGACTCACCTGCAAAACTGCTACAGAGAGAGGATTCTTTCTTCTCCAAACTCATTAAAGAGTATTCGCTGAGTTCTAATTACTTTACCGGCTCGAATGATCTTCTCAGCTGAGTATCACTAAAAGATGGATGATCTTTTTTAGAGAAAAAAAGATCAAATTCAACAGTTAAGCTTAAGTTGAAAGTCTAATTAGCTATTTAGTACATGCATAAGTTGAACATAGACATGGAGAGAACACCATGGTTAGAAGCATGGCGCATCAAAGAAAATTCAGTTCAACATTTTTTCAGTATCTTTTATGTTTTAAATCACAAACGTGCTCGTGGTTTAGGTTCTTTACTCAGTTCTCAGTGTGTTCTTGGAGACTTTTCATGTAACCAGTGGAATAAAAGCAGGAAAATATCTTCTGTGCTAAGATAAAGCTCAATCTAATTAAAGCTGTGAAACAAGGAAAGTTTCAATATTGCAACAATGTGGTTATCATGTAAAGATAGCATGGAAATTTCGATTCTTTTGCAAAATTTTCACAAATAAAGAGTGTGAAACATTTCATATACAGTAGACAAGACCATGTTGGTGTTTTAACTATAAAGATCGAGTCGAGTTTTTCGAAGTTTGTTCTACAGTATTCCAGAGGTGTTGGGTTTCTTACGATGTAACTCCATAAGGAAGCAATGCAGCAGCCACAATCCTGCCTTCCTCATTCAGTATGGTGTAAGTTGATGCAGCATTTCTCTGGATAGAACAGAGCGTTAATCAATAAGCACAGACAAATACTCCAAACCAACAGAACAAAGACTTGAATAGAACAAATTAAGCAAGAAAATTTAGACATACAGAATCAACAGTTTCTAGCTTCATGCCAATTGACTTTACGAACTGACGGACTTGGGGATTCAGTGGGTGGTTGTATCTTCCACATCCGACAATCAAGAGCTCTAGAGAGTGTTGTGGAAAAACCACAGAAAAGAAAGAGTCAAAATTCATTGATGATACACTTCAATATGTGCAAAAGGTTTCTACTTATTAGCCACTAGCAATCAGGGTATAACGATCCATTGTAACCAAAAGAAAATTGTATAAGGAAAGTGGAGTAAATCAACTTACAAAATGATAAAATGTATAGTACCTGGAATTGGTCGAACAGTCTGGAAGATGACAAGCTGCATCCATGAAATAGACATGTAAAGTGTTTTGCAATGACTGATCAAGTTCATATATTTCAGAAAACAAGTAGAAAGAGTAGTAACAGATACTTCCTACAAGAGAGACCACACAAGACACACTTCAACTTTCGCTAAATCTATGACACGACTAAACATTGGTTAGAGAGGGTTAAGAACAATGAAAGATTATAACTTTACGCAGTTTCTACATCTCTTAAAGTCTAACCTATCATTAGTTTATCGACCAGTTCTGGATAAGAAAGCTGAAGAGAAGAGAGAAGATGGTACCTATCCGTTGTGATATCGGAGAAGTTACGAGGGCTCCATGACATTAGCAAATTCCCAACACAGAGCAAGCTTCCTTCATATTTAACACCATTCACAGTGAAACTCGTCTCATCAAACCTGAAAAAAGCACCACTAATCGATTCATTGCATACCCAATATCCAAATTCCATTGCTGCATAGTCAAATTAAAAGCATGAATGATTACTCCTGAAATCGGAGCTGATCCTCAGGAACGTTATCGATGAGATTGATCTGATCGTAGAGAGAGAAAGCTCTTCTCGGAGATGGTAAGACAAGACTGGTCTGCTTAGGAATCTCCTTCCTTCCTCATGCTTCGAATCAATTTCGGCAACGTCGCCATAGCTTTTTGTCTCACTGCCATCTTCACCAGTCTAAACTGTTCTAAGGAGAAACTCTTGAACCAAACCGGTTTATTGGTTATTGGTGTCTAACCACTTATCCAAATCGGTTTGCACTAACTAACTAAATAGATTGGTGATTCCCTTTCGGTTAGAGTTTTTTTTGTTTACCAACATAAAACCGAATGCATAATAGATTGGTTTGATACAAATTTTTAGGAATGTAAACCGTTTTAACTAAATTAAAATTCATTTCATAATTTTATATCGATTTTTAATTATTCTTTTTGGTTTGGTTTGTCCAAATTGATGATGACCTTGTCACAAAAAAAAAAAACAAATTGATGACCTCAAACCGTATATTATAGAGTTTCTATGAGTTAACAAATTAAATACAATCTTGTCTTGACCGATAAAAAAACAAAAACAAATTAAATGCAATCAAATGTTTAAGGAACAAAATGAGGCGTGATTGATCGAGAGCTATTCACCGAGAGAGGTCATGTACAAACAGTAGATTGGTCAAAAAAAATCAGCAGCCAATCTTATGATTTTTTTAAAAACGAATATTTTCATATTTCAATAACAAAAACGCAGAAGCCAAACGTAAAATGAGTTTTTATTTTTTGTCTATGTACGTCTACACTGCAAATTAAAGAAGAAAAACAAAAAACCAATTGTCTTAAACACGACAAAGTTGATTTTGGCCACGTTGGAGTCCGCATCTTAGAACGAGAGATAGAGAGACATTTCACCACGACTCAGAGACCAGTCTGCTTCGTGAATTGGAGCGACAACGAGTTTGGCTCTATTTTACAGAAGACAACAATAATCTCCTGAACAATAAAACTAGTATATATTTTCTTCGAATATTAAATGGAATAAAAAATAATAATCTAAGGTTAATCATAGAAGTTTTATCTTACCTCGGACTGGTTGTTACGTTTTTGACTTTGCTCCAATGATTTATGCCAGCGATAAGTGTTGCTGACGAAAAAGAAAAAGAAGCTAGTACAAGTTTCATCTCTGACTATTGCTTGTGTCGTTTTTGGCTGCTAAAATGTTTAAGAAAGCCACAATTAGACACATGTCAGATAGGGTTCCAGCATTCCGTGGTGATTTGTGCTAACGTCAGTCGTCAGATAATTAAATAAGATTATTAGCATAAGAAAATGAAAAATCTACAATGTCACAAAGCCAAAGTCCATCATGCCACCATTAGCTTCAAAAAAAATGACCATTCATTCATATTCCTTAAGAAAATGTTCATATACAACATGAACTAAATTCTAAATAACTACATATTGAGCCATAAGAAATTCAAAAACATAAGAGAGATTTCAAATTAATAAAATGACGATGGGTTCTCTATTCCTTGCAAAACACCAAAATGATTACGAGGATAATCAAACGAGCAACGATTCTCCTCCTCCTCTCTCCTCGACTGGTTCGTTGCCATGAAAGATACAAAGAAACCGGCGGATTCTTCGAAACACTTTTGTTCGTAGAAAGTCTTATTCCCCTCGGCACGTGACTTCTCATTCACCTCCTCTTCGTTAGTCTCTCCGACCGATCTCTTAAGGAACCGCTTAAACCATTTGACCGAATCTTTTGGATAACGTTTGAGACCATTGACAAAGTCAACATAGTAAAGACCAAATCTAGCAGTGTATCCATGCTCCCATTCAAAGTTGTCCATCAATGACCATGCGTAGTATCCTCTCACGTCACACCCATCTTCCCTGTAAACATATTATAATCTATCAGTTAAAAAATAATCGACTGAAATTGAAACTTACATTAAAGATCAAAGACTAAACCAGAAAAAGATCAAGAACTAACACTATAGCTTTGTGAAGTTCTTCAAAATGTGTCTTATGGTATTCAATCCTAAATGTGTCCTTAACAATCTCTTCTCTTGCTTTCGTACCATCGTCGTTGTCATTAATTCCTGTAATTCAGTAATCAACGTAGATTATAAATAGTTGCACAAAAAAAAAAAAAAAATTCAAAGAGATTTAAGTTTGAAGTCAGTGCTAAGAGGGTAGAGTTAAAGAGATTACGTACTAAAAAGTAAAAATTTCGTAGTTAACAAATACAATTTTCTGAATCTTATATATTAAAGGAGAAGTCGAAAGTGCTCACGTTCGCTCTCAGAAATTGAAAATACGTTGTTGCCCCCCTTTAATGAAATTGCCTAATTTTTTTTTTTTTTAAATGTTTTTTCCGTTATAATCTAATTATATTAAATGATTTTCGTTTAAATAAAAGGCCACATTGTGTAATCCGTTTAACCAATATGGGCCGAACAAAATATACAACTACACCGACTATATGTTAAATCGTAAACCCTAGAAACACATATTTAACCTCCTATAAATACATTAACTTCCTATCGTCACAGCCAGAGACACCGCCACCGCCGAGTCTCAACTCAAGCAAACCCTAAGCCATAAAGTTTCAAGAGAGAAACTGAATCTGATATCCATTGTGCATCCAAGCCGCCGTCGTTGAGAGCATCACCACCACAGCCACGTTGGAGATCACTGAAATTTGTGAGCCTTCTTACGTTATCGCCAACGTGATCATGTTGGCACCGTAGCTTGCTACTTCTCCACTCCTTTGTGATCTAGAGCTGGGAAAAGAAAGAAGAAGTAAAGAAGAAAAGAAAGAGCATATCGGAGAAGACAAACAGAAAGAGGAAGAAGAAGAAGAAGAAGACATTGAGACAAGGAGAAGAAGGAAGCGTGAAAAGAATCAAAAGAGAAAGAAAAGGATATATTGATCAGAGAAGGCTTATAGGAAAAGAAGAAGGAACCATGTAGGTAGAATCAAAACTGATATTATTTCGATTCATGTTTTCTATCTTTGTTGTTTGTTTTTAACAAGTTGTTTCGTACTGTTGCGTTCCTAAACTGTATGAGTCTCTTATCTCTATATATCTCACACATATAACATGTGAGTCGAATTCTTTTTTTTTTTTTTTTAACCTCAGGAGGAGTACCATCTAGCGATTATAACTACACCAATAGCTCTTATCAAGTCTCCCTTCTCTCTCTTCATCTTCAAATCACGGTTCCATTATCCATGTTCAAGTGAGTTAATTATAATAAAGTGGGTTAATTTTTGTTTTTAAGTTGTAGAAGAAGGAAGCAACGGAAAAGGTATAAAATAAAATAAAAAGCTTCTTTGATTTTCTCTTATATATGTTAACTGCTTCTGTTTTCTAAGGTTTTTTGTCTCACCTATTCGGTTTTCAGAAAAACTGTCTCTTTTGTTTTGGTCAAGGATCTTTGGGATTTCTCAAAAAGGTATTGAAGCTGTTCACTTTGATGTCAAGTTCGTATGCTGATGTTCCTCCGGTGCTGGAAGACACCATGGATCAGCCTGGATATGAATCTCCACGATCTTCTTTTGGTGGGATTTGTGTTGTCGTCTATTTGTTATATTTTAGATCTGGTATTATCTAATATTAAATTTTATTGTTTTGAAGGATATGTCCACTTCGTTGTTTCGTTGATCATCGCCATGTTCCAACAAACATGTCATCGGGTGAATACGAAAGAGTAGGTTGGATGTGTGTAAACCCTAAGTTTTTATGAACCGGTTGGATAGGTAATTAATATTTTCATTATGGATTTATAATTTAGATTAGGGTTCCAATGTTTCCCTCTTTAAAAGTTTGTAAACGTGGTATTTTTCTCCTTTTAGTCAAGCATACATCATTTCATGAATAAATTCTCCAAATATATTAGGATTTGTTTCATTTGGGTATCAAAGGTTTCTTTTGTGATTCTTATTTGGAGGAAGCACTCGAATCCCAAAAGTTCAGTAGATGTTAAAGGATTTCTTCGATGGCAAGGAACCCAACAAAGGAACTAACCCTGATGAGGTTTTGGCCTATACAACCGCCGTCCAAGGTGGAGTATTAAGTGGTGAAGGTGGAGAAGAAACGCAAAGTAAGTGACTCTTTTTAACTCTCTTTATGACAATAGTTTAGACCATCTATAGTGTTTTCATGTTAGTCATTGTATTTGAGTTGCAGAAAACCTAAATTTATTGAAAACATATATTTTGCTACTTGATGTTGCGCCTTTGCACCTCGGTATTGACACTGTCGGAGGCGTGATGACAAACATTATTCCTCGGATCCCAACGAAGAAGTCTCAGGTGTTCACTACTTACCAAGATCAGCAAACTACTGTGACTATCAACGTCTATGAAGAGATAAGCATGACGAAAGATAACCCCGAGATCGGAAATTTCCAGCTCACCGGCCTTCTTCCTGCACCTAGGTAAACTCTCTAATTCAATATTGGCTACCAAACCATTTCGGTTCTTGGTTTTTTAAAGACGCAAGGAACAGTTTTTCATGGGGGTGCCACAAATGGAGGTGACTTTCGAAGTGGACGCAAATGGGAGTCTGCAAGTGAACACCGAAGACAAAGTTCCAAAGATGTCACAGTCAATTACAATAACGAACGATAAAGGTCGTTTTACAGGAGAAGAGATTGATGAAATGATTATATTAATTAGCTACGTATGAACTAGACACCGTTATACACATACGAGGACTTATTTGGAGAACGCTAATACGTGTACGAATATGAACTTTGGCTGGTATTCGAGTAAGACATGTTGTGCATTTTTTTACTTTTGTTTTGTTATGAGTTGTGCGATATTTTAATAAATAGTTTATTGTCCATTATTAAACGGAGTCCATAATAATTTTTGTCATATATTTTTGTTTTGATCATTAGTTTATAAATAAATATGTATATATATTTTATATATAATGTTATTATTGGTCATATTAATTACTAACGATAGTAGAATAAATAGTTTATTGAGGAAGTAAACCAAATTTATTTTGATAGTATATCGTAATGACTTAACCTTCCTTTATTATAAGTTTCAACTTTTTGTGTGTATTTTATAATTGTCTTTTGTAGAGATAATAAGAAATCCATTGGCATATTATCTCTCGCATTATTGTACAGTATTTTAAATTTTATAATTATTTAATTAACAAATGTATGTTTCTTTTGTTAACAAAAAATAAAAATTTAATTTGTGTGTAATAGAAATACAGATGGGTTAAAAAATATTTTGCTCAGTTTAGTTCTATTTTATAGGAAATAAAAATAACAACATCGTAAAATTATTATTAAGTAGTAAAACAATTAAACCATTTTAAGTTCTATTAGTTTTTATAGGGATTATGATAGGTATTAGTTTTTTAGCTATAACTTTGATGGGTGTGAAAGTTGTATTAGAGCTTCTATCAAGCGTCGTTTTAATAACTTTCATGAGTGTTTTTTTTTGTGTTAAATGAAATACAAAAATTCTTAAATACTTCAAAGGAGGATCAAAGTCAAAGTTATCACAAGATTTATGTGCATTGCTTCGTTGAATGAGATGGTAGAATTAGTCTTAGATCTTAAAGATTTGGTCTTTAAGAATGCACGTATATCATTTGTAGTTTTATATGGGATCATTTCGTAGAATATATTTATCTAAATATTATAGAAGAATGTTGAAAACTTTTAATTTATCTCGATGATTCCATTCGGCCGCGCCTTGAGAAGAGTTGAGAAGAAAGGTTTTGTAAAGAATCAGAGAGTTGAAAAAGAAAGAGACAGAGATATGGATAGAAATGGAAAGAGGAACGATATTCAATGTCATGAATGTCAAGGATATGTACATGTCAAAGCTTAGTGCCCCTCCCTGAAGAGAAAAGAACATATGCTCTGAGTGCAAAGGCATCATACACTCGAAATTTGACTGTGTGGGTTCTAAATCCAAGAAGGAAAGGTCCTACATTGTTGAAAGTGGAAGTAACTCTGAAGATGATGACTCGAAGATGAAGTGAAGGGTTTTGTATCTTTTGTGGGAATCATAGACGACGAAGATGAAACTCTAACAGTGAAGCAGAAAAATTAATTGAAATGGAGCCAGCTCAACTGATGATGAATCAGACACTGTGAAGGATGTGGACATCGATGGACAGTTTAGAATATTGTATGACAACTGGTTCTTAATGAGTAAGGAGAAGGTCTCATGGATGGAAGAAAAGTTAACACTTCAAGATTAGAAGGAGAAGCTCAAAGGAGGCCTAGCTCTGGAAATTAAGAAGAACAGTGAGCTGACTCAAAAGTGTGGTTTAGAGGGGAAAAACAAACAGAGCTCTCACACAAGACTTGAGTGATACTCGGAAGAAGATACACATACTGAATGGTGTGATAAAGGATCTGGATAACATCTTAGTGTAACACCCCGATTTCATGAATATGGTGGTGCATGCAGAGAGGTTTAAAAGAAATGATTTGACCATCTATTTCACAAAAGTGCACTTATCTTTTCGGTCAACTGTCCTGAGAGAACTCCACAGTTAAGCGTGCTTGAGCTGAAACAATTTTAGGATGGGTGACCTTTCGAGAAGTTATTATGGGAACTGTGTGAGTGAGGACAAAACACAGGGAAAGATCATGTGGTGATTTGTAGGGTCGGTAAACAAGTCTTTAAAGCCTCTCGGACGTAGCGAACCGGCCGTCGGAAGATAGTGGGCCCACGGACCGAGAGAGGACGTGGGGCCCATTAAGAGAGGTGGCGGTCGGAGCATTACACTTAGGGTCTGGGAGAGTTGAAAAATCTAATTTTAGATTAGGCTATCATGGAGGTGAGACAAATGGGAAGACAAATTTCGTTCCAAGAAAGGGTGTACATGCACGTCGTTATCAGTTTTTATTTCAAAAATACATTGGAGCTGTTCGAGCAAGACGTTTGCATCAGAATCATAACCATTATCAGAGAGCAGTGACTTGGTATGAATGTTACTGATGTGGTCGTCATGGTCACATATAGATGTACTGCTACACATATGCAGCTAAATTGAAGAAGCTAATGAGACATGGAAGGTTCTATCCACATTAGAGAAGAGAGTATAAAGTATATGTTTGCAAAATCTGATATGTACTGCCATGTTGCATATACCTTAATTGAAACAAGTATGACTAAGCTTTGGTACTTCGATAATGGAGCTTCTAGACATATCACATGGAATCAAGCCAATCTCAACAATTACACTGAAGTAAAAGAGAGCAAAGTCAAGTTTGGTGGTGGAGAAAAAGGAAAGATTAAGGGCAAAAGAGACTTAACTGAAGCTAAAGAACCTCAACTCACCAATGTGTATATTGTTCAAGGATTAACAGTGAGCTTCAATAAAGTGAAATGTTGGACTACAGATGAGAAGAACCGCAATGCTCTCTCGGAAATCCGTACTGAGAACAATTGTTACATGTGGGAAAACCTAACTAAAACATGTTTTAGAGCTAAGAAGGATGATCTGGTGCTCTGCCATCAGCGACTTGGACACATGAATGCTAGAAGTCTCTCAAAGCTAGAGATGAAGATATCAACGACTTGGACACCTTAAATAGAAGCGATGCAAAGTGTTTTTGTTGGTAGAGATGATGATATTTAATTCTTGACAATCAAAGACGAGATAAAAAAAATTGTGTCTCACCACTACGTATTAGTTGTTGCATTATGGTTTTTAAGATTACTATACCTTTGCTTATGTTAGGGTTTTTAATATTTCATTGGTTTTTGATAATTTTTTGATTTTTATATTATGTTTTCATATCAATAAAGAACATTTTTGATTTAATCAATAGGTCTTTATTTTAAATAAATAATAATTTTTGATAATTTAAAAAAAGCATTTGAGAAGACAATTTTTGAGTTTTTTTGTGTATAAAAACAATTAATATAATTTAAAATAACTGTTATTATTAATTATAACTTATTAATGGCGATCACACTACAATTTGGTATGGCATTACATAAAATTTTGTAAAAACTATATGCCAAATTTATACTTGGTATAATATAATTATTAACAAAGTCTATAAACTTCCTTAATGTTTAGGCCTATAAAACACAGTTGCATAAAGAATTATAAAAGAAGAAGAAAAAAAATTGTTGAATGGTTATTCTCCAAGCATAATCTTTCTCCGTTGTCAAATCTTTATTGATCTTGAAGATTTGGTCTTGAAGAATACACGTTTATCATTTTCAGTTTTATGTGATCATTTCATAAAATATATTTATCTATATGTTAAAAAATAATTTTGTAAACTAAAAATTGTTTGAATTTTTAATTCTTTTGATTATTCCACTCGGCCGATTAGTATATAGGTATTGATTGATATTTCTTTATCATATTAAAAATAAAAAACTTAAGACAGTTAATATGTTGTATGATCTTATCGAATTGAATATTTTTCAGGGAAACCATGTCTCATGAATGGAGGTGGATGTTCTATATTTTATCTTGACCTGGAGTTTTATGATCTTGAAGATATCAAGGAACGGTAATATTCAGAGTTTATACTGATATATTAATTGAATATTCGCATTTGTTTCGGTTACTAACCTAGGAAGTTTTCCATATATAGTACACTTGCAACGGCTTTAGCATGGACTGCGAGGAATGCAAGATATTAAGATTCGGATGATGGAGTGTTCATGGAGAACTCTACATAAATGTTTGATTAGTTTGGTGTTATTATGAGTTATAAGCGATGGATAAATCATTTGTACTAGAGACGTTATGTTTGATCATTTGTAATAATTCGATCGTATTTTAAAATCACTCAACTATATTGTATCTTTATAATTTGAATTTTTTTTCGAAAAATCATTCTGATTAGTAGAGAATCCGTTATGATGATGAAGTTGCGGACACAGATAACGACGACGAGTGCATTGTGAGTATCGAGGCTAATGGTTTAGAGCTAGGAGAAGACGAATATGATTTAGTAGAGGATTGTGATGAATGTGACTGTTGCGATGAAAGTGACTATGAAGATGATGAACATGAGGATTTATGTGAAGTAGAAGACGACGAATATGAGGATGGTGATGAAGATGATGAAGACGATGGTGATGAGGGATATAGTGAGATGACCGAGTCGAAGGAAGAGAGTCTCGACGATTGTGATTGTGAGACTGTCCTGACAAAGTAGATGAGTACCATAAAATATCTTTGACCTTCGTGACTCCATGTATATTGTTTACCTTATAAATGAATATGATAATATGTGTTCTACTTTAAAGTATTCACCGTATGTTTATGTTAATTTGTTGAAACCTAGGGGACCTCTTGATGACATGTCACGTTTAAATTCTACAAAATATGAATGGAGAATTCGAGTCAAGGTCTTGTGTTTATGGAGACAGAATTTCAGTGGGTTTGGTATGAGTTTAGTGATGATTTCTATCCGATAGGAAGGTTTGCGATTTTCTAAAAAAATTTCCCTTCACTCGATTATTAAAAGTAGTGTTCACAAAGTTTTTGTTTTTTTTTTGTAAATTGTTCAAAGGTTGAAATTTCTTTGAGAGGTGGTGTTTATAAGATTTCTATTGGTGATTGGTTTCAGTTTGATTATTTTAAGGTTGTGGATCAGTTTGGCTCATCCAAAGCTACTAATCATTGATACATGCAACTAAGATTACTAAAATGGACATTGTTGGCGATAGCAACTACTTCAATTTTGTTGATTTTACACGTCTTTGGGATGGTGTTCATTGCGATGATATTACTTGGTTGGTAAGTTTTCTTTTCTCTATAAATTATTTTTGATATATATGTTTTAGTTCTTTGTTCTCTAAATAAATTTCAGTTTTTGTTTTACGTGAAAATTAATTGTATAATTTTCTGAATGGTTTATTAGATGTGATCGGTAAGGTTATTAATATTGAGACTTGTGAGGAGGCTCCAAAGGATTGTGAAACGCACATAAAAAAAAATACGAAGATGAATTTGTACCAAATCATTATTATCTCTGGTTTTTACTCAAGAGGTGTCTAAAACCCAATTTCGATACTAACAAAAATGAAGATGGTGAGCTGTTGGATGATTATGATAGTGATAATGATGAGGATTTGGTTGGTGGAGAAGAAAGTGAAAAAGAATCAGGCAAAGACGAAAGTGCATGTGTGGAAGATGATAGTGCCTATGAAGTTGATGAGGACGAGGGCGACGGAGAAAACAAAGACGAATGTGATGGAAGTGGTGAAAATGATGACTCTGAATCAAAGTGTGAGTATTACAATTTTGAGGAACAATGTGATGAAGGAGAGGAAGACGAAGACGATGAATAAGAAGAAGAGGATGAAGAAGATGCGAATTTCTATGAAGTAAAAGATGACGAGTATGAGGATGACATGAAAGATGAAGAAGAGGAGGATGACGAGGAAGATGATTTGTATTTTGATTTATATTTTATTGTTTGTATTGTGATTTTCCCGTCTTTTTATTGTTTGTATTGTGACATGAAATATTCACATATTTTCATTAGGAAAACTATGTTTAATGTCCGGAGATAGATGTTCAAGGTTTTTTTTATATCAATCATGGATTTTTCGAAATTGATAAGGATAGATTCATGTAATCTTCATTTACATATCACCAAAAAAATATGCTTGCTAAAATTCATCTTTAGTTTAACTATTGCTTTTTCCAAATAGGTTTAAATTTGCATCCCAAATAGGTTTGAATTTGCATCTACCCTTTAGTCGGATGGAAATCTCGGCTTTTAAGTTTGTTATGTTTTTTTCTTTTATTTTAGTGTGTTTTCAAGAATTTGAATAACTCTAAATTTGATATGTTTTCTTTTAAGTTGTAATATATTATTAAACATTGGGATGTTCTTATATGTGAGTTCTTTTATAATTTAGAATTAGAAATATTGAATAAGAAATAAACTCATTATATGTATCACCAAATTGAAAAGAATAATATTCAGAATGTGAAAAAAACTTGATTTATAAAAAGAAAAAAAATTAATAATTGCTCTAAGTTGATAGTTCTTTTAAATCTATTGATTTTGTATTAACTTTTCTTATTATTTATCATTTTTCTACTTCATAGTAGTTGATGTTTTGCAATGTTCTTAATTAATTGCTCGAAGTTTATAGTTATTTTAAATCTATTGCTTTTGTATTAACTTTTCTTATTATATAAAGATCTTAAATGTGTTTTTATAATTTGAAATCTCATAACTAATTTTTTATCATCAATATTTCAATGTTTCCCGTAGTTTTACGATCTTGAAGAGATCAAGGAACGGTAATATGCAGGGTTTATCATTATATATAATATTGGATGTTCGCATTTGTTTTGGATAATAACCTAGCAAGTTTTCTATACATATTACACTCTCGATGGCTTTTACTTGGGCTACAAAGAATGCAATATATTCAGAGTCGGATGATTGAATGGGTCATGGAGAAGTTTAAAAAAATGTTTGCTTTGTTTGGTGTTCTTATGAGCCAAAATTGATGGATAAATCATTTATACCATACACGTTATGTTTGAAATTTGTAATAAGTCGATCGTATTTTAAAGTCGGTAAACCATTTTTAATCTTCATAATTTGATTTTTTTTTTTTAAATCAACTTACCGCGCAAGGCGCGGGTAACTGCCCTAGTTTCTAGTTAACAAAAAAGGTGTCTTACCATTTTCTTTGATGTAGACTGGCATGTTATTGTATTTCTCTTTGATATAGTTTAGAACTTTTCGTAAGCCTTCCGGGTGTGAAAATAAGAAGCCCCTTTCTTCCTGAGGATATATAATACAAAATTTAAAATATCTTAGAATGATTATATGTCGCACTAGAAATTGATAGTTATGAAAAATAAGCGAATACGTACCCCAGGTCCGATAATGTGACCACTGTGATTAGTCACTGTTTCAAAACAATTTATAAACCCTGGTTAGTTTTACTATCTAAGCTTAATTAAAATTCGTATGGATCAATCTTTAGTAATTAACATTACTTACGTTTCCATTCCACATGGTGGTCAGTCTTGAACCGAGGTTTTTCAGGGTCTATGTGATGTAGATGAGCAGCGAAGCGCGCCGTATAGTAATTTATGCCAACAAAATCTGATGAATTTCTTAACATCTTTGACTCTTCTGCAGTAAATGAAGGTAATTTATTTCCCGCATACTTTTTTACAACCTCTGGATAATCTCCGTGAATGACCGGATCAAGATGCCTATACACATAGAATAAAAATTAAGATACAAATAGATATAGATGATAAATAGAAGCAAAACCATTAGATTGTTTTGCTTAGATAACTCACCATCCAATTTCAAAGGCAAGGGCTCGTTCAGCTGCTTCTATATCGTCAATTGAGTCTGAATGATAAGGTTCGAACCATCTTGGTGACAGTACTATCCCGATTTGGCCATCATGTGAAGTTTTTTTACATTTTCGGAATTCTTCTACTGCTGCGGCATGGGCAAGAAGAGTGTGATGTGAAACAATGTAAGGTTCAGTACTCGAATCGCCAGCCTGACACTTTTCGTTTACCCATTTCGAGCATCTTCCAGCCGCCTTGTTACCTTGATCATAACCCGCAACAGTCATAATGTAAGGTTCGTTGATAGTTGTCCACATCTTAACTTTATCTCCAAACTCTTCAAAACAAATTCTTGCAAAGTCTCGAAAATCTTCTCTGTTTTCAAAAAATTATTAAAAAAAATTAACAACAGTATATTATTTATACAATAACAATACTTTTTTGTGTTTGAAATATTATATATGTGTTAATTAGGCTTACACGATTTTAGGGCTTAGAAAGCCACCATATTCGTCCTCCAAAGATTGTGGGTGGTCCCAATGATAGAGCGTCATCGAAGGTTGTATGTCTGCATGTTTAGTTTTATTTAAGTTATAACCACACCTTTAATTTAATCAGAGAACTTTAACTTAACTAGTGAATTAACAATCTTACCATTAGCAAGAAGTTCGTCTATGAGATCCTTGTAAAATTTTACACCTTCTTTGTTTACTCCATCCTTTAGCTTTCCACCTATAGATAATTAAAAATTCACCACATAAATAATTCGTATATATAAGTGTTAATAAGAATAGAAAAAAAATACAACAAAAAGTGAGTAAAACTTACTGGGAATTAATCGGGACCACGAGATTGAGAATCGGAAAGCGTCCATGTTTAGTTCCTTCATCAATTTAATATCATCCTGTTTTGTTTTTATCGTATTAAAAAAATTAATTAATTAACCAAAAGATAAATAAATAAATAAATCTTGATAACCAAAACAAAAATGACATCTATATATAAATCCAAGACTCCAGCCAGGTTCAGTGTACCAACTTTTCAAGAAAGCAAATTGACTTATTTCGAAAGTTGTTTTCAATTTGATAATTATTTAGAGATAACCTGATTTTTGATATAACTCATTTAAGATGAAAATTTGATTTTTTTTTTGTTTTAAATAATAAGATTAATTAATTATACATGTATGATCAAGTAAATAGTTTGATTATAGATATTAGATAGTACCTTGTAACGATGATAAAAATCAATTGCTACATCAGCATTATGCATTTTGGTCCTTTCTGCAGTCAAAGATTTTATAAAATAATCATGTTAATTAGTCACGACTCACAAATATGGTCGTCAAAAGTGTCAATCAAATCGGTCCGTAGATTTTTGTTATCGGACAGACCTGGATACGTGCGGCTGAAGTGATCCCATATAGTTGGAGACTTGCCACCTTCATTTGTTGCACCTTCGTACTGCATACATATGTTTTTTTTTTATCATGATTTTATGGCAAGGCTAATTTAGAATGACAGAACATGAACATTTGATAACAAAAGACTGACATTAATATGAAATAAGGAATGTAATTTTGAACGAAAAAAACTTAACTATAAAACTCGTTATTTTATTTGTTTGTTAAAATGATAGAATGATTGTCCCTATTCGTAAAATAATGTAGACGTCAGCAAATAATATATTTGATTTTTAATTTTCTCGTTGTTAAATTGAAAGTCGAGCAGCCTTTTCCACTTTGAAGTCCAGCTGCCCATATATGTTACAATTCCTTAAGTTTACGGCTCACTTTTTTTTTTATTTCAAACAAAAAAAAATGTTCTGTAATTAAAACAGCTGAACCCGCAAGCCAAAAAAAACATTGAAATCAGACAAGATGATCACACGAAAATCTTTTTCAACATTTTTAATATAAACATAAATTAAATGAATTTTTAAACTAGTTATTATATTCTAGTATGACTTACAAAATATGACCATAATACTGCAAAATGGTAAAATTATATTTTGAAATTGAATGCATAATGAAATATAAAATTATTAAGCAAATAAGAGTTTTCATTTAACTGAAAACCAGATCCCCCAAAAAAAAAATTGACTGTGAAATTGCAGAGTTTCATGTTGTTTCATCATTCAAAATAACAGAATTAAAAGACAACAACAGTATAATTGAATATAAATCATGATTTTAACTACGTGACTGATAAAAATTGTAGAATCACATAGCCATTTTACATAATACTAATCACAAAAATTACCTGAAACGCCGAAGCAGCTGTTCCAAAGATGAAATCATCAGGAAAACTATGCCGATCTAGTTTTAGAGAATTGATTATATTTGCCAACAATGACATGATCGAAAGGATAATGAAGAACCACGATCCCCTAGCCATTTTTTCTCTCTCTTTTTTTCGTCTCTCTTTGTTTTTTTGCTTGGTGTTTTTGGGATTTCAAAGTGATGATGAGATTTATTACTCAGAGCTTCTCTTCCTTATATAGAGGATTATCCTCGGTAATATACGTCATCTACGTGGAAATGTTTGGACATATATCATGTCTAGATAGAGATATAACTTATAGTATTATTCTAATTAATAACATAATATTTCTTTCCAAGGTAAGACTATTATACATATAGGTCTCGACATTCCATTTTGGGTTCTTAATTAGTTTTTTACTATTTCTGGCACAATCAAATTTAAGGCCAGGAGCTTTTTTTGTCCATAGTCAGTTTTGAATGTGCCCGTGATCACTGCTAATATTCACCATCGTCTTCTCTGAATATTCCCACGATTACTGCTCAGATTCACTTACATGTACGTATATATATAGGCCTATATATACATATATTTGAGTGCAAATTAAAGTTGGTATTGACTGTTGAATGTGGTCAACATTATGGCTACGTTCACTGTTAAAGTGTTAACATAACGAAGAATGCATGTATTTCGTGGTACGGTTACGATTTCACATGAGTAACGTAATATTTTTTTTTTTTTTTTTTTGAGTAACGTAAAATTTTTTTTTGAGTAACGCAAATATTTAACTAGACCAACTTTAGATATTTATAGTTTTCGTTTTTGTGCTAACTGCCAAGTCAAGTCATGTGTAATATTTTCTGTCATTAGTGTTCCAGTTTTTAACAGATGTATGAAAGAATTGGACTGTTGTTTCATGTGTGTAATATATTGATTAGTACTTTTGTAGAACCAAAATACTTAGCCGACTTTTTTTTTTCTTTTATAACTGCAAATATTTAATGGGAAAATAGTACGTGTCATCTTTATCCTAAAATCATGCTCATTTCTAATTTGTTCTCTATACATATCATTTTAATTTTACCGGGTATCTCATATATAGAAACAAGCTTTCATAATATTTTGGGCAATGAAATTTTGATAAGATTTTAATTGCTTAGAAACAATCTTTTGGACACTTGACTACAGATGCACTGAATTTGAGAATCGAATTGGTAAGAATGTCACTAAAACAGCAATACATAATTCCTTTTTACTGAGTGAAGATTTTGTATGGAAAATAATCAGCGAAGAGAAAATATACATTTTTCAATTAAAAAAACAGATATGAGCAATTGTCCTTATCACATTCCACTAAGGAGAAAAAGAGATGAGAACAATCAACTGGCAGTGACATGTTTTCCTATTAAGAAATGATATATTTGTAAAGGAGCAACTAAATTTCCAACACAAGGAGATGGGCTTATATCTTCTTCTTCTTCTTGTCTTGTCCCTCCTTTTTCGGATAGTTTTCCTTATTATTTTTTTCCAAAAATTAACGTAGTAAATTATAAATTTTTATATTTCTGATTTAATAAAACAAACGAGAAATTAGGTAAAATGTGTATGTATTATATTAAAAATTTATTATCTACCATCATATTCAAGAGCGAATGTGATAATAAAAGAAAAACATATTTCCTGACGAATGCAAGAAATGTCTTTTATATAAAAATCATAATAATTTTAGAAAAAAGTATTATACTAGTTTGGATTGATTTGTTGCTTTTAACTAAACGTTGAATTAGTTGCCCTATAAAAATACAATTCAGGTTTAAGAATCAAATTTTATGACACGTCCAGTTGTCAAAAACGAGATGAGAACAACTACTAAAAATTGACCTCTGCATTGTCTTACTTTTTTTTTTTCTCTTTTGTCAACACGGATGTTTTACCTCTAATATATCATTATATTGCATGTATAGGAACAGAAGCAATTAAATCAATCAAACTAATTAGACGCACAGAAGTCAAAACAATCAAACTAACGAGTAACGGACTGCAATAAAGCTGCTCATCGTTTAGCCAAAGAGACTATCCGAGGGGACTCTCTTTTTGTAAATCATTTCTTTGTTCCAAGATTCCTTGTACAAATCATCTATGAGGATCACATTAGATTTTCCGGTGTTGCCCAAGCCCAAAATTCCAATAGTTCTTTTTTTTTTCTTGGGGGATGTTTTCCAAAACTTTTGTTCATAGTTTTGAAGCGGTTTTAAGAAAAATCTTTGATGATATAATCATATAAAAGCAATCATATTACAAAGTACAAACTTTTACAACTTTTAATAGTTATGTTTTAATCGAACTAAAATATTTCGTTACAGTCAAACACATACGTAATCTTTAGAACATTTACAGACAAAATATAACCTCAAACTCCTTTTTTTTTTCTCTAATTAATGTTTGGTTTGGAAACTAACAAACGCCCAGAATTACCAATATATTTAGTAACGTCCAAACAAAGTCACCTCTTATTTTTAAAAGTTTATTTTATGTACATCGCAAAAGAAACAGTACGTGTTGTAAATAGACAACAAATAGTATATTCAATAAATCAAATGGCTCGTGATTTATTAAATAACAGCCACCTGCTGATTCGTCCCATTATGCCCTCCCTTCAACAACTTCCTAAACCACTTAGCTGATTTCTTCAGATACCTCTTACGTCCATCTTCAAAGTCCACAAACACTAGTCCGAACCGGACCGTGTATCCTTCGGACCATTCGAAATTATCCATCAATGACCACGCGAAATATCCTTTCACATTCACCCCGATCCTACATTTTATGCAAGATATGGTTTTCAAAAACTTTCTTTTAAGCCTCTTTTGGCGTCTCAAAAACATACTTTATAGGAGTGGCCAATCTAATTCTTGCTTCGAATGTTTTGGTTTCTGAATTGTAGAAATTCCAATATAAAAATTGAAAAGGAGGACTTACGAGATAGCATCGCTAACCATCTTAAGGTGGTGAGCATAGTAATCAATTCTCAAATCGTCGTTAAGAAATACTTTGCCAATATTTGCTTCATCCACTCCTGATTTTAAGAAAGACACGAAATAACATGATTAGTCTGAACTAGTCTTTTCTTTTTAAAAAATCCATTAAGTGCTATGATTTACCATTTTCTGTTATATACAAGACGGGATCATTGTATCTGAATTTTGCATGTAATAGGAGATCACGAATACCCTTGGGATAAATCAAAAGCCAATCCGATCCAGCCTGAAATGAATCATAGGTTATATAATCAAATTGATAGCTACATATATAGTTACAACTTATATAGATTTTTGAATTATTAACTTAAAACTATCATAAGATTTTGATTTGATCAAGAGATTGATCTAATTCAACTAAACAAAGCTGAATAGAATAAATAATCGTACCGTTGGACCGATAGGCACTCCATTTCGCTCACCTAATACAATTTACAAATTAACAATTAATTAGTTGACGGATGTTTAATTTCAATATTAATTAGAGAAAAGGTCACTTTATAGGTTAAGAAAAAACCATAAGGTTCACGCACCTACGATGCTGACGCAAGAATCGGTTGACATGGTGATGTTTTCAGTTGCGCACGGCGCGTCTTTAGCATAAAAAGATGAGTAATAGTTTATACCTATGAAATCGTATGATCCTTTGAGCATTTCGGACTCTTCTGGCGTGAATGTAGGAAGACGACCATCTTTTACGTGGCTGACCATTTCGATTGGATATCTACCATAGACGATTGGCTCCATGAAGTAGTCAAAGGTGAACGCCGTGGCTCGAGCAGCAGCCAACCGGTCAGCATATGACTCTGAATAAGGGTAGTGCCATACTGTATTTAAGGCGATACCAATTTCACCTTTTTGAGTTGCCTGTGGACATCATATATTAGGAGCGGAATGTTGTCACGATTTAACTTTTATGAGGATTTGATAACCACAACTAAGATTCTTTACCATCTAAAGCATAAACAAAGCATAGCAGAAAATATAGTAGTGCGGAAACAGAGCAAAACAGAGTAGAAGGTAAACAGAGAAGAAAAGAAACAGAGTAATAACAGAGCATAAAAGAAACAGAGCAAAAACAGAGTATGGACTCAAAAGGACAATGTATATTTGCGTTTAGGTTTTCAAGTTATTTGCTTTTGGCTTTTTTCATTTTACAAACAAAAGAAATTTTGAATTTTGTTAAGATGATAGATACTGTGAGATCATTTGGAAAAAGTACACATCAAAGTTAAAATCAAACACAAACAAACAATTAAAGTCTAGATCATAAATAGAAACATACCTGGTACTTTTCTCTGTAGACTTTGACGGCAACTCCATGAGCAAGGAGGAGGTTATGGCCGACGATGTAAGGCTCGGTGGCTGCATCGCCACCTAAGCAATCAGGATTAGTGAAATTAGAACATCTTCCAGGTGCCTTTTGACCTGTTATATAACCTTCATGTACTACTGTAAATGGCTCGTTTAGTGTTGTCCACTGCTTCACTCTATCTCCAAACTTCTGGAAACAAAGTTCTGCATAGTCTCGGAAATCATTCCTGTTTCATTACCAAAATATCAACAACAAATTTTTGCAGTGTCCTAAGCTTACCATATAGTGATCTTAAATGAATGAACTTACACAATTTCATCTCCAAGGAAGCCACCGTAAGCGTCTTCGAGTGCCTCTGGTAAGTCCCAGTGAAAGAGTGTGACAAATGGCTTCACTCCTAGCACATTCACAACATTACAAAAAAAACATTAAATGTTGTGTTCTTGACTTATCTTGAAAATTTACAAGGGTTTTGGCAATATCCTATACATCACCAAGATTTCCTCAATGTGCGTTAGAAGCAGAAGTCCTTTAGTTTTACCACAGACTGAGAAACAGAGAATCATTACCTTTAGACAGAAGTTGATTAATCAAGTTGTTGTAATAGTCAATTCCAGCCTGGTTGATTCCTCCCTTTATAGTCCCACCTAATAAACAAATTGAGAACAGTTACCTCATGAATATAACAAGTTAACAATTCTAATCCGGTCGTTATCTTACGAGGCAAAATCCGTGACCATGAGATCGAGAACCGGTAAGCATCAAAGCCAATTTGATGCAGCAAATTCACATCTTCCTGGTTTTCCAAAAAAGTTTACATGAAGAAAAATGTAATGCTGAATTTATATCGACTTTATTTTCTTTTTGGGTGAAGAAAGCAATAATACCTTGTAAAGGTTGTAGGAATCATCTGCAATGGACCCATTACTACCATCCATTATCTTTTCTGGAAAAAAAAATGACAAAAATATTTATCATTAAATTTAATATCAAGAAAAAGAAAGAAGTATCAAGAAGGTTCATCATCAACCCATTTTTGTTATGAACACAAGATAAAACCAGATTCACATATATAAACCAAATTCCAACATTTTGAGTCTTAAATCTTTAAAGAGATCTAAAGCTTTTGGGGTTTCTAATTAGGAAGAAAGACCTGGGAAATTTTCAGAGAAGGAGTCCCAGATACTTGGACCTCTACCATCTTCATGTGCAGCACCTTCACACTGCAAAATCGAAAAATGTTAACAAAAAACAAAATAAAATAAATTAATGGACAAAGTAATAAGAACTAAACCTGATAAGCAGAAGTTGCAGATCCAAAAATGAAATCTTGTGGGAAATCATTTCTTCTTAATCTAGGCCTTGTGGAATGCTTCTTGGCGGAAACTCCAATGCAGGCCAGAGTAATGAGCAACAGTAAACTTAGAAATTTACTTCTCATTCTTTTTTTTTTCTTCTGTAAAAACTAGTTCAGTTTTTATTTTTGATTATAATGAAATTTGGTTGTGAAAAACTTTATAGAAGAAAGGGAAAATGTTTTGATTTGATATAATGTAATCTATAAATAGAGTTGTTGGAGGGAGAAAGAGTGTAGCACCTAGCAACATTTATTTACTAATTGTTTCTTATTTTATACGATTTGCTAAATGTTGCAAGAAACCTTATCCTATAAAATTATTGTACAAAAAAAGAAAAGACTCTTTAGAAATCAAAAGCTGACTCATCCATCACATCTAGAAAAATATTCGAAAGCTAAAGACGTGAGAACTGAGAAAACATATTTTCTTCTGACCATAAAATATGAATATGTCCACATTTTCCAGAAATTTTAACACATTTGTGCATTATTTTTGAATTTTCTGTGCTTTGATTTTGGTTTAGTCTCTTCATAATATATATCGTATATAAATTCGCTTTGAATAGGGGTTTTGTTGCGTGAAACGGGTGGGCACGATTATTTTGGTCAACGTCAAAAAAAAAAAAGATAAATATATACCCAACGTGGAAATTATTTAAATCCTATTATCCATTTCTGGAAGGCATTCTTTAAAGTGTCGAAATAAGCCATGATCGATATGGGCCCTTATAACATTCGTTGAATGGCCTATGCTTCTGTACAATGAAGCCTCACAATGAGCCCATTGGTAGTTGGGCCTATGCTTTAATTGAATAACCAGTAGTCCATTACGGGTTTATGGGCTATAGGATTGGGTCTGTCAGTCCAAATAAATGTTTTTGGTCTTTAATTATAATATAAAGCCCACACTTTATTACACTCTACTGCTAAAAATCCACCAAAACCGCTGTTTTTAACGAAAAACACATTTTCTACAAAGAGCCCAGCGCGTGAAATAAGCCTTTCATAAACCAACGAACGGTTAATTTGAACATTTAACTCTCTTTTCTTCTTTTCCGTTTGATACATTTAGTCTAAAATGTATATTAATTGATTTGAATCCAATAATTGATAGAGAACAAAGGAGACCACAAATGAATGAAAGTTTAACGCCGCAAAGCACTCTAAGCCCTCTTTATTGAAGATACTTTGCTTTGCTTCAAAGCTTTTTGACAATTCAAATTTAATTAAAAAAGGAAAAGTAATCTAGAAAAATAGTTCGAGGGCTTTAGAAGATTCAGACATCTTAGGAATAAAACATGAAGCTGATGAACCAGTTGCTAATAAGAATCTCTTCTTGTTCATTGTTGACTTCAACACGTACTCTTCTTCTGAATCTTCAATTTCTTCTTCTCTCTTCAAGAACTCTTTGAACCACATTGCTGACATTTTCGGGAATCGTTTTAGCCCGTTGTTGTAATCGACGTAGAATAGTCCGTATCGGACTCCATAACCGGCGTTCCATTCACAATTGTCTAGTAACGACCACGTAAAGTATCCTTCAACTACAACGCCATCCTCCCTGAGCAACAAAAACAATGATCATCCATCGTCAGTAAGAAACTAAGTATAGAGTTTCAACACAATTTAGTTTCCTGTCTCACAAGAAACTTAGTGGAGATTTTTAGAGAATTCACTTACTGGATGGCTTGTTGGATGCTTTGGAGATGTTTCTTGTGGTACTCTGTCCTTTGGAGATCCATCAAGTTAGAAAGTTTAGGCTTTTTCTCGTAATCTATATCACAGTGTCCTGAAATTTTTTAACAAAACAAGAGTTAGTAATTAAACTATATCCCATATGAAATTAAGACTAATTAAAGAGCTTCTTATAAAATTATTACCGTTTTCAGTGATCATAAATTTCGGACTTTCATATTTATTCTTGCCATAGTTTAGAAACTTTCTAAGTCCTTGTGGATATAGAAAGTCCCATTCTGAACCACCTCTTACACCTAATGTCTGTCCTGCTTTGTTTTGTTCTGTACCAATAACAATTGAAAACTTGTGAGTAAAGAAACCGGTAACAAAAAAGCTTTGGAGCCAAGAAATGAATGGAAATTAACCCTAATATGATATATAAGTATTATATTAAACACCACTTACTTCTCCATTCGATGCGTGCGTCTGATCTCCAATTGGGAGTGTCATGGTTCACTTCATCAATATTTTTGACGTAGAAAGCACTGTAATAATTCACCCCAACGAAATCAAAAGATCCTATAAGCTTCTTGGATTGTGCTGCGGTAAATGATGGTAATCTTTTTCCGATCGATTTTTTCATGACTTCAGGGTAATCTCCATACACCGTAGGATCCATGTGCCTGTTAATTTAAAAAAAAATCACCCAAACAAAAATAGTTAGAAACTCAGCAAAACATATGTAATTTACTTTTGATGTAACTTTTAAGAAAATAAAACCACTCACCAGCCAAACATAAACTCCATAGCTCGTTCGCATGCTTCTTTATCTTTAGGGCAGTTCGAGTCATAAGGCTCGAACCATACGGGACAATGAGCGATACCGATCTTGCCATCTTTACACTGTAATACAAACAAAAAACGGCGTATGTCTTAATAATTATGTTTTGAAAGATGAAAATACTTGTCAAACTGAAATTAATTATCTTTTCCGTACTTTGGGATTGTTCCTGAAGACTTCAACGGCTTCGGCGTGAGCCAGAAGTAGATTGTGACTAACAGTGTAAACCTCGAGACCAGATTCTCCGGCCACGGCTGTTTCGTTCATGTATTTGGAGGCACGTCCGGGCGCTTTTCTTCCCGTGTCATAACCACCAATACTATACACCCATGGTTCGTTTAGTGTGACCCACAATTTTACACGGTCGCCAAACTCTTCGAAACATAAGGCTGCAAAATCTTTGAAGTCATCACTGCAAGATGGTAAATTTATATACATATGTTAGGGACATTAATCCGCAAAGTAGTCAAAATCTAACATATTGATTGTTAAAAATCACTTACACAGCTTCTTCGCTTAGGAATCCATTGTATTCATCTTCAAGTGCTTGAGGAGTATCCCAATGAAATAAAGTGGCGAGAGGTGTTATTCCTGTTCATACATATATATGATACATATTAGAATATGTCAATCGAGGAGATTAGGTTATATATGTAAGAGAAATTAGTTAACTACCGTTAGCGAGGAGTTCATCGATGAGATCGTTATAGAATTTGATTCCTTCTTTGTTCACTCCTTTGCTTTTCTTTCCAACTATATTTTTGGGAATATGAACAAAAAAACAAAGATATTAAATCTATTGAATTTTTTGAAGCTCACTTATTAATATGTTGAATTAAGAAAATTAGTGGTATATATTTATGAGTTAATAACTTACGAGGAAAAATCCGAGGCCAAGAGATAGAGAATCTGAAAGCATCCATGTTAATATCCTTCATTCTTTGGATATCTTCCTTGTAATGCTTATAGAACTCGATTGCTTGATCTGCGTTAGAGTAGCAATTTCTCTCTACAAAAAATTCATTTCACTAAAGTTAGTTTGATGAATATCATAATTGAATAACATTATGATGAAAAATATATAAACATAAATATTACAAAAAGAAAGTTTTTAGTTATATATACAAACCTGGATATTTGCGAACAAATGTGTCCCAAACACTCTCTCCTCGAGGAGCTTCGTTTATGGCTCCTTCATATTGGTAAGCCGATGAAGCCGTACCAAAGAGGAAACCCTCTGGGAAATCAGATCGGCCGAACGAGTTTTTCTTCGAGAACATGTTCTTTCTTCTATTAATATCAATCAACAAAATTGTCAGAAAATATTTTCTCTCTAAAGATAATTTTTTTGTAAATACGTGTTGTTTTATTGGAGTTTGATCACTTACTGCGTCATTTCTATAAAGAATTTATAAGTTCTTTTAAATTTTGGTGAAACCCTCTAAATCTGCATAAACATGTAAACAATAATATATGAGCCAGTTGATCATAAGAGATATTATAAAATCATTATAACATAACTTTGATATATAAGAGAAGAAAATGTACCAATTTGAAGTCTTTTGTGATTTGTTTTTTAATTAATATAGAATGAAGCTGATTAAGTTTTCAAATATGAATTTTAACAACAAAAAAAAAGTTTTCAAATACGAAAGAATGAAACGAAATATTTTGCTTTATATTCTTGCAAAATAAATAAAGTAATAAACGAATAAATCTAATCTTCTTTCTCAATGAAAGAATGTGGAGATTGTTGAGTTGTGAGAGAAGTGATGAGATATGTGAAGGTATATATAGGCAAAGGAAATTTATTATGCGAAGGAACGTAGAAAATTCATACAGCATTTTAGTCCAATTAGTTACATCTATGGATATATCCTGACCGTTAATTTCTTTTTTTGGTCAAAGAGTCAATCAATCTGCTTGCAACAATGTATAAAAATGAAAAATAATAATAATAGTAGTCGTTTTGTGGTCTTGCGCTGTGTGATGTTGAACCAAATAGATGAATGCTCCTATGTTGACTTGTACTAAAATAAAAACAGAGACTTAATATCACTATTTAATACAGTGCCGGCGAGATCCTTCTGCTAGAGCGTGTCAGTATTTTCTTTTGAGTGATTGATTTTAATCTCGATTTTTGACCCAATCTAGCTAGTCCACATAAGTATGATAATTCGAAAGGAAAATTTTGATTATTTTTAAAAATTTTGTTTACTATTTTAAATAATATTGTAATATTGATCAATTTGTGGTTTCATTATGATTTGTCCCATTATTATTTGGGGTAAATATACAATAGTTGAAACGCAATCTATCTATCTCATTCGGTTAAAGACAAGTTGCGTGACCTGTCTACGTAGCAATAACGAGTTCTAGCTGTATCGATGTATCATGCTTGTGAACATCTGAACATGTGATCTTTGATCAAAAATACTGATGTTAAGAAATTTAATTACTGTTATCTTAACCTGATTCTCTAGAGTATTTTGTCAAAAAGGTAGCAAAGAGACTTGGACTTTTACAGTCAATATACCGACTTATTGATATAATTATGATTAATGTAAACCCCTTAACAAAAAAATAAAAATCACTTCACCATCTCTCTAGTAAATCACGAGGACTTTCATCACATGTCATAATTCCCAAAAGTTCAAACGCACGTACGTTGAAATTGGAAAAGTATACTATGCAGTATGCACTCATCTTCCGTTTCAAATTTGCCCATATCTTTGTATTATATATATATATATATATATATAACTCCTTAGATTAGTTATTTACCTCCCAAAAAACTCATGTTGTTCTGTTATTTCAAAAAAAAAAAAAAAACTCGTGTTGTTCTCATAATGTCATTGCTTAAGACTGCGTGGTAGGTCAAATCAACGGTCGTATAAAAAAGCGAGCTGTATAAATTAAATATATATCTTTATATGTATAAAAGGAAACAAATTAATAACTCATTGATTGTTGTTCTCATTGGTAGGTAGAAATTCATCAATTAGAGAAAACGTTAAATAATGGAGTTTGGAGCATTTATACATCGAGTTATTATTAGAAAATTGACCGCTTATAATAGATTTAAAGGAAATTACGAAGAAGAAATTCAGAAATTTCTAGTGATAAATATTAGGCTGGTTTTTGACAAAAAAAATAAATATTAGGCCGTTCATTAGCAAGAATAATTTGAAAGATGTATTTTAGAAAACATCAAATAACAAAAAAAAAATGTGATATGAGAGCATTGATTAAATCATTTATTCGTAATAATGTCATACTAAGCATCTCACCTTTTTTTCTTGGCAGTCGAACGTTGGAGACATCAGGGCAACGTTTCACGATACGCACAGACCAGAAAAGTTTAAAGCACTTACTAAAACAAAGGTTTGTCACAAGTAATAGCAGTGGATGGGCGATTAGATTGTTAATTTCGTAAATCAGTATATTATAATACTCAATTTTGTTTTCTATTAATATATTTTTAAGATATTCACATATATTAAAAGTTGATTAAAAATATATTTATTCTTTTATAATTTACAATTTTCTATAACTCTAAACTAATAGAATATCATTTATTTCCTTGAAGTTTACAATTCATCAATTATAATTAATAAATATTACATAATTTTTTTAAAAATATTTATTTTTCTGAAGCAAATATTTATCCAAAAAAATATAATAATAAGGATCAGAGGAAATATTGCAATACGGCTTTATTTGTTTTTTTAAGAAAGTACATAATAAATAGCACATCATAAGATGAATGGGAAAAGATAAAAGCCGACATAAAATAGGAAAACTCGAAGCATTCAAGGAAAGTTGTGGAGCAACTTTGAACACTGCCCACCATCACAAACTGTCTTCTTCCAAAAAGGAGGCAGATGTTGCGTTATTTCGCGAGATGCCCAAGAAAATGGGATAATTCACGGAATTCCCCAAAACTTTTGGACTTTACCGTATAACAATAATGATTATACATATTATAACATTTATTTAACATGCAATCTTTTTGGACCGCCCAGTAGTATGGAAGCCAACTTGGCACGTGTAAAATTTTTCCACGTTTCTTACTAGTTTCGATTTTTGTGGTGCAGGATATTTTCAAACATTTTTTCGAGTTCTGAAAACAAGTAAGTATTTTTTTTTTTAATTACTAAAAAGTGTTGGGCCGTAACATCCAGAGTTGTCTCAAAATTATAATAGGTTTTGTGTCTAAACTTAATTTTTAAAAATATTAAATAAAAATTCAAAAAGATAGATTTGTTTTAGAATTTTAAAAATTTAGGATTTTTTTATCTAAATTTTTTTATTTTTTAAAGATATAGTACAAAAGTACTGCGAGCACTTGCCTAAGACGGACATGTGTACATCCCCTTAAGCCATATACCAGAGCATTTGATATATGATCATTTTTTAAGTGTCATTCGAACCGACAGCTTCTAGACTTTGTCTGAGAATCTTTACTACTAATTGAGTTAATGACACTTGCTTAAAACAAATAATTATTGGACTTTGAAAATTAAGTTGTGATTCTCATACTCGTTTATATATACCAACCTAAGTAATGCAATCAGATATGCATGAAGCCATGAATAATGCTGATTAAATCGTTTTTAAGAAGCACAAGCCTTAAGCCAGACATTTGCTTCATCGAGTATATATCTAACTCATCGATATGGTTAACTTATAAGAGACAAGGTCATGGACCTGACTAGATTGAAAGGACCCAACCAGGGGTATCTCAATGAATTTAGAATATCTGTACAAATTTTTAAAAATTTAGCTTTTTGTATTTTACCAAATTTTTTTCTTTGTTTTTTTGTTCATACTATTTTTTTTTAAGGGGTTTAAAAAGGCTTTTTTAACATACATATCTAAAAAAAAAATGGTCCTCAAATTTAGTGAAATTTGTTTACCTTGTTCATTTGCTCCACTTGCACTACCCAAGAAACATCCCTGGACGGCACAGGTTAGATTTCTGTGCTTGTGTTGAACTAAGAAGACAAATCTCCTCTAGTTAAGGTGGAGATTTTGAAGTAGTTACAAGTCATGGTCAAGATGGTATCATGTACCTAATCCATGATCATCCTTTTATAACCCCAATCTCCGGTTTTGTCGGTTTTGTCCATTAGGATGATGTTAAATAAATTTGGAAAAATAATAATTGTTTTCATAAAAATAGAGAAGAGAGAAAAATCAAAAATCAAAAACGCCATGTATACAATCACTTCCAACGTAATCTCAAAGGTCACAGCACCAACAACAATCAGAGCAACAATGGAGACTGCTAAACCAAATCCCGATGGACCAACATTGTTCTATAAAGATGATCGAGGTCGAGTGAGAAATACTATTAGAGAAGAATGACCGAATTAGGTAGGTAGCTATATACCCTCAACTTAAAGAAGAACATTCTTCAATTTGATTTTGTTTCTATCTGAGCAATGAGCATATTTAAAGACAAACAAACAAAACTTCAAATATCACAAATTATGGAGCTTTTTGGTGAGAGAAAAGTTCGCTAATAAATATCAATCTTTGTAATTGTAGCTAATAACTAAAAAGTGATATCATTTATCTTTCTGTGGTCTTAACTACAAAGCACTGTTTGGGGCTTTGAGCATTTGCATTATATTGTAAATTTTCTCTGGCAAAAGATGAGCTCTAGCCCAATATTATTAGGGGCCATAATGGATTATGGACTAAAAACACACATAAATATTCACTTCATGGGCCTTACTTAAGTGCTCTGTTTTTTTAGATTTTTATTTCCTAAGTCTAAACAGGGTTTCAGGTTTTGTGAACCTAGTATGGATCAAACTAACAAATAAATGAAGACAACACCATGTGTCCATTATACCCTCTAAAACAAGGAAAGCCCAGTTTAAATAAAAGCTACACTGGTAACTATGAGAATACCTAACAAGACCTATGATTCCTTCCAAAACACTGATGTTAAGAGGAATGATGAATACTTCTGGCACATCAAATGTACAATGCTTAACCACAGGCTAATTTAGTTTCATCTTCTGCTTCTTTTCTTTGGCTGCTTATTGTCTTTTTCGGATTCCCTACCTCGTTTTCCCGTAGCCTCTGCTGGTTCTTTCGTTTGTTTTCGTTTCGATGAACTCTTACTATTATTAGTCTCTACCTCAGCCTTCTTTTTACCTGTACTGTTACTCCTCAATTCCCTCGGTTTCGCTTTACTGTTCTCTTTCTTAACGTTTCCATCACTCTTCTTCTGATTTTTACTCGTTGTTTCTTTTCCTTTCTGTGGAGAGTTCTTCTTTATTCTCTTCAAAAAATCAGCCACGCTCTTCTTCTTATCTGATGCTATCGCTACTGTCTTCTTCTCTGTTTTAGAATTCTCTTCCTTCTCATCTTCATCACCATCATCAGATGATTCTGTTTTCGTATCCTTTTGTTTCTTATTATTATTCTTGGCTCTTCCCGTTTTAGTATCTTTAGCAACAACAGCGATCTCTTTGCTCGTTCTCCTCGAACTTCTTGCACTAGTAGTAGTAGTAGTAGTAGTAGTAGTCACAGTCTTCTCCTCTGAGACTTCCTGATATTTCTTCTCATCTTTTTGTTTAGAGCTTGAAGAAGGAGGCGTCTTTTTTGAAGCAGAACTCTTCTTTTTACAGGCAACAAGAGGAAGAACAGAGGATTTCTGTTCGTTTGATTCAGCCTCTGCTTTGATGGCATTGTGACCCGATTTTCCCGTTCGTTTCTTCATCTCGTTAGAGACGAGGGTTCTTAGTTCTTGAGCAGCCATGGATTCTGAGGAAGATGTAGGAAAGAAGACAATGGCGTTTGTGAAGAGAAGCTTGAGGTCTCTGTAGAAAGAAAGGCTTGAAGAAACATAAGATCCTTTCTCCACCTTCTTCTCTATTGTCTTGATGTCCAAATGCTGCCTTATCAACCTCTTGTAATCCTTAGTCTCCTGCGAGATAACAGAGACGAGAAAGTATGAGACCACCACAAAAACGTCTTAAGTAATGGACTTCTAGAAGCCCAACTAAAGCCCAAAAACTATCTGGCTTAAAAGGCGGCTGAAAAGTCAATAAGTTGACCATATCTTGAAAGACACGACAAACCCATGATTCAACCGGAAGCTGCCAAGTGTCCAATGTTGTGTGACCAAAATGGTAAATGGGTGGGAAAAAAAAACAAATTTCTACAACGAAAAACCTTGTGTGTTTGTAACAACTAACAAGAATAACGTTAAAAAGGGGGAATCTATAAGAAAATCACCAACTCTAAGAAAATCATAAATCGGATATCCGAAGTAAAATTTACAGATCAGACACACAAGGAAACAATCGATACTGTATATATAAAGATATTTGCTACCATATGAAAAACTTATACGTTATACAATAACAAAAAAGCGTAATTCGAAAAATGGAGAAGGTGATGATCGAAAAAAAGTGAAATTTTACTATCAAATAATCGGAGTGGTCCCGACCAAATTGGACAATGTGTGGATAATTTCTCATATTTTTTATTGGTCTTCCTTGAAAATTTTTAGGGGAAAGTAGATAATGGAAACAACAAAATCTAGTAATCTACCATTAAAAACATAAAGACATTCGTAAACAAATTAAGTTTTGCATTTATTTGGAGTTACTAAGTTCTGAAAGAAACATGCACTATTTAGGTTGGAGTTTTAAAAAAACACACACATTAGAATGCAATATATAACATTGAATCCGAGAAGTATAAAATATATACATTTTCTTTTAGAATAAAGCATCTTCAAGTACTTAATTAAGTCTTATTAAGAAAATAATAGTATTATATTAATAGAATGCAATATATAACATTGAATCCGAGAAGGAGAAATTTTGGAATAATTGTTGCAAAAGTTAAAAGGAAAATTTGTTAAAAAATATTTTATAGTTTTTGAGTTTTGACGCATGTTGCAAATTATCGTAACGTTGGAAAAAGACGACAAAAACAATCGTTGGAAAACTAGATAAAATGTGTAATTAAGAGTTAATTATACTATTTACCACCCAAAAAAAAAAAACGAGGAAAAGTAAGACAATTTGCTTACCTGGCTCCTAAGCCGGGATTCGAACACGGAACCACGGGGATGAGACCGAATTAGCTTAATGGTATCTATCAACGGCTGTGATTTATCACCGGCCGATTTGATATCACCGCCGCCTCCGCCGCTTCTGTATTTCTGTCCTTTCCTCTTTCCAGGACCAGTGGACGTTCCCGATTCATCCAACTCTCCCGAGTTACTCATTTCCGATCTTTTACTAACCGTTCGTTGTTCCTCCTCCGGCGCCGCCGCCTTATTAACCGGATCGGGATCTGGATTTCTCGAATTCTCGTCAGTCTGAACCATTTTATCACCGTCTAATCTGTCGTGATCGGCGATTTTATCGACGGAGGCTGTCGAGTTGGACTCGTTCATCGACCTATTATCCTCCCGGTCAGACTCCGTCGTATCCCGGTTAAGTCTCGCCGGTTTAATTTCATCGTTTTTCAGATCTGGTTTGTTGTCTCCATCATCTCCGTCTTTCTCCTCCTCTAATTTCTTAACTTTTAACTGAAGCGACCTAATCAAAAACACCAAAAAAAATATTCAAAAATGAATTAAAATAAAAAATAATAAAAACTCAGATCCAGCGGCGGAGAAATAGAGACTTCTCCGTACAGTATCGAGTCGTCACATCGTTGAACCTCACGGCGGAGCTCCGCCACACGAAGACTCCGTAACTGCTCGAGCCAAGGGATTTCACCAACTTCATCCTCCTCCGCCGCCGCCGCTTCGGTATTATCTTCTCCGACGTCGACGGAATCTTGGAACCTACGTTTGAGATCTTGATACTTAAGCCTGCAATTGACGGCGGAGACGATGAGAGAACTCCGGGAACGAGCCTGAACCTCCTTAGCGACGGAGTCCCAATCGGAAAAAGCATGACGCTTAACGGCGCATGTTAACACCAACTCGTCCCACGTTCCCCATACTTGTTTGATCTGATTTAGATTACAGTTATCGTCTCCGTCACCGTCACCGTCACCGATACGATTGTTATCAAATTCACTGGAACTGTTAATATTGTTAGTATCGTCGTCGTCGTTCATGCCGTTCGATATCACTGCTTCTTCTTCTTCTTCCTCCTCCTTCATAACAACACGCTCGTTTGCAGTTTTTAGGGATTTAATTTTTAATTTAGTTTTTTTTTTTTCTTATCACCTTGTTTCGTATTATGAAGCCTTTTAAATATACGAATGAAACTATATGTAATAAGAAAAAATTAATATTTAGGTTTTGTTAGCTATATTTCTCCACTTCATATGGAAATAATATAGACCTACGTATAAGATTTTCACATTTGCTTTACCCATTTTGTGTTCATATATAGTAACGGGTCGGGTCGGGTCAAACCCAACTTCGCTTTGTGTGCAACAACCGTCTACGGAGAGGAAGAAGGAAGGTAGAGAGCGTTATTTACAGAAATGCCCTTCATGGATTGCTAGAAATGGAATGTTCGTTTTATATTGATGTTGGTAAATGTGAGGTTGGGCATGGAATTTATCCACTTCAATGAGATATGGGCTTTAATTTGTGAGTTGTATATGGGCTTTTAGTGGAGATTGGACCCAGATCAGTCACCCATTTAAGTAAAATTAATTACAAAAAAAGGTATATGACTAAAAAATATTCGCATTTAGTACACACACGAACGTTTGTGTGATACAGAGTTACAGACAAGTCTTGATGGGTTTGATGACATGATTTAAAACTTTTAAGTTAAACCCATCATTAAATAAATCAATACTTTAATTCACACTCACACGCAAAGATAAAGAAAGGAGATTAATTTTTGGTAAACTTTAGAAGAATAAGAAACTCGTGACCAACCCTTGCAAGGCGAGACGGGTCAAGCCAGAAAACGCAGAAGGATTGACTCATATTTGATTGAACCAAGAATCTTGTATGGCTTTAGTAGGAGATGTCTACTCTATGTCACTTGACTTGGGTTCGAGCCGAGGATATCGTAAGCCTCAAGGAGGTCAAGTTCCTTTTTTCGACATGGTTTTGGTTTTCCTAGGATGCCGTACGGCTTAAGCAAGTCAAGTCCATCACTTACTTGAGTTGGAATTGTATGTTTCTCTTGAACCACTGGACTGGCCTTAACGAGGAGGACTAGGATTTGTTCCAACAATATGTTTCTTGTCCTAGCTAGAAACCTCTGCTCTCGGTTTCTAACAATTCTCGGTAACAGGATCCAGCGACTCCTCTGAAAGTTAGAGAAAACTTGGTGAGGAAGAAGACTCAGAATCAAGATCTTAAGGTTTAAAAGAGAACACGTTGCATCTTACTATCCACTCAAAATAGCAAATCGGTTTTGGTAGAATCAAAGCAAGCTTCTTAAGATGAGGAGGAAGCTTCATCGGCAATTTCTTGTTGAGAGACTCTGTTGAGCCTGTGGCGTTGACTTTCTTGAGTCTGCTTCTTTTGACTTCAAACACTCTGTTTGAGCTGGAGTGGTTGCTTGAGTATTGTTGACATCCTCTGATCCACTTATGTTTATTAGGCGATAATTCACCAAAGACCAAACAATACAAATCAATGGATGCTTGAACCAGTAGGTTGACTTGTCTCCCAAAGTTGAGTAACAATAATATGGTGTCTCAATCTAAGAAAGACTGTTTCTTCACTTGTTTGACATTATTGGTTTTGAAGAAGTACCAAAATGAAAACTCTGTAGAAACAAAATTTAGACGAACTATCGTTTTTTCTCTCCATCTCTAAAAGTGCCAAAAGCTACCCAATCAAATGGAAGAGAAGGGTGGTTTGATCAAAGAGAGAACCTTGACCAACCACGTTCAGGGATTAACTTAGCGGTTCAAGCGCATGAAGTTTTCGAGCCAGTCCATGTTTACACTCTTTGGTCTCTCTAGTGGTAGTCCAAGTGCCCTGTCCCATATCAGCTGAAACCAGGAAAGAAAAAGAAATCGAGAAAATGAGTCTGAGTTTATTCTGATGGATATAGTTATCCGTAATACTGAATTCTCGATAGCATGAATGTATGTACCTGCGAACAGATGCCAAGACTTCTTGAGACTCCAAAAAGCACTGTGTAGTATCTATATTTGAAAAGAATGTCACTTTATTATAACCAAGATTCAGCAAAAGAAGGTCCAAGCCTAGTCACACTTAAGCGAGACAAGAAATTCCTACCTTGCTTCGGTTAGACCATAGTAGTTCAGCAGCACTCCGCTATGAGCATCAACGTTAGGCCACGGGTTCTTGACCTTTTACAGAAATTTCAAGATTCATAAAACCAGATAGAATCAGAAATCTGGTAACACATGAATGATGATGTATATAGTACCTTTCCCAGCTCGGTTAGAATAGGAGGCACCACTTCATAAAGCTTTGAGACCTATTGAGTTGCATAATTAGTGAGCCAGTAAAATTTTAAAAGCATGGCCAAATTTAAGGGGAAAAAATTAGTTACCAGCTGAAAAAGAGGATCATCAGGTAGATGCTTCAAGGCAAACTCTCTTTGGCATATATATCTTGGATCCGTTTTACGCAAAACACCATGGCCATATCCTGGAACAACCTGCAAGACAGATGTTTATTTAAGTCTCCTGGAAACATTTACAATACATATGGTTAGTTTCAAAAGGCAAAGCAGAGCAGAATTTTGTTTACCTTGCCACTGTTTAACGTTTTCCAGACATAATCTTTAAGCTGTTCCTTTGATATATTTTCTCCACATTCCTCGACAACTGATTTGATCCACAGCAAAACTTCCTACAACAAGACCATGGAAAAAAAACAGAGTAAGATTCCAAAATTATCAGTTGTACAACAAAGGTTTAGCAGCTTATAAGAGTCATTCTTAGAACTCAAGTGTATAAACTTGAAGATTTGAACAATATAAGATTCATTCAGGAAATACATACTTGATTAGCCAAACCATGGAGTGGCCCAGCTAAACCATTCAATGCAGCTGCAAATGAAAGATATGGATCTGAAAGTGCACTCCCAACCTAAGTGAAGAAACATCATCAGCCAAAAACAGAACCATCAGAAATGTCTATAAGGTCGAAACATTTGGAGTACAAACTAAAAGTGAAGCATTATCATGCAAGACCGTGTAGCAAATACATACCAGGTGACCAGCGTGAGCACTAACATTTCCACCTTCATGATCACTAAAACAAAAACCAGTAGAAAAGAAAAAACTCTTGATCATGCTATAGAAATTTGGTAAGAGTTGGTAATATAAAAGAAAATCATTGTATACAAGAAAACTTTAACTTATGGATTCAAATTAATGAGACATGTTGGAAAGGAGAGAACCAGGACAAACCTGTGGATAGTGACATAAAGCCTCATGAGCTCTTTCATCTGAGGACTATCATATCCCAGCATGTGTGAAAAATTTGCACCATAATCCAAAGAATCATCTAATGGAATGATGCTACCATCCTTGTACATCCTGCAATGTTTTTAAAATGTAAACTTACGAACATAAACATAAAATTTAATTAAGTCCAGAAAGCTAAAAGCATTGGAAAGAGCATAGAATTTAACCTTCGATAAACGTATGAAGCTACAACAGGAACACGAGCAATCAAGTTTAGTGCATCCTCAAAGGTTGGCTCCCAGTACCTGCAAGGAAAACCTCAGTTTTATGATGCCTACTACTACAAGCCAATCAAGAAACGAACTAGAACTATTGAAGGTTTATACTTTGACTTATGAATATCACCCTGCTCATATGCCTTCTGAAACTCACTTTGAACCTGAGTAACAATTTAACAAGATAAGATGCTCCTGAAAATTAATATATTTAAAGAGATACATAGAAAAAACTAGTAAAGAACAGAGTCATCCACCTGAAGGGCCATAACACCACTAGCAAATTGAGTCATTGGATGAGCTGTTGAAGGCAGGGCATCTATAGCTTTGTATACATAATCTGGAATAGAAATTAAGTATAAAACAGAGTTGTTATGTTTGCAACATCATAACATTTAGTGTATAATTACCATCAGCTTGTTTTTTTGCTAAGTTTTGATGAGTCATGAAACTGAGGTCACAAACAAACAGAGCCTAGAGGTGAACTACAAACCTGGCACAGCCGCACGATGAGCCAACTCTTTTGACAAAGCATTAACTTGCTCTTTGTTTGGCACCTTTATCGAAAAGACGGAAAACTATACTTTAGATCACTCATATATAAAGCGAAACTTATCGTATGTAAAATGATCCAACCTTTCCAGTTAACAGAAGCCACAGAAGACCCTCAGGCAAGGGCTCTTCTCCAGACTCAGCTGAAGGTAATACTTTCTGGCATTCAGGAATCGACATTCCTCGAAAGCGAATTCCCTGAAATAAAAGATAAGAGCATATGTTATATATTCAACTTCAAGATCTGACCAGACAATTATCTATATGATTCAAATTTATATCCAGACCTCATCTGCATCAAGCAATGATGTTTCCCAGAGTAATCCAGTCATCCCTCTCATTCCACCAAGTACCTTCACAAATACCACATGTAAATATATATATATATATATATATATATATATATATGTTTAAAAGAGAAAGCCTTCATGTAATCACAATAATCAATTGAATCCATACCATATCAACGGTGATGTTTCCCAGTGGGACCTTTCCATGTTCTGATTTCAGTTTCTTCAAACGGTCCTGAAAATTGAAAGTTGTGTTTGTGTATGAGAAAAGAAAACAACTAGAAACAGAGAGAAGAGCTTCACTAGATGAAATATTCTGCCCTAAAATTAGAAACAATGTCAATCACTGTGAACCAAAAGTATACAAACTCAATCAAAGACAAAGAAGTAGAAACTAAACCTGTTGTTCTGGAATGATCTCTTGCATCTGCGACTTCAAGTCCTGCATTGTCATCATTTAAACAACATCAACACAAAATCTAGAAAACAAAATTCCAATTTTTTGGTTCTCAAAGTGAACTGCATGATAACAAAACATCAACACCAGAACATGAAAACCTAAAAAAATACCAATTCAGAAGAGTGGAGCCATCTGACAGAGTTGCTAAGTGAGGATTGTTGCACCTGCTTTTATTAGATCTGATCATCAAATCGTATCACACCAAACAAAACACAAAAAAGGGTCAAAGATAAATCTACTCACTGCTCGAGACCGAAGCCTTGAAATGGCTGATACGCTACGAAAAAACACCATTCTTCAAAACTCACAACACCTATTCACAACACTGATCCGTTAGGAATCCAAGCAATCGAGATTGGCTTAACTAGATAAGAGATATAAGGGAACGAGAAAGTGTGGAAATGAACTTACCGGAGATTCGTAAGTTTTTTCAACGCAGAGTGAAAAATCGAGAGATGTTGAGATATATCTGCAACGTGATGAACAAGCGTCTCTGTGTTTATCAGAGAGACTACAAATTTACAACATAAACTCGGATTCTTCCTACTTACCCGGTATAATAAACCAATTGTTTACCACTTAGAAAACCAAACGATCAGATTATGTTCGGTTCCGATTGGTTAGCTCCATCGGTCCGTGACTCGCAAGATTCGAAGCAGCCGTAAGCCCGTAACGATTCTAAAGCCTAAAAAAACGGTCATTAATAAAAAAAAATTGTTGGTCATTAATAATAACGATTCTAAAGTCCACGGGTTTTGAATAAAACATAATTTTATTTTGTTGGACAATGTGAAAAATTGTCCATCGAATAAATTGATATTCACAATTGAAAATAAAATTCGTTATGGAATGGGCGGTTTGATATTCTTCATTCTCCATTAGTAAATAACTAAATATTTAGATTTTTTGAAATACTGTTTGAATGATGTAACACGGCTATTAACAATGATGAATGTAGCTATATAGTTATTATTTAAAACAATACTAATTATATCAAATTTTATGACACTATTGATCATTATGTCATCCAATAATAAACTGATATTTCAATGATTGAGATTGGGAAAATATGACATCTAAAATCATTTTGGCAACGCTACGTATATTCCATTACAACTCATTATAATCGTGGTACCATATCAATCAAGTAACGTTTAAATTAGAGAAAAGAATCAAAGATAAATGTTTTAGAGTCATGTAAGAATCATTTATCCTTTTACAATTTCGTTAATTCAGTATAATAGAATTCATCTAAAAATTATATATGAGTTATGAACAAATTAAAATATTTAATCACCATATCATTCTCGCGTTTTTATATATTAACTTACAAAACACTAAAGTCAATCTCAAATACATCAAATAATTAATACACGCACGCGTGAGTACAATGTGTTACACCATTTTTAACTTTTAAGTAGAGTTTTTACATGATCGGAGATCATAACTCAAACTTACGTTTTCTTGGCAAAATCAGTCTACCAAATTAAACTCATCACTACACTCTTTGCTGCCAAATTAAGTCAATCTACAAATTAAATCAAAAGGGCACCAAAAAATTCCAAACATTTATACATATATACAAGTTATTTATATGTTCCTACCTATATGATGATCGTCGTCTCAACCATGGTCTTGCCATGAACCATGTCTTGTACGTTATGCCCCATATCGAATAAATGATTAAATCATCAAAACCAATAGGACTCACGAATCACGATTAGTAGAAACCCTAGGGTAAGGTGTGATCGAGTTAATTATTGTTGTTGAAGATCAAACCATCGACTTGAGAATATGTTGTCGTCTCCATCAAAATCGATCAAATCGTCGAAATCGAAATAAGTGCTTGTTTTCGAACTTGATCCCCATTCTTCCTTCACCACATGGCTCCCTATTATTTTGTTGACCAGCTCCGCCGTATGTTCTTGGCCGGAATCTTGAGGCAGAACCGAAGGCGCGGGATAACTTGTTTTGGTTATCTTTTTCTTATAACTGGTTTTGGTGATCTCCGGCTTTCCGGTTAGACTTTGTACGAGTGTACGGAAGTTCTTGACATCGGTGTTGATGATCTCAGGCGCAAATATATGGATGATACGGATCTTAGGCTTGACCTTGGTTATTACTTGGGAGTTCTTGTTCATGGGGACCAAAGTTTTTGAACAATCACCATAAAAGCTTTGATGAGAAAGATGATCTAGATCGTACTCAGCTTTCATTGAATTTCTCACCATTTAGACGAAAAAAAATAGAAGAAGAAGATTTAGGTTTTTTTTTTTTGATATGAGGTTTTTTGTATTGTTTCGATAAAAATTATGCATATGTTTGTGGATTATATGTCTCTATATATACACAAAAACAAAATGTAATTAAATATAGTTTTTATTGTTGGTTGGTCAAAATCATTAATAAAAAAAAACATTTATTAAACACAAACGGAATACGAAAATAATAAAAAATATAAGACGAAATAGCTATGGACCTGCCCTCCATTACACACTTAACAACAATTTGAATTTAAATAAACTGTAATTTGTCCAAGAGAATGATCTGTTTCTTTTACGCTATCGGAAGAAAATGGTTTTTAATTTTCCAACTAATATATTATAAAATCAATTAGCTATATAAATAAGTAAAAACATAAGAGTAGATGGCGTGAGCGATGTTTTATTTTATGTCTATATATGTGGGGTTGACTTATAGCTCGTCGACTTAACCTTTGGATGCCAATTTGACTTTGTTTTATTGACGAATTTGTTAAATGTCCTTTACCAACAAAAAAAAAAGTGTTACATGGCTTATGGAAATAGAGTTTCTTCTAGTTGTACATATATTTATACAAAACATTCTTTCGGTACAGATGTTAAATAAATAAAAAACATTCGTCTTAGTAATTCTCAAGGAGAATATGTAATTGTTTATTGTCCGTGGTAAACATCGTTATAAGGAAAAGTTTATACTATGTAACTCAAGAAATTAAGAGATTAGACTTTACATTTGTTTCAGAAATTAAGAGATTAGATAAAAATAAAACCGACAAAAAGAAAAACAAATTTTATGTGCCCTACTAGTAACTTAACAGACACGATAGATACTCGTCGCACATGATATGTGATTCAACTGTACACGTGCAAAGCTTTTTGTTTCCTTAGTTCAAATATCCAAAACTGTTTGACCCATAAAAATGATTAATTATCCAAAAAAAAGGCGGCCACTAAATCATATGGAGAGGTCACTAGGTCCGACAATTTCGTTTATCCAACCTAGTAAAATAAGTATAATTAGTTAAATCAATCGAGTTTTTTTTGTTCACTACTTGAATGTTGCATCAACTGATCTAAAGGTCAAAGTTATCTATTTAATTCCTAAAATAGATCATAGTTTGACATTAGCGTGTTTCGGTAGTATAAATTGCAAGGATTTGACATTTGTAGTTAAAAATAGCTGTATGATATTTTTGTAAGAAAAAAATCGTATTGTTGTAGTCATTATTTAATGTTGATACGCGGGATTGTTGACTTAATCTCCTTAAACTAGAGAAACAAATCTCTCTATACTAACTACCATGTGCTGAATCATACAATCGTTGAATAATGTTGATCCAACTTTCTTTGGATGCTTTGAGTTTCTACTCAATTTCTCATGTGATAAAAATTGTTTAAGTCAAATCCTTAATTTTAAGTATGGATCTTTTGTTTTATGTTGTGGAGAGTACTATATAAATAGAGAGATGTTTTTTGTATTGTGTAATTATTGTGAATAACCAAAAAATCATTTAAACCATGAACTAAACTAAAAGGGCAAAAATATATATTGCTTCTATTTAATAATGTCTCAATCATTGCATAATTCATACAATTAGATGTTTTAGAGTGGTACAAGGATTTAACCAAAACCCATGTCTCCTACCATCCTATTTTTAGTTGATGATGTTTTGTTTCAAGCAGGTCTGGTTTCAAGACATCATCAAGGGTGAAGAATTTTGTTAATGACAAAACAGAGTAGAGCTAGTAATAATATTTAGTTACAAGTTACAACCATAATTAGTCGAACAATATGGTCTATCTATCCTCAAGTCCGAGTAAAACAATTGAGATTCTTTTGTAACAAGCAAAATCAAATCAAACTAAGAAAAACAAAAAAAAAAACAGATACATGCGTATTCTTTCTTCGCATCATACATATTTTGAAGAGAATAAAGAAAATAGTATTGGAAAATGCGGTCCAAAAACAAAATTGGCTAAAACATTTAACATGAAATAATATAGCCCTAAAACCTTTAATCACTGGCCCAAGATTCTCAGCCCAAATTTGTTTTTTTTTTGGGTCTTGTTTCACTTTTATTTTTAAAGTCAACCAAATCAACGGACTACTACAGTCACCGTATCAGAAAAGTAGAGAAATGAAAAACGTAGAACAAAATCATTACAGTTACGTTTATTTCATCAATAATTTGTATCGAAAGTAGACAAAAGCAAAGAGATCATCAACATGTGACTAAAAATTAAAAACCATTGAGCATAAAAAAAAAACAACTCTCCTTATTGTTACTATAATCAATAATCGATTAAAAAGCCCATCTGTTAAATAAACAGAGAGCTGAGAATTTCAAAAAAAAAAAAAAAAACTCAAGAACACACTCACACACATACGCTTATTTGAATTTCGAAATCTTTGCTTGAAGCGCTCTTACAATGGCGTCGTTGTGGCGTTGCTTCTTCTCTCTGATTCAATCTCTCCTCTCCTCAAACCAATTCCAAGACCTGAAACAGTCCGAGCCAAATTCCTCTCCATCTCTCCCACTCCCAATCTCATCTGCTCATGACGACGAGCCAGTCTTCTCAACGCGTTTCTTATTCCAAGCCAATCATCTTCCACATCATCTCCGTCGGCAGCAATCGTAGCCAGATCCGATAATCGGATTCTCATCTCAGACTCCGAACCACCAATTCCCACCTTCGCCGTCGTAGGGAGCTCAAATCGGCAAAGCGGACACGAGTTATGATCCGAGAGCCAAGGAACGATGCAATCGGAGTGGTATATATGGCTACAAGGTAATCTCCGAGCAGATTCTCCGACGACGAAATCCTCTTTGCAAACGGCGCAGAGTAAAACGGAATCTGGATCTGAATCATCGGTGGAACAGAGCATAGAAGACGAGATCTGAATCGTGGGAATCGAATCGATATCTGAAGATTTCAATAACGAAGAAGAAGATGAAGAGGAGGAAGAAGAAGACGATCCTGAATTATCGGAAGCGAGATGACGAAGAAGACGGTGAAGGTAAGGACTATCGAGGAGGAAATTATCATCGGAATTAACCGCTGGATCAACGAAACACCAATCTTCTTCATCATCTTCGTCATCGTTGTCTCCATCTTCTTCTTCGAAATCACCGATGGTGACGTCAAATAGATTAGAAGAAGAAGAATCGTGATCCATACGTTCGAGGAAATCGATACGGCATTGGGGACATAACAGAGGAGAGGAATCGGAATCGGAATCGGAGGAGGAGAGGAGGGATAAACTCATATCGCATTCATGACACCAGTAAGTTCGTCGTTCAGGCTCGCCGTGGACGATGGTTGTTGTGGTGGAAGACGACATTGAGAAGTGGTGGTTGTGAGAGAAAGAAAGAGAAAATGCGTAAGAGAAAAAAAAAAGAGAGAGGAGAAAGAAAAGTTAGTGGTTGTGGTTGAGTACTAGTGATAATGGGTTTATGATTGGTTTCAAAGCCTTTCAAGGCCCTTTTTTGTTTTGCATTTTTTATATATAAAAAAGTGAATGGATTAAAGGGCCTACCATGTTTACTTGGCTTTATTCGGAAGGTTTGGTAGTGGGTCGGTCGGTCTATGTATCTCTCTCTATTCTTTGAAGTTTCTTATAAGTATTTGCACTTTTTAATTCTTTCCTAGTGATAATATTTGGTTGATTATTATAATTTATAAGTATGTATGTGTGTGAGTGATAACTACTTTGCTACCTTTTATTAGATAAAAAAAATCACAGATTTGTTCGTTTGACAATTGTTATCAACTGCGACAAGTAATCAATTATTGCAACATTTTCTATTGATTACCATATCTTAAAACGTTTTTTTTTTATCATTGTGATATTCAAACTAACAACGTTTGGATGTAGTCACCAAGTATTGCCAAACATTGAATCTGCGATACTATAATATAAGTTATATATACGGTACATTTGTTTATTGTAATCTCGTATGATGTAGTTTAATATTTGATATATGAGGACAGTTGAGAGTTTATATAAAATACTTACAAGTAAGATTTTAAAAATGACAAAAAAAATAGTTGCAGGTGGAGAAACGCATTGAAATACACAGTGACGTATACATATAACAAAAGTCGCTTTGGCCGAGTGGTTAAGGCGTGTGCCTGCTAAGTACATGGGGTTTCCCCGCGAGAGTTCGAATCTCTCAGGCGACGATTTCTTTTTTGGGTGGCGTTTAAATGCTGCAACGTGCCTTCTCGTGTAAGCAATAAAATAAGGAAAAAGAGAGAGACACCGAGTTTAGAAAATCACAATCACCACCATCTTAAAGATTGCGTTTTTAATTGTTGTTTTCATCATATCTGATGAAAGTATGGGCGTTAGATTCCAGTTGCCTGTAAAAAGATTACAACTTTTTAAAAGAATCTCTGACAAATTGCTATCTAGATTCTATCCATAAACTGGTCCTTGCAAACAAAATTCCGAAATCCACCCATAAATATGCATAAGCATAACCAAATCTGGAAAAAGAAACCGACATGACTGCATGAATATCTCAGACTATCATGTACATCATTCACTCGCTGGACTCTGATCACTTCAATTTCCAAGATTTTATAATATTTTTTCAAGATTTCAACCAAAAGAAAAGGTCTTATGACTCACACATAATGACGTTGGAAGAAAGGTATTAGTTAGGGTTAGTGGAGAGAGTGTTCAATATGAAACAAGTTTTTCTCTGTCTTCTTTACGCCTTCTTTTTCCCTCCTTTGGGGGAAAAAATTCTTGCTTTTGAGGTTTCTTCTAAATCAATCTCTCTTCACAAGGTTTTTTTATTTTCAGTTGATTCTGGGTATGAGAAAGCTCCTTCCTTTGATTTTTTCCTTCTTCATGTGTTTGAATTTTTCCCCTTCCTCTGTTTTCTAGGTCTGAAAGTTCCTATTTTTTTCGGATTTAGGGTTTGATAGCTCAATTTTCATCTCTTTTGTTTCTTATAGCTCAATTCGATCTTATTGATGAGTTTGTTAATCTATTGCTAGGGTTTCCTAGGTCCAGATTGATTAAAAATCCTCACTTTTTTCCGGGGAAAAATTCGAAGCGATTGAGAAAATGACCGGAGGAAGTGAGGAGGATCCATTCACAAAACCCATTGGAAGATGGTCTGTCTTCTTCTATGGAGTTGGGCACATGCTTAATGACATTACTGCTTCTTGTTGGTTCACTTACCTCCTCCTATTCTTGACCCAAATTGGTCTCTCCCCAAGGTGATATTTCATTTAATTCTGACCCTTGATTTGTGATAATTCAATCATTAACGAGTTTTATTTTTTTCCTTTTGTAGAGATGCAGCAATTGTTATGCTATCTGGCCAAGTTGCTGATGCGTTTGCTACTATCTTCACTGGTGAATTGGTACTGTATTTCTCTGTTTCTTATTTAGTCTTTAGCTTGTTGTTTCTGAGTTGTGTGGTAATTTAACTTGAGGTAGAAGAATTTGGTCTTCTGTTATGGCAGATAGATAGGTTTGGACATTTCAAGATTTGGCATGCTGCAGGATCATTACTGGTTGCAATCTCGTTTTCCTCGGTTTTCGGAGGTTGTCTGCCTTGTTCGATCCTCCATAACGACTCTATAACACTCGAAACCTTCTCCTACAGTATGTTTGCAGCTATATTTAACATTGGATGGGCAGCTACTCAAGTTTCCCATATGTAACCTCATCTCTTTTACTTCATCTTTAGTCATATCCATTGTTTTTGCTTTGTGTGTGTGTGACTGTCTGTTTACTTAATTACACTTCAGGGCTATGGTTAATTGCATTTCATTAAACTCAACAAGCAGAGTCGCTTTAACAAGCTCTCGTAACGCGTTTACTATGGTCAAGCTCTTTCCCTGATCTTTGTTTAGTACCACATATGTTTCTTATGTGATTACATAATGACGAGATTGTTTTTCTTGATTTGCTTTTCAGGTTGCTAATCTTGGCTTATATGCGATTGCTTTAGTAGTATTCGGTGTTATTAAGGCTGGGTCAAAAGAAGATACTGAAACACAGGTTTCATACTTTGTGTTGATTTCTCCATTATGTTTTATATTGGAGTAAGTGTGTTTCAAAATTGATTGCTTGCTTTCTCTTTTAACTCTGCAGTATCGCTGGATTGCATATTCATCTATCACGATTGGATGCTGCTTTGTGGTCATATTTCTTATGGGGACAAAAGAGCCAAGGTATGTATATATGCTCAATTCTCTGAATTCTCGATTTTAACACTAGAAGTGTATAGTTATATGAATGTTATATGCATTTTGTTGTTTAAAGGCTGAGGATAGATTTGAAACAAACAAGCCGAGCAAGAATACCGTGGGTCTATTGGTTCCGGAAACTTCTATACTATCAAGTTGCCATGGTTTACCTCCTCACTCGATTAGTATTGAATGTTTCTCAGGTCTGTTTCTGCTTTCTTTCTTGCTTCGGTTTATGTTCATATTGTGGTAAATTCTCACACCAGGTGTTGCATTCCATCCTTCTCAGGCATATCTTGCATTCTTCGTTATTGATGATTTGCAAATGGATCAATCCGCTAAAGCTTTGGTAATATATTCAATAAGCTTTTTTTTCTCTTACATATGATCATTTTACGTTTTATGTAATTACTCTGACTAAATGTTATATATTTCAGGTTCCTGCGATTATCTATATCTGCAGCTTTGTTGTATCGGTTCTGCTTCAGGTTCAAAATTCTCATACATATGTTGAAAGCTTCTCTGTTTTTCTTCATTTAGGTTACGGAATAACAACTATTCTTTGTGCGTAATTATGTTAGGAGATTCCATGGAACGGGAGACGCTTGAAGGCGTATTATACAGCTGGTGGTATAATTTGGATATTCTGTGGTGCAGCAATTCTTCTATTGCCTAGAGACATAAGTTCTTTCATGTATGCGATATCTGTCTTTATTGGCATCGCAAATGCATTAATGATGGTAAACCGTTCTCTTCCGCTCACTTTGATATCATTGTCAGTTATAAACCATGCTTATATATGGTTAATTTAAATTCATTGGCCATACAATTCCACAGGTTACAGCAATCAGTATGCAGAGTGTGTTGGTTGGTGCGGAAGTCGGTGGTTGCGCGTTTGTCTGTGGCTCGTTAAGCTTCTTGGACAAGATGTCTTGTGGGCTTGCTCTATATGTTCTTCAGTCACACCAAAGTAAGTCAAATAAAGGGGATGACTGGGACATGGCCCTATAAAGTTTTAGTTTTGGTTTTGATTTTTAGCAGCAGAAACCATTCATTTCTCACCATGTTAGCAATTTTGTGCTGAAACTGTTTTTGTTTTACAGCTACTTCACCTAGAGGCCAACTAAACAACAATAACCAACAAAGTGTTTACCTTTCGGTTACAAGATACGGTTTAGGTCTTGTTCCAGCATTGTGCTCGTTTGTTGGTGTCGCTGTAACGTTCTTTATGGAGCTCGAAGCTGCTGGATCACTATCGAAGCCCCTGCTGCGTGAGCCATTACTAGAATGACAAATTGGTCTTTTGAGGTTAAAAACACTAAATGCTCGATTGTTTTTTTTGAACAAGTTTGATTTTCTTGTCCACTAATCTTTTAATATATACGGAATTTTGCCAGATTCTTTAAACGACGGTTTTGTATATAAGGATAGATCACAGTGTGACATCAATTACTTGTATCAGAAATAATTGAATATAAATGTGGGATCTCGGGTTTGATTTTTTGGGTTTTACCATTTGTAATTTCACAAAGATGTTTATATTCTTGATAATGTAACACATACTAAAGAATTTTTAGCTCTGCGATGAAGTAATATTGTTGTACACTTACAGCTCTGTGACACCATGACCATAGTGTTCCATGGCTGCTATGGCTGCGTTCACAACCATATAAACAGGTACAATGTCAACCAAAGCTTGAGGATCTCCTCAAAATCCAGGAAGCTGTCTTTTGCCATAAGCCAAGATCACTGGATCTGCAATTCTGTATGTATTAACCAAAGAATTAGTCAACAAGAAACCAGAAGCTATCTCTATCTTATTAAGGAAAGGGTAAATCTTCTTCTCACCTGAATCCTTGGATCCAGACAGGGAAAGGCTCATTGTAAGAGCTTTCAATAATGCTTGGCCTTATGATCACTACAGGCAGCTCTCCTCGGTTACTTCGGATTACGGTTTCACCCATGGCTTTTGTGAACGTGTAGGTGTTTTCCCAGCCATGTATCTGAGCTCTGGGTCTGGGGTTCTCAGAAAATAACATTTTGGCGAAGATCAGTAGCCGACCAGGTCCAAGAGCCTTGACGCTTAGAGCAGAGTTGCACCTGTTTCGTTTGTTTAGGTGAAACGAGAACAAAAGAAACAGAACAAAAAAAAAAAAGCAGAGCAAAAGAAACAGAGGAACCTGTCGGCAAAGGTTGTGCGAGCAGCAGAACTGATAATGATATCAATCTCCTCACTAATCTTGAGTGATGTTCCAGAGTCCATCCCAAGATTATCTTCTGCGATGTCTCCAACTACTGGAATTAACTTGCTTTTCAAGAAAGCATCATACGACTTTCCATGCCTTCGCTTCAGAAGCTTGAGTAGATCCGAGCTTATGATCTGCTGGCAAAACTAGTAAACAAGCTACGTGAAGGAGATCTAGACGAGAATGAAAGGATGGAATTGGAAATAGAACCTCATCACAGAGTCTCTTCTTGGCTGCTTCTTGATCATTGGCTTTCATTAGAAGGAAGATCTTCCCAATCTCAGGAGTTTCCCTCAACAACTTGGTAATATGTGCAGATCATATTCTCATCTTTTTCTGCAGATTTGGTTCTTAAAGACATGGTCTTTGTCTATGATCTGGTTGGTCGGAGAATCGGATGGGCAAACTACGACTGTAAATCTCATCCCTTTAACTCAAGTGACACCCAAAAGCAATGAAATCTTTCCATTTCATTGTTATAGTTTTGGATGTACATAATTCCTTTTATACATAGTGATTAAGTATTACTTTAATCTTTGTTCTCTTCTTGTTTTGAACTACTCATGAAGAGTCTTGAATTGGTTTGGTAAAACAGACGATGAAGATGGTTAACAATTGCGTAGAGGAGATGAAACGTGGAGAGACTAACTATGCTTATGAGGTTTGATGTTCTTCTCTAATATTTTCTGTTTGTTGGACTATTATGGAGACTTTGTTAATAGTCTAGGAAGTAACCAAAAGTAAGATTTACAATTAGACCACCATTAACAAGGGTGTCTTAAAGAGTTCTTAAGTAAATTTTAGGGGGTGTTATTGGTTTGTGATTGAAATGGAGTTTTGATGACTTTAATAAAATTATAGAAAGTGAAAAAGTGAAAGATTTAGAAGAATTGTTAGAGAGTTTTCAATAGTCTTGTTGATTAGTTTTCTATTATCTTGTAAAGTCTCCCAAACAATCTCAATATTTCAATCATACTTTCCTTGACTTTATTTTGTAAAGAAAAATGTACAAAATCATAAACCAATAACACAATAATTAAAGTCATTAACAATCATAGATTGTTTTGTTTTAGTTGAATAACACAAAATTTTTAATGACTTTATAAAACTCTTAATCCAATAACACCATATTCATTAGGATTTTAAATGATTTTTTACAAGTCACAAACTAATAACACCAAATTTTAAGAGAGTTTAACAAAATCTTGATCGAATAACAACAGATTCTACATAACAATTAAAGTCATTAAAACTCTATTTAAATCACAAACCAATAACACCCCCTTAGATCAAAAAGTAAAGACAAATCATGTTAAAGACTAAGAAAGTATATTAGCTAAGACCCAAAACTAACCTTAAGAGCCAACCACATGTCATGTTATTACTTTAATACTCCTAAGAACCATTTTTAAGATACCATTGTTAATCATGCTCAGTGTTTGCTTTTTTCCCCATTAATATCTGTTTTCAAAAAGCTGATAGTGTCTGTTTTCTTTCTTGGTAGTTTTAGGTTAGTTAAATACCAACGAAACTAAATCGTAACTGTAAAAACATAACCAAACTGAAAAAATAACTACACTTTGAAAATTTTCCATTGACTGAGACATAAAGTACTCAGTCAGAATTGTCTTTTGTCAAAGAGATACTCAAGTATCTCATTGACTGAGATGAAGAAAACCCTAAAACTTATTTGCTATTTATGCTGACTCCATATCTCTAGCTATCCAAACCAAATCTTCTTTTCTCCATCTTTCCTTGTTTAGGTTATGGATTCTAGCAATCTATATAGTTTTTCTGAAAAAACATCTAAAGGTACTGAAAGCTCCAAAAGAACTAAGCGAGATGAGGGTGGCGCATACTCCTCAAGTTCAAAGAAAACATCTTCTGTGGAGGAAGAAGCAAGTCCTCGCCCTCCTGGTGTTATGACATACAAAGGCAAAGCGAAAATGAGAGTCCCAAGTGAAGAAAGTGAAGCTAGTTCCCTGTTTATATTTGAGAGGATGTGGGAGATCAAGGAGAAAGACCTAGCTTGGAAAGAAAGATTATCCAAGCAGAGACTTGTAGACAGTCTCATAACCAAAACAGAGCTTTCCGAGCTTGAACTCAACCTGAAAAACAAGCTAATTGCTGAGATGTTAGGATAGTTTTTACTTGGTGCTGAATCCTTCTATTATTTTAAGCAGCTGAATCCTTTGTTTTAAATAGCTGAATCCTTCTTTTGTGTATTGATGAATCCTTGTGTAATCTTCAAGCCTATGCAATCTGTGACAGTTCTTGGATTAATCCTTTTTGGCAACCTGTTTCAGATTTTACTTAAGGTTTTATCTTACACTTGTCTTACTAGTTTAAGTTGTCTTAATCGTTCCGTATCTCTCTAATGACCAGTCATGATAGTTCTCAGATTTTACGTAAGGTTTTATCTTACACATGTCTTGTCTTGTCTTAAGTTGTTTTGATAGTTCTCAGTTTTGTAATGACCAGTCAATCAGTCATGATAATAATAGTACTCAAGCTGACAAAAAAAAGTACAAAGATTTGAGTGATGATGTTGAGTGTTTGTGATGTTGAGTTATGTTTTAAGTTTTGTTTGGTTCCGTTTTTAATTGTTTGCTTATCGTTGTCTTTGTGCATGTTTTAACCCGTGAAGGATCAAGTGGTGAAGAACAAAACAACAAAGTCTATGTTTAAAACTTTTTTAATGTAATATATTTTTGTTTTTATAAAATGTACTATAATTACAATTTATAGTTTAATTTTTCTTATTTTGCATAAATTTCTTTTAACATTTGTAACACTATACTATTATACTAAAAAACAAATTTTCTATATAAATTAAAAAAAATTCTAAAGACACCCATATTTAAAAAAATCACCAATGGATGGAGAAAGAAAGTTGATGAGAATGCTTAGATTAAATTGATATTAGTAAGCTGGCTTGTTAAAGATTGTATTGTACCGCTTCAATGGCAGAGAAGGTTTTAAATTAGGCCCATAAAATCCATTTCTTTGTGTGTGGGCTATAATCGGGTCAGGTTGGCTTGAATCGGATCTAGACTAACTAATATTATAGTTTTAAAAACTTTTCTGGAAAAACAAAATTCATTTTTTTTTTCTTTTTACTTTTTTTTTTCTTCAGTAGTAAGTTCTTCTTCATCTTCTTCTGCTAAAAACCCTAATTTTTGGGGACTGTGCAATTAGTCGCACTCTCAGATTCGGCCCTGGAGCCATCGTCATCGATGAATCCGATAAGGTCGTCTTCTCGACGAGTAAGATAAGCATTTTTTCTTCTGGGTTTTTGACTATTATCCAGGTAATAAGAAACACAGTATAAACATTTATGTCTTCAAAAAGTGTATCACATTGAAATTGGAAACAAAATATTTGATTTTTGCAGGAAAGATTGCAGAGAATAATGGGGATTGAGATCAGATATGAACTTGGCACTTGTTTTCGGCACAAATGTAGTTCGTAAAGCTTATCGCTTTCTCTTCTGCTCCAGAAAATTCTGCAATGGGAACTTTGGTGGTGATGAAATCGATAATGGTTCCCCTGATTTAGATTTAGATTGTGGATTTGACGAGGAAGCCAATATCAGTGAGCTCAAAAGCATTGATCGAGAAGTGATCTCTGTTCGGAGTAGGTTTTTTGAGAGTGCCAAGCTTGGTGCGTCTCGTGTTCTCGAGACATTGCAGCTAGATGAATCTGGATTCAATACGAATTCAGTTTTAGATGAATTGAATGTTAGAGTCTCAGGGCTTCTAGTGAGGGAGGTTCTTGTAGGGATCTTAAGGAACTTGAGTTATGATAATAAGACCAGATGTGCGAGATTAGCTTATAGATTCTTTGTGTGGTCTGGAGAACAAGAGTGTTTCAGGCACACAGTGAATTCTTATCATTTGCTTATGAAAATATTTGCAGAGTGTGGAGAGTATAAGGCAATGTGGAGATTAGTTGATGAGATGGTTCAAGATGGATTCCCGACAACAGCGAGGACGTTTAATCTGTTGATTTGTAGTTGTGGTGAAGCAGGTTTGGCGAAACAAGCTGTTGTGCAGTTTATGAAGTCCAAGACTTTCAATTACCGACCTTTCAAACACTCTTATAACGCGATTTTGAATTCTTTGCTAGGTGTAAGACAGTATAAATTGATTGAGTGGGTTTACGAGCAGATGTTAGAAGACGGGTTTTCGCCTGATGTTTTAACTTATAACATTCTCTTGTGGACAAACTATAGGTTAGGGAAAATGGATCGATTTGACAGGCTGTTTGATGAGATGGCTCGAGATGGGTTGTCTCCCGATTCTTACACATACAACATTTTGCTGCACATTTTGGGGAAAGGAAATAAACCGCTCGCTGCTCTTACTACGTTGAACCATATGAAGGAAGTAGGAATCGACCCGAGTGTCCTCCATTACACTACTTTGATAGACGGTCTGAGCCGGGCAGGGAATCTGGAGGCGTGCAAGTACTTTCTAGATGAAATGGTGAAAGCTGGGTGCAGACCGGATGTTGTTTGTTACACCGTGATGATAACAGGGTATGTTGTATCTGGAGAGCTCGAGAAGGCAAAGGAGTTGTTTAGAGAGATGACGGTAGAAGGGCAATTACCGAATGTATTCACATACAACTCGATGATTCGCGGGTTGTGTATGGCGGGAGAGTTCAGAGAGGCGTGTTGGTTGCTAAAGGAAATGGAATCTAGAGGGTGTAACCCGAATTTCGTAGTGTATAGTACATTGGTGAGCTATTTAAGAAAGGCAGGGAAGCTTTCAGAGGCTCGCAAGGTAATAAGAGACATGGTGAAGAAAGGACACTATGTTCATTTAGTTCCAAAGATGATGAAATATAGGAGATGATAGAGTTTTGTTTTGTTAATTTAGGTTGTTTGTTCTCTTCTTTACCAATTATTGTTGTTTTCGAGAAGGAAAAAAAAATTAGTGGTTCTAGAAAACATGACGGGCATTTAGTGACATCATATCTATTATATAAAAAGCATATAATGGAATTGAATTATTGAATTACATTTTCACACGTAAAAGGACAGTACCGCGTGTGAGGGTGTGTGAACTGGACCAACTCGGGTTTTGTCTGACCTGAAACGGTGAAGCCCGAAGATAAAATGTTCCAATCGGAAACGTTTTGGATAGTAGTAGTAATTG